GCTGGGAGTGAGAAGCACGGCGCGGCCGGCCCTCGACGCACGGCGGCGCAAGCAAGAGAGGGAGAGTAGGCAGCGACGCAGGGAGACCTAAGACAAGACCGTGATGGGACATGTGACACAGACGGGGGAGAGCGAGGTGACCTAGGTGGTGGTGCCACAGAAGTAAAGGGTGAGTGAGCGACCGACACGAGTAAAAAGCGATGACCTGGGTAGACGCAGCCACATGGGAGGAGGCCCTCTCTGGGGGGGACGTGGTGTCTAGCGTGAACAGGCCAGACACCGTGTCCAAGGGGAATGTGGTGAGGGGGGCACTAATGGAGGCGTCGGTACAGAAGGTGTACCGCTGATGTCTAGGGAACGAAGTGGTGACGCTGAGGTCTCAAAGACAGCCGAGATTAACTAGGTTCTTGGAGAACGAGGGGATTTGCAGGCCGGTAAGAGAGCCCGAGGGAACCGCCAGACAGGGAAGGGACTTTGCCACGTACGAGACTCTGCCATCTGAAAGACCGATACATGGCTACGTACGAAACTCTGCCAGTCGAGGAGGTCTGGCGCAGGGCTGAAGCGGAGACGGAAGAGGTCGTCGAGGTGGCGGTAGCACTGGGCGGCAGTCTGACCTAGACGGCTACACACAGTACTACGAAAGGAACCAGTCTGGAGCTGGTACTGGCAAGTCATAGGGTTGGAGCTGCCACTCGACACCTAGCTGCGAGGACCGCCACTGCGGCCACCACCACCAGAGGCGCCAGGCTACTCGGGCAGGAGGCGACCCAACGGCTGCTGGTGCTATTACTGTTGCGATTGATGTTGCTGCTGGTGCGACTGATGATGCGGCGTCTGCTACTGCTGCTGCTGCTCCGGGGGATCAGACCCGGTCTCTTTGTCGGTCCTACCGGCACTCGCATCACCTCCACCACTACCGCCACCCCCACCAACCCTCCCTCCGCCATGCCCCCTCTTGGGGCGGTGGCCCTTATCCTGACGAGGCAGCGCTGAGGTCGTCACGGCGACGGTCTCAGCACCTGGGGCTGTCTCAACGTCAGCAGCAGAAACGTCAGAGTAAGTGCACTAGGAGGGAGCACAACCCTGGAAGATAGGGACTGCCGTAGTACCACTAGACTGGGCGATAGTGCGCTGGTGGGTCTGTATCGTAGACAGGGTGGTGACAAAGGCAGTAAGGGTGAGGTCACCTGGGTGCGGACTAAGGAAGTGGTCGCGGGCAGTGGCAAGGCGGTTAGAAAGGCACGTGGCAATGACGTAAAGGGTAGCGCAAAGGGGAGGATGGAATGCAGCAAGCTGGGCCTCAGTGCTAGCAGCGCGGTAGCTAGTCTCAAGGGCGCGTAGGTGAGTGGCAAGATCAGCGACAATGGGGAAGGACGCAAGTTAAGGGAATAGCATGGGGAGGATCACACGGCCGCAGAGGCGGAGGAGGGAGTCGAATAGTGCGCAATGACCGCATCTAAGTACTTCTTTGCATTCCCTACAGCCATAAAGCGGGGACGCTCGGACAGGGGAAGGGCGTGACTGATAGTAAGCTGCGCTACAGTGTCGCGCGACTCCCGGACAGCGCGTGCAAGCTCAGCAGCGGCAAAGGCCCCACGCTAAGCAGACGTGGGGGCGTCAGAGAGGGCAACAAGCGGATCGGGGCGGGGAAGCTTACAGTCCATATGGACGGCCAGGGAATAACCGTCATTGCGCTGACCCGTCTACTGACGGCGGAGGTCAACGAGCCATGCCTCAAAATCAACCGCCCGACCCTCCGCGTCCAGGCGGAGCACATCGTCCGCCATCACTACAGATGCAGCGGCTGACGGCGACACAGCGGCACGGCGGTGCGAACTGGGGCCGGCGAGCTGGGGTGAGTGAGCTAGGGACCGACGAGCGAGGGGCTGGCAAGCTAGGGGCCAGCAAGCGCGGGATCGGCAAGCGCGGGATCGGCGAGCGCGGGGTTGGCGAGCACGGGGCCAGCGAGCTAGGGGCCGACGAGCACGGGTTCGGCGAGCACGGGGCTGGCGAGCACGGAGCCAGCGAGCACGGGCCCATCAAGCTAGGGGCTGACGAGCTCGGGGCCAGCGAGCTCAGGGCCGGCGAGCGAGGGGCCGTCTAGCGAGGGGCCGGCGAGCGCGGGGCCAGTGAGCGCGGGGAGGGCGATCACGGGGGTGGCGAGCGAGGGGCCGACGAGCGAGGGGCCGGCAAGCTAGGGGCCGGCGAGCTAGGGGACGACGAGCACGAGTCCAGCGAGCATGGGGCCAGCGAGCGAGGGGCCAGCAAACGAGGGACTGGCTAGCGAGGGGTCGGCGAGTGCGGGGCCGGTGAGCGCGGGGCCGGCGAGCGAGGGGCCGACGAGCGAGAGGTCAACGAGCGCGGGGCCAGCGAGCGCGGGGCTGACGAGCGTGGGGCCAGCGAGCGCAGGGCCAGCGAGCGAGGGGCCGGCTAGCGAGGGGCCGACGAGTGCGGGGCTAGAGAGTGTGGGGCCAGCGAGCTACAGCGGCTAGGGCAGCTAGGGCAGACTAGGGCGAGCTAGAGCGGCTAGTGCTAGGGCTAGGACTAGGGCTAAGGCGGAAGCGCGGGTGGGCGGGGAGGGCCTAACCTAGCGTGATACCATCTCAGAGTAATGAAGTGACTAAAATAGAAGGTACAGAGTAGTTTTGTGCTACTGTTATCCTCTCTAAGAGCATTCACATATCTAGCCTAGAAGGACATATGCATATATGTTTGACACCGCCACCCTGCGTTCCCCCCTGCGATTTAGACTCAGTGCCGCAATTCCGTTTCCCCTATCGCTAGCAATTTCCTATCGCCCCCCCAGATTTCGCCCCCGCCCCTCTAATTTTCGAATATTTACACCTCTCACCCCCCTCGATTTCGTTCCCAATTGTATCCAGCCCTTCGTTTTCCTGCATCTACTGCTCCAATTTGACTTCCCCCGATTTTGATGAAATGACAGTTGTCGCCACTCTCACTGCCCAATCAACATTTTTCCAACCTAACTCACACTATAGCAGTCAACATATTTCAGGGAATGTGTACCACGGATTTAACACGCAAGCAAAATCCACTTTCAATCTAGCCTTCTCATTTGGATTTAGGCCGTCTGAAATCAGATAGTTTCCCAGAAAGTTTCCCGATACATGAATATCAGGGCTGACGTTTCGAAAAAAGGCACTCTGATTTTGCCCCCCAAATTTTTTCCCGAGTCTGAAGGGTCATTTTTCACAATTTCGCTACTCTGAAATCTCAGTGTCCAAGATTTAACGAGTCTGAAATACTCAAGGTTCAGAATGTCGACTTAGAGTCCTGCGCCCAAGTCGAATCTTGTATTTGCAGAGTTCACACCAAGGTCTCAGATTCGTTTTATGGAGGCTGATTGCTCTGGCCTGCCCTTATGAGAACCCATTTTTGTTAGGGTAGTTTTTATTTGATTGCCTGAAATTTCAGGCTGAATTTCCCGTAAAGCTGACGAATCAGGCCTAGGTTTTGAAACATGCTGTATAAGTGACGATGGTTGCAGTTTGCCGCATAATCGAAGGAAAAGTTGTGTTGTCAAAAACTGTCGAAACCCCACCAACTTGCTGTATCCGCGCAGTTTGTGCTAACGAAAAATCACGTCCCTCGTGTGCGCCTGCTCTAGCCTTCCTTGGGCAACCAGCGTAATACAGTACTTGGTCCAAGGACCAGTCACGCTCCTCATAATTGCTCCTAGGTACAGTACCTCGGGATTTTGTGTGATTTTGGTTTGACGGCCAATCACAGCCTCACACCTGCTCCGGGTATGGTGAAGCATGTCGAAGGACAATGCGTGTACAGTACAGCAGCAGGGAGTTTGTCTGTGATGGGTCATTGCAAGTGTGTGATTGGTTGTTGAGGGACTTGTGCCACCCGCTCAGAGGACGACAAAAAAATCAGGGGAAAGGGGGTGCGGGGAGAATGTCTCTAAAAATGGAAGACTTAGCCGATTTTTGTGGGTGTTGGGGGTGTTAGAGGGGTGTCTCTAGAATAGGACTTCAACGATTTTTATGGGCTGCTGGTTGTGCTGGGGGGAATTGTCTCTGGCTGCTAGGACTTAGCCAGATTTTATAGATTGCGGGGCGGGGTGTGTGAAAGGACTTGACTCTGGCCGTTGGGGATTTGGAAGAAAATTTTGGGTGAGGGCAGGTAGGTATGTCTGTCTCAGGGTCCGTACGCGCTGTGCTCTGAAAACTCAGTATCCACAAACTGCCAAGTCTGAGATTGTCAGGATTAAAAACATATAACTCTGAAGGGTTCAGCATTCAGAAAATCAGTATCGGCAAAAAAATAGGTCTGAAATTTCAGACAATCAGACTAAAATAGTCTGATAAAATCAGGCCTGATCAATATACAACCAAGTACCAAAGTATTGCTTTATGCTCCCTTCCATGAATTAAGTTTTGCCAGCTCGGGGATTTTTTCTATCTCCAGATGCCATATTCGTGAGATAAGAATTGGTTAGCATTTTTCCAAAATTGGGGGAAGAAAAAAAGAGATAAATTTATATCATGAATGTCTTCCTTTCAATGCTTTACATGTAATAGTATCAGAGTGAATCAGTGTGTAAGGAATTTCCATTCCTTACTGAGTTGCCCGCTACCGCGTACACCCGAACACTTCGACTCGTCACGTTCGGCCTACATTTTCGGCCCAACCCTTTCTCGAGTCGCGTCCGACAGCGTCGCCACATTGCCGAACCTAACCACGCCCCGAGGTTATCGCCCTATTACGTCTACTCCTATATAACCTCGTGCTCTCATTGCAATAGCGACCTTGTATTCTCACGATCTACTTCATTGACATTTTCTAAATCGTAACACAGTGAGCCCGTCCTTCCGGGCCTTGTTCAGTTACCTCTTCGCTAAACGTTCCGCTTGACTGACTTTCGCTAAGCCAACCCACAGGTGGCTGGCCTCACCTAACCTGCCTCCCGCCAGAAGCAGAGTAGAAAACAGTGAGCTTTCACGACCTAATTACTTACCTTCTGTGGTGGGAGCTAATTTAGTCACTGATTACACTAGTGCTGTCACTGATTACCTAGGCTAGCACCCGACAGTGGAGGCTCGTAAAGCCAGTGACCACCTCTTGTTATCGCCAGTTCGAAACGGCTTACCGTTTTTGAAGTAACTCTCGCGCAGGGCACTGGAGCCTCACCCTGTACGCTTGCTATGTTAGTGTGTCTGGTTCCACTGGTTGACTGCTCCGCACAACAAAAGGCTGCTAGGCAACAGAGAATTGTTTTAGAAAGGTTATGTTTCCTCCCTGACCACCTTAATGCGTAATGTCGCCCCCGAGCTCGCGTAGCCCATCGCTACTTTTCACATTTTCAAGCGACAGCTGGCAATAGCTGACATTAGCTGGCATACGCTTCACGCTATTCGGTCAGGGAAAAACCTACCAAGCAGCAATCTGACCTTTATAAAGTCATTGTCTTCAAACAAGTTTGGAGCAGCCATGGATTTGGCGATGCTTCAAGCCATGGCGGCAGAAATGATGGCGGAAGATCCAGCCTTGGCCGCCTCCATGCAAGACAGCCCTCCGGGCGAAAAGTCCAAGAACGGCCCTTCGTCTCTCAGCCGAAACCGACTAGCTCGGGAACGAGAGAAAGCGAGAGAAAAAGAGAGGCCGGCTCCGGCTTCTCGGTCCAGAGGAAACTCCCCTCTGCATCTCCGGATACCCAACGACAATGCAGCAGGCTCGGAAGTAACCGATTCGTCTCCCGCTCCCGCTCCCGCGCCCATGTTTCCGTCTAAAGCGCCTGCGATGGAGAAGCGGCTTCCGACGCCGGAGAAAGGGTCACGTGGCACGTTCGCCGATATGATCGCGGCGCGGAAGGCGGAGAAAGGGGGGAGCGGCGGCGGAAGCGCAATCTCCGAGATGATCGCCGCGCGGCAGCAGAGCGCGAAAGCCGCGGAGATACCGGGAGAAGATCCCGAAAAAGCGGCCGCGAAAGCAGCGGCTGAAGCGAACCGACTCGCGATTTTTAACTCCATCCGGTCGACCACCCAGCTGTCTCAATCCCCGTTAAAGGCCGACGACCGGAATGGCATCGACCGCAGCAGCAACCTCGGCGGGGAGTCGCGTCTGAGCGGACCCGAGAAGCGGAGCAGCTTATCCTCGGTCACTTCCAATGCTGAGGCCGAGGCAGCAGCCGCGGCTGCCGCCGCCGCAGCGTTCGCCGCCGCTGCAGCAGCATCCACGCCGGGAGCACCCGGGGGAGGGTATTCTAGGGACGGTCCATCTCCGCCCGTGTCGATCCGACGGCCGCCGTCGCGCGGAGCGCTGAGCTTTACGAGCAGCGATGGGGAGCCGAGCGCGCAGGTCATGCCGTGGGGGGGAAGCCCTGCGCCCCGCCTGGGGGGCGGGGGGGCGGAGCGGGGGGGCGGGGGGTTCCCAGTGACTTTGGACAGCCCCGGGGGAAGGAGCGTGGCGAGTGAGATGATGACGTTGGATGGTGATGACGTGGCGGGTGGGGGGCCGGTGGTGGCGGCGCTACAGGCGGCTCACGCGCGGAGGAAGCAGAGCGACAGGAGCTACTTTCAAAAGGCCGAGGAGATGTACTCGTTACAGGTACGCACTCGTTACAGGTGCGTGCTCGCTGCAGGCTGCTCATGCGAGGAGGAAGCAGAGCGACAGGAGCTACTTCCAAAAGAGTACTCGTTACTGGTGCGCGCTCGCTGCCGGTGTGTGCTCCATTCTCCCGTTTTTTCTCAAACATGAACTAATAGAAAAGGTTAGACTCATGACTGCTGTTTTATGTGAATGCGCCACCTGAGCCGGTGGCGGTGGCCCTTCGCCTGGTAGAGGACGCTGAGATGGCACAGGAAACGGAGATGCCCCCCTTCCCCTCCTCCCCCCCCCTCCCTCCCCCCCAAGACTAACCGAGTCCAACCCTGGTTCCGCGCTTGATCCCATGCTAGCGCATGAATGTTTTTCTCAAGCGTGAGGAGTCTATTTTTGAGACGCCTCAAAAATAGACCCTGGTGCAGCGCTTGATCCCATGCTAGCACATGAATGCTTTTCTCTGTGAATGACCCATCCCCTTGCGTCTGGCTTGTCTTGTGAGCAGGTGGCGGTGGCCCTGCGCCTGATCAAGGACGCGGAGATGGCAGAGGAGACGGAGATGGTGCCTCCCCAGACCGACCGTGGGCAACTCCAGTGCCTTGCGCTTGCTCCCTTTCTGACCTATGACTTCTGTTTTGTGAACGCCCTATCTGAGCAGGTGGCTGTGGCCCTGCGCCTGATTGAGGACGCTGAGATGGCGGAGGAGACGGAGAAGGCGCCCCCCCAGGCTAACCCCCCAGGCCAACCCCCGTGCCTTGCGTATGCTCCCGTTCTGACATATGACTGACTGATGCTTTTGTGAACGCCCTGCCTGAGCAGGTAGCAGTCGCTCTTCGCCTGATAGAAGACGCGGAGATGGCAGAGGAGACGGAGATGGCGCCCCCCCAGGCCAATCCGAACGACATGCTCTGGGCCAGCCCGCTCATGCCACGTAGCCAGGCCGAGGCTACAGCGTACCGCTTCTGGGTGAGACTTTAGACGGGAATGGGGAAAGGATGGGAGGTGACGTGGCACTTGGCGACGGGGAAGAGGGAGGTAGTAGGAGGAAATAGGCGGGAGACAGGAGAATGAGAGGCAACCTGAAAACGGCACAGGTGTGACAATGCATGTCGAGGAATGCATGTCGGGGCCTGGTTTCCTCCTGGGATCTCCTTAAAGCCCAAAAAAAACAAAAAAAAAAACAAAAAAAAACTGCTGAATCATCTCCCGTCTTCCCAATGCCCCAGTTCCCCCCTCCCCCCACCCCCCCCTTTCTCCCATCGCCAAACCCCCCTTCCCCCACCATCACCAGGTGTCTGAGCTACGAGGATTCTGTGCAGCAAAGACAGGTTCGGCAACATCTGGGGCAAGCAGCCACGCGTCCACTCGCTCTGACCCCCCTTCCCCACACTCTATGTGCACAGGCGAACGGCTGCCTCAGTTAAAAGGACCGTATCGAGGACGGCTTCTACAAAATTTGCGGCATGCCTGTATGCACGCACATCTACTCCCTCTCATTCCCCCACAACCCCCCATCCCTCCTTCCCCCCACGTCACCTGGACAGGTGAACGGGTGCCTGAGCTACGAGGATCGTATCGAGGACGGCTTCCACGACATCTGGAGCATGCAGCCGTACGTCTACTCGCTCTGACCCCCCTTCCCCAATTCCCCATCGCCCTTCCCCCGCCCGCAGGTGAACGGGTGTTTGAGCTACGAGGATCGTATCGAGGATGGGTTCTACGACATCTGGGGCATGCAGCCGTACGTCTACTCGCTCTGCGTTGACTCCTCCCACCGCGGGCGCATGCCGCCCCTGGACTCGCTGCGCGCGCTGCACCCAAGCGAGGCGTCCTTTGACGTGGCTCTGATCAACCGCACCATCGATGCGGAGCTCAAGGACCTGGAGGACGAGGCGGTGAACCTGGCGTATGCCGCCACCGAGGTGCAGACACTGGCGCAGAAGCTGGGAGTGCTGGTGGCGCACCACATGGGGTGAGTGGTGTGTGTAGTGGGGGCCATGCCCCCATGTAGTGGGGGTGCGGCCGGCAGGCTTGTCCCCATGTAGCGGGTGAGGGTGCAGCAAGCATGCCCCCATGTAGCGGGTGGGGGAGCAGCAGGCACGCATCCCTTTAAGTGTGTGGGTATAGTAGGCATGCCCCGCCTCCCCTTACTCAGACACCAGGGGAGCTGTCAATCAATTTCCAGCCCAAGGAGCCCTACCCTTATTCCTGTCTTTCATGTCTCTCCCCCATGTGAATTTTGAGTCGACTCAAAAGTCGCAACGATCTCGCCGCAAGCCGTCATTCCCCCTACCTATCCCCCAGTCTTTCATGTCTTTCAAGTCCTTCCCATGCCCCCCTCTCCCCCCCCCCCCACCCATCCCCCATACGCCAGGGGAGCTGTGAACTCCGAGCCCAACGAGCTCATTGCAAACCCTAATTCCTGTCTCTCCCACAAGTCCACCCCCCTGCATTCCCACGCTCTCCCCATCTCCCTATAAGCCAGGGGAGCTGTCAATTCCCAGCCCAACGAGCTCATTGCAAGCCCCGCCCTCATTCCTGTATTTCACGTCTTTCCAAATTCCTCCCACGTTTCCCCTCTCTCCCCATCTCCCCATGCGCCAGGGGAGCTGTGAATTCGGAGCCCAACGAGCTGATCCCGCGGTTCCGGCAGCGCGGGTGGGAGATCAAGAGCTACCTCAAGACCATCGTGCTGCCCATCGGCCAGCTGCCCGTGGGGATCTGCCGCCACCGCGCGCTGCTCTTTAAGGTGCGCGTGGTTGCGTGGGTGGGTGGATAGTTGTGTGGGTGCGTGGAGGCGAGAGGAGGCAGCGTGGGTGGGAGATCAAGAGCTACCTGAAGACCATCATGCTGCCCATAGGCCAGCTGCCCGTGGGGATATGCCGCCACCGCGCGCTGCTCTTTAAGGTGCGTGCAAGCGTGCAAGGTAGGGAGGGAGTGTGGGGAGAGTGGAGTGGGGCGCCTGTTCTTCAAGGTGCGTGCGCGGGTGGGGAGGAATGCACGAGGTGAGTGGGCAGATACCATGCACATGCACATGCACATGCACATGCACATGCACATGCACATGCACATGCACATGCACATGCACATGCACATGCACATGCACATGCACATGCACATGCACATGCACATGCACATGCACATGCACATGCACATGCACATGCACATGCACATGCACATGCACATGCACATGCACATGCACATGCACATGCACATGCACATGCACATGCACATGCACATGCACATGCACATGCACATGCACATGCACATGCACATGCACATGCACATGCACATGCACATGCACATGCACATGCACATGCACATGCACATGCACATGCACATGCACATGCCATGTCGCATTCAGAAAGGGGTGCAAGTTCTGTGGCATGGACGATGGCTCTTTCACACTCCCTTGTCATCCTTCCCCTCCTCCCCCCCCCCCCTCTTCCTGCCGTCTTTCGTCCTTTCCCACCCGCACCAGGTGCTGGCAGACGCTCTGGGCATGCCGTGCCGCATCCAGAAGGGGTGTAAGTTCTGTGGCATGGACGACGGCGCGTCCTGCCTGGTGCTGGCCAGTGATGAGAGGTGGGCAAAGGGTTTCGGGCTCAGGATGGGATGGATGGGGGGATGTATCATCTATCATATAAGGCGCCTGCTCGTGTGCGAGTGCTGGGAGGTGCTCTGCTTTATGTATCTGTGCTGGCGAGTACTGTGGCATGGATGATGAGGCGTCCTGCCTAGTGCTGGCCAGCCATGAGTGGTGCGCTGCTGCCTTATGCTTCCTTACATGTACACCCCCCCCCCTTTGTCATAAACCCCACCAATCGGCCCCAATTTCTGTCCTCCCCGTTCCCACCCCCCAAACACAGGGAGTATGTGGTGGATCTACTGCAGCGCCCAGGCACCCTCCTCACCATTGAGCCGTCCGCTGAGTCCGCCACCAGCACTCCCACCAACGCCACCTACCCCTTCCTCCCCCCTCCTCCCCTCCCACTGTCCCCTTTCCCCTTCCCCCTCCATAGGGAGTATGTGGTGGATCTTCTGCAAAGGCCAGGCACCCTTCTCACCATCGAGCCGTCAGCTGAGTCCGCCACCAGCACTGCCACCAACGCCACCTACATCGCATCCCCCCTCCGCTGCCCGGAAATCAAATCTCTCGCGCTCACCGACCCTGCGGACGGCACTGTGCCCCAATGGGTGCCGGACTTCAGAAGGTGAGATCTTATCCTGAACGCTTTAGGTTTAATCATTCCGGAAATTGAATCTTTCACCCCCACCAATCCTGCGGGCAGCTCTGTCCCGCAATGGGTGCCAGATTTCAAAAGGTGAGATGAGTCTGGCTCAGCCTTTTGCTCCTGATAGGGGGGGGAGGGGTGCTCTATGCTTTTTTACAAGCTCGTGAGCCTGGTGCATCCATTTTGGAAGTGGGAACTCTCGCCCTCACGGATGCTGCTTCCAGCACTGTGCTGCAATGGGTGCCCGACTCTAGACGGTGAGGTTTCATTTGATTCTGGTACACAGTGAGGAAGGTTTCTTTCAGTGTGCAATTAGTTTCGTATTGAGACATCTCAAAACGAAAGTACACTGTGAGGAAGGTTTCGGCTGGCAGGTCTCATAAGGGTTTCTATCCTCTTTCCCCTCTCAACCCCCTCATTTCTCCCCCCTCCTAATCTCCATGCAGCAGCAGGAGCAGAATGCAGAAGCAATGGCTGGCTCCCGGCGAATCTACGCTGGGGGGTTCAAGGAACCTTAACCGTAAACTTTCTCCCTCCCCATAACCCCCTCTTTTCTCACCCACCCAATCGCCAGGCAGCAGCAGGAGCAGGATGCCGAAGCAATGGTTGGCTCCCGGCGAATCTACGCCGGAGGGCCCAAGGACCCCCGGCATGTGGCGGTGTCGCCCAGGGGGGATAGGCGGCGCAAGGACATCAAGGAGGTGGACGAGGAGGAGGATAGTGACGAGGAAGAGAAGAAGCCGCAGCCGAAGAAGGGCGGGAAGAAGGGCGGGGGGGAGGAGGAGGAAGGGAAGAAGAAGGTGCGTTTTATTTTGTTTTGTTCTTTTTTTTCGGGTGACTAGAGTAAGGTAGGATATTAACGAGGTAAGTGTAGAGGAGGATAGTGACGAGGAGGGGAAGAAGCCGCAGCCAAAGAAGGCAAAGGAGAAGATGCAAAGGAGAAGCTAGCTGCCAAGGAGGAGAGGCAGACAAGGAAGCTACTGACGCAAGGGGGGATTTCATGCTTCCTCTCTAACTTTCACCCCTTCCCTCCCCATCCCCCCCTCGCCAACCCCCCACCCCTCCCCCCTCCTCCCCTTCCTTTCAGCCCAAGGCTTCCCCTCTCCTCCTCCCCCCCCCCCCCCCCCTTCCAGCTCAAGGCGCAGGCTGAGGCAGCCAAGAACGAGGCGGCAGATGACAACGCGACCGACGCAGGGATTGAGTTCATGGGCGTGGTGAGCTGATGGATGGCCACATCATTTCTTTCCCCCTCCTCCTCCCCCCCTCTCTTCCAGCCGAAGGCGCAGGCTGAGGCAGCCAAAGCGGAGCCTGCCAAGGAAGAAGCAGCGGACGCCGAGGTGCTGGACGCGGGGGCGGAGTTCTAACGGGGTGCTGGACATTGTAACGAGGTGACTTTTGAGTCGACTCAAAAGTCACCTCGGGGGGCGGAGTTCATGGACATGCTGAGCTGATGGATGGCCGCATCATGGACATTGGCGAGCAGGCTATCCTTGTGACCCCTTCTCCCCTTGGCTTGGCCCCCTCCTTTCCCCACCCACCCCCCCTTCCAGCCCAAGGCGAAGGCGGAGCCTGCCAAGGAAGAAGCAGAGGACGAAGCAGCGACGGACGCAGGGGTGGAGTTTATGGACGTGCTGATGGATGGCCGCATCATGGACATTGGCGAGGCGGAGATCGACTGGAACGACATCGAGATGGGCGAGCGCGTGGGCGCAGGTAAGAGCTGGGACAGGTGGGGGGTTGAGCAGGTGATATCTGGTGCAGGTAGTAACTGGATTACGGACATTGACGAGGTGGGGATCGACTGGAGCAACATCGAGATGGGCGAGAGGGTGGGCACAGGTGAGAGCTGGGACAGGTGGGGGGTTGAGCAGGTGATATCTGGTGCAGGTAGTAACTGGGATACAAATTTTGGCGAGGCGGGGATCGACTGGAGCGACATCGAGATGGGCGAGAGGGTGGGCGCAGGTGAGAGCTGGGACAGGTGATGTCTGGTGCAGGTTGAATCAGAGCAGGGAGGAAGGGCATGCATGGGGCGGAGTTCATTCATGTTGCATGGGTGCTGATTTTCTGGAGGCATCATGGACATTGGCGAGGCGGAGAGGGTGGGCGCAGGCCGCGCAGGTGAGAGTCGGTGCAAGTGAGGGGGCAGAGAATATAGAAGGTGCAGGCTGGTGCATCAACACATACATTTCGGCAATTCAGAGTGGGGGGGGGGGGGGGGGGGCAGAGAGGGCGAGAAAGATAGTGGGTGCAGTGCAGGTGGTACCTGGCACGTAGGTCACACCCACACACTAGGTTCGTCTGGCACTGTACCGGACCGAGTGCGCTGGCTGCATGATTCGAGTTCTGTAGCCACTCCAGACCAGAGCTGTCCGACACATTTCCTTCTCCCAACTCCCCCCGTTACCCCCTTCCCCTCCCCAGGTTCCTTTGGCACTGTGTACCGAGCCGAATGGGCTGGCTGTGTGAGTGTCCTCGTCTCTTCCTTCCCCACTCCCTCTTTTCTTCCCCCCTTCAATCCGACCGTGAGGAGTCTATTTTTGAGGCGCCTCAAAAATAGACTCCTCCCGAAATGGGTTGGCTGTGTGAGTGTCCTCTTCTCTTCCTTCCCCACTCCCTCTTTTCTTCCCCCCTTCAATCCGACCCCTTCAAGCTGTCTCGAGCATTGCAAGTATTTTTGAGGCGCCTCAAAAATAGACTCCTCACGCAAGTATCCCCAGCTGGTCTGCCTTTTTATGCTTCGTTGTATCCCAACCCACCCTCGTTAAAGCAGTTCAAGTTTCAAATCTCTCCGAAACATCTGCATCCTGTGCTTCTTCTTACCCTTCTAACACTGGCACTGCAATATCTTTGAGTCCACACCACATTGGGCCTCATCTCAACTCTGTTGATTACTCTTGCGAACGCCCCTTTCTTGTGGATGCATGCTATTGTGTGCTGGTGTGACTGTACCACTGGGGATGACTATAACGGGTGTGACTGTAACGGGGATGCATGCGCACAGGACGTGGCAGTGAAGGTGCTTATCAACCAGGACATGCAGGAGGAGCAGCTGCTGGAGTTCAAGAGAGAGGTATGCATGCACGGTGTCAAAATGCCCCTCGGGTTGGGTTGCTCATGCACTAGAGGACAAGAATCAGACGTCCCAGCATTCCCAATGACCCTCAACCCCTTCGTATCCGCCTCTTCCATCACTTTGTATCCTACTCTCCTTGTCCTCCCCCTCCCCCCCCCAATCCCCCATCAGGTGGTCATCATGCGGCGCCTGCGCCATCCCAACATCGTGCTGTTCATGGGTGCTCTTCATGGGTGCTCTTCATGGGTGCTCTTCATGGGTGCTCTTCATGGGTGCTGTCACCAAGCCCAGTCAATGCGGAAGCATCTTTCTTCCCGCGTACCCTCTGCCCTCCCCTCCCCCTCCCTCCCCCAGGTGGTCATCATGCGCCCCCCCCTCAATTTTGCCTCCTACCTTCTCCATACCCCCCTCCCCTCAGGTGCTCATCATGCGTCACCTGCGCCATCTCAGCATTGTGCTCTTCATGGGAGCCCTCACCAAGCCTAGTGAACTTCAACGTTTCCTCCTGCACCTCTTACCCCTCCCCTCCTCCCCTTCCCCCTCCCTCTTTCTCTCCCCTCTCTCCCCCATCAGGTGGTGATCATGCGGCGCCTGCGCCATCCCAACATCGTGCTCTTCATAGGAGCCGTCACCAAGGCCTCTCACTCCTTCCTATATCCCTCTCAATTTTGCCTCCTACTCTCTCCATCCCACCACCCCCCCCCCCAATCCCCCATCAGGTGGTCATCATGCGGCGCCTGCGCCATCCCAACATCGTGCTCTTCATGGGAGCCGTCACCAAGCCGCCCCACCTCTCCATCCTCACAGAGTTTCTCAGCAGGTAGAGTGCCCCTCTCTCTTTCCCCCCCCCCCCCCGCCTCCTCCCTCCCCGCTCTCTCCCCCCTCTCCTTTCTACCTTTTGAGTCGATTGTGAAGCCGCCCCACCTCTCCATCCTCAGAGTTTCTCAGCAGGTAGAGTACCTAAGTTGGTTCCTTACGTTACGTTTACGTACGTGTACGTTTACGTTCACGTACGTTTACGCGATTCTAGTTTTAGGCCTGTATGTACGGGCAAGCTAAAAATTTTCTACCTGCCCAGAAAAAAGAAGAAGAGGGAACCCTAGGCAGATTTTTGTACAGACTTCCATTGGCCATTAAATATTTTAGTAGGTAGATAGAAAACATCCACAAAATACAAAGTTCCCAACAGGTGCTACGCTTATAACATGCAAATTGACAATCTGTTGACTGGTTGGCGAAATTATCGCGTGCACGAAATCGCGTCTCCGCTGCTTGACGTGCCGGCAATCCAACCAGTCGACGGATTTGTGCGCGTCAAATGTGACGTGCTGGTTCCCCAACCCTCCTCGACATTCAATTCCCCTTCCCTCCTCGACGAATGTCAGTCGCTACCCTATCTCCAGTAGCAACTCAGTTAAGTCTAAGTCGCATCCTAGGACTATTAGCGCGCCTTCGACCAGCGTCTACGTGCGCCATAGTTCATGACGGGGTAGATCTGCGCGAACCGTGGGCAGCGATAATCTAGGCGTAGTTGCAGATCGCGTGGATGTAGAACGCGGTTTTCGGAGGGAAAAAAATTGCCCGGAAAAAATTTCAGGGCCTGCCCGGCGACGTAAACGTAACGTACGCGTAACGTAACGTAAACGTAACGTTACGCGTACTGTACGTTTACGTCACCTAAAGTGACGTAAAGTACCAACTTAGTAGAGTACCCCTCTCTCCCCCCCCCCCCCCGCCGCCTTCTCCCTCCCCCGCTCTCTCCCCCCTCTCCTTTTTACCTTTTGAGTCAACTCTGAAGCCGCCCCACCTCTCCATTCTCAGCAGGTGGAGTGGCCCTCTCTCTTTCCCCCTCCTCTTCCCCCGCCCCCCTCTTTGAGTCGACTCTGAAGCCGCCCCACCTCTCGATCCTCACAGAGCTTCTCAGCAGGCAGAGTGGACCTGCTCTCTTCCCCTCTCCTCCCCCCCAACTCCCCCCCGACTCCCCCCCGACTCCCCTCCACCTTCCTTCTGATTCTTGAGTCGACTGTGGCGGCTGCTGCATTGGCCGGGGGCAAAGGAGACATCTCAAATACCCTCCTCCTTCCTCTCCGTTACCTTCCCCTCCCTCTCACCCCCCTCTCGCGTGCTCGCAGGGGGAGTCTGTTCCGGCTGCTGCATCGGCCGGGAGCCAAGGAGACTCTCAAGGAGGAGCGGCGCATTCGCATGGCCATGGACATTGTGAGTTGATGAGAGGGGGGATGGGGGTGGCCGAGAGGTGGATGGGCGTTGTGGGTGCTGTGGGTGAGAGTGCATGGGAGGGGGCCAAGGAGACTCTCAAGGAGGAGGGCGCATTCGCATGGCCATGGACATTGTGGGTGGTGTGGGAGGGGGTAGACGGATGGTAGAGGGCATGGGGGTAATGGCATGGGCGCATCCGCATGGCCATGGACGTTTTGGTTGGGGTGGTTGCGGGGGCAAGGGAGGGAGGGGGTGGTAGGGGGCAGGTGGATGGACACTGTGTGTGCCATGGTGGGGCCAAGGAGGCTCTCAAGGAGGAGCGGTGCTTCTGCATGGCCATGGACATTGCGAGTCGATGAGAGGGGTGGACTGTGGAGGTGGCCGAGAGGTTGATGGCTCCTCTCAAGTTTCAACCCCTTTGACCCACCACCAGGCATGCGGTATCAACTACCTCCATCATTTTTTATTTTTGAGGCGCCTCAAAAACCCACCAGGCATGCGGTATCCACTACCTCCATTTTTTAGGCGCCTCAAAAATCCAGGCATGTGGTATTTACTACCTCCATCATTGCCATTGCCAGGCATCATCATTACCTGCACCACTGCACGCCCATGATTGCACACTGTGATTGCTGAACTCCAATCCCCACCCCCCCCTCCCCCCCCCCCCGTGTGCTCCCCTCCTCCTCCTCCTCACCCCCCACCAGCCTCGAGGCATCAATAACCTGCACCACTGCACGCCCATGGTCGGGCATCGCGAGGGCCGTTGGTCCCCTAACCCGCTCTCTCCCTTGGGTCTCCCTTCGATCCCACCAGGCACTCGGCATCCACTACCTGCACTGTTGCACGCCAATGATCGTGCATCGCCATGGCACTCCCTGTCCTCTCCCCTTTTCGACTTTGTCCCCTCTGTCAACCTCCCTCCCCCCACCAGGCGCGCGGCATCAACTACCTGCACCACTGCACGCCCATGATCGTGCATCGGGATCTCAAGACGCCCAACTTGCTTGTGGACAAGAATTTTACTGTGAAGGTAATGGTTAAGTAGGTTAGTTTTGAGGCGTCTCAAAATATCACCGTCAAGGGGACTTTTTTCTTTCTTTCTCTCCCCCCCCCCCGTTTTCGTCCCTTTTCGTTGAGCTGATATAGTAGTTTCACTGCCAACTCTTGTACGGAGCAAGTACCTAAGGTGTCTCAGAAACTTGCTAATGCACGTGCTCTGGAAGTTTTTCTAATGTACAGTGCAGCCTGGTAATCCACCCTTGTAGCCTTTTGGTTGTTCTAGTTGACTCTCCTTCTCTGCTCGTCTTTTCCTCCCTGTTCGCCTCTCGTTCACTGCCAATCGCAACGGCGCGCATCTTCTGCATGTGTGGCCTCTCTTTCCCCTCTCAGGTCTGCGATTTCGGCCTGTCTCGGAACAAGAACAGCACTTTCCTCTCCTCCAAATCGGGTGCTGGCACGGTAAGGCATGCAGGGGCGGTAGGCATATGCAGGCGTTTGAGTCAACTTTAAGGCATTTCGGCCTCTCTCGGAACAAGAACAGCACTTTCCTCTCCTCCAAATCAGGTGCTAGCACGGTAAGGCGTCTGTCTCAAAAAAAAATATTCCTTCGAGTAAACACTTTTGAAAAACATCTGCATCAAGCGAATTCAGCACGACGGGTGCTGGCACGGTAAGGCATGCACAGGCATGGTAGGTATGTGAGCATGGTGTGCAGGCATGCAGGCATGCAGGCACAAACACCATATGTAGCCATGGTATTCCGTGCATGCACACATGGCATGGCGTGCTGTAGGATTTCAAAACGCCGTGCTTCTCAATTTTTGAGTCGACTCAAAAATCTTCTCTGTGCCTCATACCCGAGGTGACTTCGCGATCTTTGAGTCGACTCAAAAATCGACTCATTACACACGGATTATACCCGAGGTGACTTCGCGATCTTTGAGTCGACTCAAAAATCGACTCATTACACACGGATTATACCCGAGGTGACTTCGCGATCTTTGAGTCGACTCAAAAATCGACTCATTACACACGGATTATACCCGAGGTGACTTCGCGATCTTTGAGTCGACTCAAAAATCGACTCATTACACACGGATTATACCCGAGGTGACTTCGCGATCTTTGAGTCGACTCAAAAATCGACTCATTACACACGGATTATACCCGAGGTGACTTCGCGATCTTTGAGTCGACTCAAAAATCGACTCATTACACACGGATTATACCCGAGGTGACTTCGCGATCTTTGAGTCGACTCAAAAATCGACTCATTACACACGGATTATACCCGAGGTGACTTCGCGATCTTTGAGTCGACTCAAAAATCGACTCATTACACACGGATTATACCCGAGGTGACTTCGCGATCTTTGAGTCGACTCAAAAATCGACTCATTACACACGGATTATACCCGAGGTGACTTCGCGATCTTTGAGTCGACTCAAAAATCGACTCATTACACACGGATTATACCCGAGGTGACTTCGCGATCTTTGAGTCGACTCAAAAATCGACTCATTACACACGGATTATACCCGAGGTGACTTCGCGATCTTTGAGTCGACTCAAAAATCGACTCATTACACACGGATTATACCCGAGGTGACTTCGCGATCCGCAGCCACTTTCCTTGCACCCCTGATCCATTTCCTCTCACCTTCTTCCGTTTCCTTTTTTAACCCTAGTGGGTGGTTCTGATGGGCGTAGAAACAAGCCGTCCAATGAGAAATCGAATATGTACAGCATCGGAGTCATTCTGTCGCCTTTGTTTACCCTGCGCTCCTGTTTCTTCTCCTTATTTTGTACTCCCTGCTCCCTGCTCCTTACTCCCTGCTCCCTGCTCCTTACTCCCTGCTCCCTGCTCCTTACTCCCTGCTCCCTGCTCCTTACTCCCTGCTCCCTGCTCCTTACTCCCTGCTCCCTGCTCCTTACTCCCTGCTCCCTGCTCCTTACTCCCTGCTCCCTGCTCCTTACTCCCTGCTCCCTGCTCCTTACTCCCTGCTCCCTGCTCCTTACTCTCTGTTCCCTGTTCCCTGCTCCTTACTCCCTGCTCCCTACTCCCTGCTCCCTGTGCACAAACCTCGCAGCCCGAGTGGATGGCCCCTGAGGTGCTCAGAAACGAGCCGTCCAACGAGAAGTCGGACGTGTACAGCTTTGGAGTTATCCTGTGGGAGCTGGTGACGCTGCTGCAGCCGTGGGACGGCATGAACCCCATGCAGGTGCGCTCTAACCCCATGCAGGTGCGCTCTAACCCCATGCAGGTATGCATGAGCGTAGGGCATGCATCCCGTGCAGGTATGAAGGATGCACTCATGCAGCTATGTCATGGCATGCTGCATACCATGTGACTACGCTATGGTATGGTACCAAGGAGACGTGTTATGCTTTGGCGTCATTTTGTGGAAGTTTTTAGACGTCTCAAAACTCCTGTGGGACCTGGTGACGCTGCCGCTGCAGGTGCGTCATGAGTTAACTCAAACTCCTCCCCCCGCCCTCCTCCCTTCCCCGCCCACTTCCCCTCCCTTCCCGTGGCACCAGGTGGTGGGAGCAGTGGGCTTCCAGAATCAGCGGCTCACCGTCCCACCCGACCTCGACCCTGCTCTCTCCACGCTCATCCTCGACTGCTGGCACAAGTAAGCCATTCCTTTCCCTCTCTCTCCAGCACTCCCCCCCTCTCTCTCCAGCACTCTCCCCCTCTCTCTCCAGCCTCTCCTCCCTCTCTCTCCCCCCTCTCACCGTTCCTCCTGACCTCGACCCTGCTCTCTCCTCTCTCACCCTCGACTGCTGGCACAAGTAAGCCATTCCTTTCCCCCTCACTGGCCTTACTCCCCGCCCCACTGACTCCCTCACCTCCCTGGCCTATTCCTGACCTATCTTCTCTCCCTCTTGTTTCAAGCTGAAAGTTCCTCTCACTACCCCATCGTCGTTTGCTACCCTCCTCTGAGATCCGTCTCATTTCAAGAAGGCACTGTGGCACCCCGTTTCACCTCCTGCTCTACCCCTTCTCCCACCTTCACCCACCCCTTTGGTGATGTCTGAGTCGATTCAAGGTGACTTTGGAGTCGACTCAATATTAATTTCCAGAAGACACTGTGGCGCCCCATTTCCCTCCTGATCTACCCCTTCCCCCACCTTCACCCACCCCCTTGGTGATTTTTGAGTCAACTCAAGGTGATTTTTGAGTCGACTCAAAATCCATTTCAAGAAGACACTGTGGCGCCCCCTTTCACCTCCTGCTCTGCCCCTTTCCCACCTTCCCCCACCCCCTTCCCCCAAACCCCCTTTCGTTGTTTGCCTCAGTGACCCCAAGGACCGTCCGAAGTTTGACGATATTATGGTTAGGCTGAAGCCGATTGCTCAAAAGGCAGCGGGGGGGAAGAATGTGTGCGGCAATGCTCCTGCAGCTTCTTGAGTACGCTTGGGAGGGAGGGGGGGGGAGTCAAATCAAGTATGCCATAGTATTGTAGGCTTGTATTGCGTTATGAAAAGCAGGTCGCTATGGGTTTATGACGAGCAACTAAGCTGCTTGAGCGCTTTGCTGCCTGTCTATGGAGTTACTACAACTTAGTTATGAAAGGGACCACACTAAGAGCTTCAAAGGAGACTCTTGTTCTCAGTAGTGAATAATTTGTCTCCATTTACGTTTTATGTGGTTCGTCTATTTTGAACTCAAGTCCTGTGCAGTATATATATTTATTCTGGGAAACTTCGGTGTACACGATTGGGGAATATATGCGAATTGACAGTCTCCCAAGATCTTCGGAACACCACAAGCCAGTTGGAGTTTTCCTTTGACCGCTCCCTTCCCAAAATGTCTAGAACCAATTTTGTCCGAACAACTAGAGTGTACAGAGGTTATCTTTTGTGTGCAGAATAAATTCCTCGTGCATGGTGAAATTATTGTCGCAGGGTTTTTTTTCTTGCTGACATGGAGGCTAATCTCCATACCTTCCAGCCGCGGGGAACAAGAAAACTATTTGCGCATCATTCTTTTGGATTTTCAGGACAACCATGGTGGTGTTGTGAGGGACAGTTGGTTCAGCGGCAGCCATGGTAGTACCATGATTTACCACCTAAACTCTGCAACTAATAACTAAGTAAGCTCTTTCCAGTAGCTTGTCTCTTCTTAGGTTCCGTCGGCAGGGCCCGGGGTGTGAGTTTGGCAGGTGTTGCCTGGAGTTCTCGCAGCTCTGTTTTAAGCTGCGTGCTTTCTTGACTGCTGCTTGCTGCTTCTTCTTAGAGGCAGATCAGGAGTTTCTTTCCGTGCAAGCGCGCCGATTCCGGTGTTCTAGGTGAGAGGATCAACTCACCGAATGCGCTCGCCGTTGCTCGTTCGTCGCTGATCTTCAACTTTATTTCTGATCGTGTTAGGACCGGGTATGGCGAACTTGCGGTGTTACTTGGTCACTTTGAAGTCGGATCAGAGGCCAATAATATCGGTAGATACGGGATCCATGACACGAGCGATGCGATCCGGCTCAGCTAGTAGCTCACGCTTGTTAGAAGTGTATTTTAGAGACGTCTCAGAACTACACTTTCTATCACACAAGCGATGCGATCCGGCTCCGTTAGTAGCTCACGCATAATCCGATCTGCAATTCACACGGTCAACAGGTTACGTCGGAGTAAGGTGGCTGTAATCGTACCCTTGCGGTTCTTCCCCCGCCTCTTATCACCCGATTTTTCCTTATCTCCAGGTTGACTCTAATCCTACCTTGATCGCATCACTCGGTAGACTCGTCAAAGATGGAACACCCTCATTGAACTTGCTGCTTCCTCATCCCCCTTTACGTGCCTCAGGCGTGCTTACTACGACACCAGCCGGCCGCCAGCTAAACGGATCTCACTTCCGCTGCACCTCCTCCCGCCGCCCTTGTCGAGACGTCTCAAAACTTGCTGCTTCCTCATCCCTCCGTGCCCCTCAGGCGGCCTCAGGCGCCTGCCTACTACGACACCAGAGCCGGCCTCCACCTAAACGGATTTCACTTCCGCTGCACCTCCTCCCGCCGCCCTTGCTTGATCCATCCTCTCTTTTTTTCACGAATCCGGGACGTCGGATCAATTCTCGCCCGCAACACCACCAACGATCCAGATTCTACCGAATTTGCAGCACCCAACGCCAGCACTGACTCTTCGCTTTCCCTTCCGCTGCAACTTCCGCTTTCCCTGTCACTCTCCCACTGTCTCTCCGCTAGTCGCCTGCATTCCCGCACATTCCCCCCAACGCGCGCAAACACCTTCCGCCGATGTTCCGCTTCCTGTCGTCCGCCTCCGCGCGGCGATTCAGGCGAGCCGAGAGTGCCGCTGCTCGGGCTAGCGACTCTCTCTTGCGCCCTTTCCGGGATGCGACGGTCTGCCAGCAGACCAGACTAGCCTCCTCAACGCCAGCTGCATCCTCTGTTGGAGCAGCAGGAGCTTCAGGGGCTTCAGGAGCTGCTTCAGGTGCTGCGTCAGGTGTTTCGTCAGGAGTTTCGTCTGGAGCGTCTAAGATCGCAGCCAAGGCGGGCGTTGAGATCCCGTCATTCGCGGAGTCCATTCAAAGGAGGTTCGGATCAGTGGACGGCCGGGATTTCGTCCTGCTGACCGCCGGGCTCGCGCTTGCTGGCCTCATTGGGGAGCGCATTCTCTCGGGTAAGATGCGTTCCCATTGTGCGATTTATATTTTTGAGCGCTCAAAATAGACTCCTCACGCATGGTTGAGGCGCCTCATAGACTCTCCGCTTTTGAGCTCAGATCCTGACGCATGGTGAGGCCATAACTTCTCCGGGTCCTTGCATAGGTCGACCGATCGACCTCTCAAGCGACTGAGACTTCTGGGAATTCCCATAAGTTGGAATCCGTCATGACGCCTCTGTTTCACATGCCAGCTTTTCTCCCCCCTGTAGGTCCCGTGGTTCACTTTGCTCCTCTTGACCAATGGCAGGCCGTTCTCGATGCCACTTTGCACGCATTCTCTCGCTGTGCTGCTTCCTTCGCCGACCTTCGTTCTAGTCACTTGCTGGTAGCGCTTCCCTCGTCTTGAACTGTGCATAATGTGGTGCCGGTTTGCTGCCTTGGAAATCGCCCAACAATCCGTGAAGTCGTTTTCTCTGTGCTGTTCCCTGTCCGTCCACCAGACCGCCACACTTCCGCATCTGCTTCAGCAGCAAGATCCCACCACCCACCAGCACCACCATCCCCATCGCCATCACAAGCCACAACAACACCTGAGGCCGACACAGCCACTGCACCTGCAACTCCCCAGCCTGAGGCTGCCGAAGCTGACGCATCGCCAGGCTCGGCAGACGCAGGCTCGGAGGAGGTCCTGTAGCTGTGGTAGTGGAAATAGAGGAGGTTGAGAGACCCCCTCTTGCTGACGCTGTGGACGCTGCTGCTGAGTATGTGGCCGAACTAGAGGCTAAGGCAGAGGAGAAAGCACAGGAGGTGCTTGAGAGACCCCCCCTTGCTGACGCTTTGGACGCTGCTGCTGGGTATGTGGCCGAGCTAGAAGCAAAGGCAGAGGAGAAGGCGCAGGAGGTGCTTGAGAGACTTCCTCTTGCTGACGCTGTTGATGCTGTTGCTGGTTATGTGGCCGAACTAGAGGCAAAGGCAGCGGAGAAGGCACACGAGGTGCTCGAGAGACCCCCTCTAGCCGATGCTGTGGATGTCCTCTCCGCATACGTTGCAGAGCTAGAGGCGAAAGGAGCGGAGGTAACGAGAGAAATGGAGGAAAAGGCGGAAGAGGTGGTGAGAGCAGTCGAGAAGGAGGTGGCAAGAGCAGGGGAGAGGGTTGCAGAAGCTGGGAAGGAGGTGGGCGAAGCAGTGAGTGCACTGGGCGAGTCACTGGCTGAAGATGTGAAGGCAGTGCGGGGGGAGGTGGAGGGGGAAGGGGAAGGGGTGGGGGAGGGGGAGGGGGAGGGGGAAGGGGCAAGGGGAAGGAGAAGGAGGAGGATGGAACGGACGACTGCCCGTTCTGCCAGTTTATGAAGGGAGGGCCGTGCCGAGAGGAGTTCATCGCCTGGGAGGGGTGCGTGGAGGCAGCAGAAAAGGCCGGGGAGAGCATAGTGGACCGGTGCGTGGGCCCCACAGAGGCGCTTAAGACGTGCATGGAGGGCAACGAGGGGTATTACGGAGTGGTGCTGCAGGCTGAAGCGGGCATGAAGGCGGAAGCTGCGGCAGCGGCTGCGACTGTGGGGGAGGCGGTGGCAGTGGTGGAAGCGGCAGCAGGGGAGGGAGGGGTTGTGGAGGGGAAGGGTGTCGAGGGGAGTAAGGTGGAGGATTCGGTTGAGAATGGGGATGGGGGGAGTGAGGAGGTGGTTGTGGTGGTGGTTGGGAAGGAAGAGGCGCCAGAGGAGGCAGGGAAGAAGGCAGCAGAGTAGGGCTCTGGTCCGAATTGGGATTTGAAGTGAGTATGTAGGCGCATGCATGTAGGTCCACGCTTGTATGGGTCCGTGTGCAGTTCGCATCCAAGCCTTCTGCAGCCTTGCTGCTCCATGCATATGGGTCGTCCAGATGTTCCAGTCGTTTTTCATGCCATACTGAAGCAAGTCATAGGACCACACATATTTTTTGTGTTCTATTGCCTTGGTGCTTTTCTTAACTCCTTGCCTCACCCTGCCCTGCCATTCGCTTTCTTGTTGACAAACAGGTTCGGCTCGTTGGTGCCTGACGGCGCTTGGCTCAGCCGCAGAAATGACCTGTAGGGGGAACCCACTCACCATCACCCACCATCACCCACCCGGACCAACCTCACCATACCATCCGTCAGATGACCTTGCCGTGCAACCCAACGGCTCCTGCTGAGCAAAGCTCAGAGGCTTGTCTGAGCCACACCATGATGATTTCATACATTGACAATTTGACATTATGATGAGGTGCATCATGATCCATGAGCTTTATGTCAAGCCATATCACCCTACGACATGAGATGAATTACCATGTACGGTGTTTCTAAATGCGATGGGTATGCATCTGGGCGTTTGAACTACATCACAGCATAGTTTAGCTATTCTATAGTGTTATTTCACTTAACGTTTTATAACGAATGCTCTTGTTTCTACTCAAAAGTTTTCTGAATTCACAGTGGTTACAGTACCCTTCCTGAGTTTTATCGTCCGCCGTGGTGTCTAGACCCAATTTCGAGGAGCCCTCTGTCGGGACTCGGGAGCTCGGAGAGCCCTTCATTGATCTGTAGGTATTTATTTTTAGCGTGCAGCTGGTATTGGCTGCGACAAAAGTTACAGCGGTATTCTCCTGCGCCGCCACCAGCGGCTTGCCGTTGGGTCGAACGGGCGATTTCGCGTCGAACGCGCGATTTCGCGTCGAACGCACGACGCTCTCTGTAGTCTTTTTTCCCTCGGCAACTCTCGTACGCGTCCACGCACTTACGCTTCTTTGTCAGCGTAATCAGCAGTCACTACTCTCGTCGCGCACACCCTCAGCAGTCTTTTCCAAAAGATCACTCTTGCAGCGCGGCACGATGGATCTGGAAGAGGGTTCCGCGGGAGGGTCCGCGGAGCCCAAGGCGGGTTCCGCGGGAGGGTCCGCGGAGCCCAAGGAGGGGTCCGCGGAAACGGCAGAGGGATCCGCGAAACCCACGGAGGGGCTTGCGGGTCCGGCGGAAGGCGGAACTGCTGAGACCGGTTTAGCGGGAGCGGTCTCCGCTGGTGAGGTCGGAGCGGTGGATACAGAGGCCGCGGAGTTGGCGGAAGGTTTGGCGGAAGGCGGAAACCAGGTGGCTAGATTAGCGGCGGGGCTGGCGGAAAGCGGAACCGCGGAGTGTGGTTTGGCGGGAACGACTGCTGAAGTTGAGGGCGGAGGGATGGATGCGGAGGCCGCGGGGAAGGCGGAATTGGCGGGTGAAGGGGGACACGCGGAAATAGCGGGTGAAGCGGAAGGAGATGAGGGGGAAGCCGCGGGAGTGAGCGGATCTTCCCCAGAGCAGCGGGAGGGGGGAACGTCGGCTGGGGAAGCGGAAGGTGCATCGGCGGAGGTGCAGGGGAAAGTCGCGGAACCGGTTCTAGGGGCGACTGGTGACGATATGAGAGGAAAGGTGACTGTAGTTGAAGGTGATAAAAGCGAGGGAGAGCGAGAGGCTGTGACTGCAACAGGGGATGGGGTAAGGCAGGGAGGGAAGGGGGAAGAGGGGGTTGAGGAGGCGAGGAGAGGAGGAGGGAAGGGAGGAGGGGAGGAGGAAGGAAGGGGGAAGGGGGTGAGAGAGGAGGATAGTGCGTCTGGTGTCCGCTTGCTACATCTTCAGGTGTCTGGTGCTGGGATGGGGCTAGTTAAAGAGAGCGAGACACCTCAAGATGTAACAAGCGGAGTTAAGAGGAGCGGGGAAGGGAAGTTTGAAGACGCAGGGGGAAGGGGAGTGCTTGGGGGCGGGGAGGAGGGCGGAGTGGAGGGGAGGATGGAGGTGGAAGGGGGAAGCTTAGAAGTGGTTAAGGAAGAGGAGAGGAAGGATGGGGGGCCAAATGAGGGAGAGGAGGAGGAGGAGGTAGAGGAGGAAGAGGAGGGAGAGGGAGAGGGAGAGGAGGGAGAGGGAGAGGGAGAGGGAGAGGGAGAGGGAAGGCAAGAAGAAGTGTGTAAGGAAGAGGAGAACGTGCTTTCAGTAGAAGACGAGGCGATGATAGGCCAACGGAAGGGTGCAGGTGAATGGCAGGGGAACGGCGAGACTGAGGGGAGGATGGTAGGGGATGGGGATGATCGGGATGAGGAGAAGGGGGGGGGAGGAGAGAAGGCTGAGGGAGAGGAGGTGGTGGGGGGAAAGGTCGGGAAAGAGGTACAGGAGGAGGATGAGACGGAGAAGGCACGGGAGGGAGAGAGAGAGGGGGGAAGACAGGAGGGGCACCAGGAGGTGGAGACGGAAGGGGATGAAGGGGAGGGGGGGGATGCAGGGGGGGGAGGGGATGACACGGGTGGTGTGACGCAAGGGGGGCAGGAGGAAGTGGAGAAGGAGGCTTCTGAGTCGACTCAAAAGCAGAAGGCAGGGGATGCAGGGGAGGGGGGGGATGGCTCGGGTGGTGTGACGCAAGGGGGGCAGGAGTGGTACGATGGGCTGGGCGGGGAGGGGAAGGATGAGAAGGGGGAAGACGAGATGGAGGGAGAGGGAAAGGGGAGTGAGACGAAGGGGGAAGTGGAGGAAGGAGAGAAGGGCGAAGACAGCAAGGGGGGCGAGGAGAAAGAGGGAGAGCAGGTGGGATTAGAGCAGTTGGAAGTGGAGAAGCATGAGGGTGGCAGCAAGCCGAGTGAGGGGAAGCCAAGTGAGGAGGATATAGAGATGGGCGAGGGCTACTTAGCAACCTCCTCTGCTACTCCATTCGTCGTTGCTGTTGCAGCGAGTGCACCAGCGGGCGGCGTGCTTATAACGAGCGGTGCAGTGGCTGATGGCCCGGTTGACTCTGCTCCTACCTCCACAGTTGCTGCTGCAGCTCCTGCCTCTACAACTGTTGCTGCTGCTCCTGCTGCTGCTCCTGCTGCTGCTCCTGCTGCTGCTGCACCTGTTGCTGCTGCGCCTGTTGCTGCTGCAGCCAAGGCTGGTGTAACAGAGAGCGTTACAGACTGTGCTGAGCCGCTTCATGCTAAACCAGACGATCAAGCGAATGCCGAGCCAGAGGCCGAAGTGGGTCTGGATTTGGACACTAGGAGTGCTGGTTGGGGTGCTGGAGTATCCTCTTCTATCTCACCAGCCCATGCAGCCCATGCAGCCCATGCAGCCCATGCAGCCCATGCAGCCCATGCAGCCCATGCAGCCCATGCAGCTTATGCAGTCCCTATCCCTGCAACCACCCCTCTCTCGCCTCCTTTTCCTCCCCCTCCTGCTGCTCTTCCTTTATCCGCACACCTCCCTACTTCCCCCCCTCCTCCTCCTCATCCTACTAGTACCACTGCTACTCCTACTGCTACTACTGCTGTGATTGCGCCTTCCGCCTCCCCTCCTCTCTCTCTCACGCCAGCTCAGCTCGCCCTCCTCCAATCGCAGCGCGACTGCTTCGCCAGGCTGGCGGCCGGCCAGCCACTCACCGACTGCCAGCTGGCGGGCCTTTTCCCGCCGCAGCTGGTGCGTCAGAAAGTCGAGGCGCTCAGGAGGATAAAGCGGGCGGCGGAGGAGAGAGTGAGGGAGGGGAGGGAGAGGGTGAGAGAGGGGGAGTGGGAAAAACTGGTGGGGGAAGGGGAGAGGGAGGAGAGGGAGAGAGAGGAGGGGAGGATTGCCAAGCTGGAATCCTTGCTGGCAGTTGTGCAGGCGCCAGGTGTCAGGCGGTCATTGGAGATCCAGCTCAGGTGCCTGAAGCTTCGTGGGCTGCAGAGGAAGGTTCGTTTCGAGGTGCTTGCTGAGAAGAGGATCGCTGACTGGGCGGCTGGCGGGGTGCGGAACGGTGGTTTGGTGAACGGGCACGCTGAGGTGGCGCGTGGTGACGTGGCAGAAGAGGAGGATGACAAAGAAGGGACAGGAGAAGGAGGGGAGAGGGACGAAGGGGAGGAGAGAGATAAGTTGATGGAGGAACAGAGAGTGTTGAAGGCCAATGAAGCCTACGGTTCCCACCAGCCCCTTCTAGATTGGAGCCTCCTGCGCCTGACCCCTGCTGATGTGGAGCGCGCGCAGCTGAGGTGGCAGCTGCCACCTGGCATGAAGCCACTGGCTGCAGAGGAGGAGGCGGAGGCGGGGGAGGGGGAGGATGCGTGGGATGAGGATTACTATGAAGAGGGGCTAGGGTTTGAGATTGAGTCCCGTAAGAAGGATGCTGCTGCTGCTGCTGCTGCGGCCGCTGCTAAGGTTGGGGTGGCTGGCGGATGGGATCCGGAAGCTTCCGAGGCGATTGAGGTGGGCTCTTTATCTGATGGGTGGTGATTACAACAGTTGGTGAGCCTACTTGAGCTTGCAGGGTATTTTTTAGAATTCTCAAAAATACTTGAGCTGTGTAGTAGCCTCGGCTCATCCCCCATTTCCCTCAACCCTCACCCTTCGTCCTCTGTTCCCCCCCCCCCCCCCCCCCCCTTCTCATCGTTATTCTCCCCCACTTTTTTCAAAAAGGCGGCTCGAAAGGCTCGTCGGAAAGCAAACGCGGTCGAATCCGCAGCCCGCTTCTTCGCCGACGTGGCGCAGGCGGGGCGCGACATGTCAGCGGCCAGCCTGGCGGAGCAGCGGCGGCGGAAGCAGCGCAACGACGGCATGCTGACGTGGCACGCGCGGCAGAAGCAGCGGGCGTCGCGGGCGGAGCGCATGCGCGTGCAGGCCCTTAAGGCCGGGGACCAGGAGGCGTACTTTAAATTGGTAGAGGAGAGTAAGAATGAGCGGCTGCATACGCTGCTGGGGAAGACGGATGAGCTGCTTCAGAAGCTGGGCGCTATGGTGCAGAAACAGAAGGATGCTGGTGGTGGTGGTGGTGGTGGGGGGGCTGATGCGGCTGCAGCAGCGGAACGAGCTTCGGAAGCAAGAGAGGCGGCAGCAGCAGCAGCAGAGGCTGCTGCTGCAGATGCGGCAGCAGGAGGAGAGGGAGGAGGAGCGGCTGGGGAGGGACAGGAGGGGCAGGGGCAGTCGAAGCGTGACTTAATGGAGGGGCAGAGGCGATACGACCGAGCCGTGCACTCGATAGAAGAAAAGGTCACGGAACAGCCCTCATTATTGTCACCTGGGCGGCAGCTGAGGCAGTACCAGATGGAGGGGCTGCAATGGATGGTCTCGCTTTATAATAACAATTTAAACGGGATTTTAGCGGACGAAATGGGGCTCGGAAAGACCATACAAACGATCGCTTTTATCGCGTTCATGGCGGAGAAGAAGGGGGATTTCGGGCCGCATCTGGTGCTGGCTCCGAAAGCCGTGCTGCCGAACTGGGGGGTGGAGTTTGCCGCATGGTTCCCAACGTGCAGCGTTGTGATGTACGATGGAAGGCAGGATGAAAGAAAGGTGCTGAGGGAAAGGTTTGGAGGGGCTCTTGCTGGGAGAAGAGGAGGAGGAGGAAGGAGGGGAGGGTGGAGAGGAGGAGGGAGAGGAGGGAGGGGAGGGAGAGGGAGTGTGGATGATGATTGGGGGAGTGAGGAGTCGGGGGGAGGGGGAGGAGGAGGGGGGGGAGTGACGGGGGCGGAAGGGGAGGAGTATAAGTTCAGCGTGCTTCTAACGCATTACGACCTTATTATCAGGGATAAGGCGTTCTTAAAGAAGATCAGCTGGCATTATGTGATTGTAGACGAGGGGCACCGGCTTAAGAACCACGAGTCAGTACTTAGTAAAACGCTGGTGGCGGGATATTCGATCCGGAGAAGACTTTTGCTGACCGGAACGCCGATCCAGAACAGCCTGGGGGAGCTGTGGGCGCTGCTGAATTTTCTTCTGCCCGCGATTTTCAACTCGAGCGACAACTTTGAGGACTGGTTCAATGCGCCGTTTGCTGACAAGTGCGACGTGTCTTTGAACGAGGAGGAGCAGCTGCTGGTGATCCGAAGGCTACACCAGGTGTGTGGGTGTTCACTCTGGTGATAGGGTAGAGGGTAAGGGGAGGAAGAGACAGCTTACCATTTAACACGCCGTTTGCAGATAAATGTGTCACGAGCTTGAACGAGGAGGAGCAGGTGCTGGTGATCAGGCGCCTGCACCAGGTGGGTTTGGGGCTTCTGGTTATGGTTGGCTGCTGCTCAATTCCCCGGCTGAGGACAAATGGGGGCGTGAGCTTGAACGAGGAGGAGCAGCTGCTGGTGATTCGACCCCTGCACCAGGTGGGTTTGGATAGCATCAAGGTGAATGGTAGAGGGGGTAAGGGGAGGAAGGTATAGCTTGCCTGCCGTTCAATGACCCGTTTGCCGATAAATGTGACGTGAGCTTGAACGAGGAGGAGCAGCTGCTGGTGATCAGGCGCCTGCACCATGTGGGTTTGGTTTACCTCTGGTTAGTGAGCATTGGGGGGGGAATGATTGGTTTCTACAGCTGACCTGATCCCCCGTACCACACTCCACCCACCCACTCCCCCCACGGCCTCCTCCCTCCTCCCCCCTCCTCCCCCATCTCCACCTCTCAGGTCATCCGCACCTTCATTCTGCGCCAAAAATGGTCTCGAGGTCGAGAAATTTGTCTCTCCCTCCCCCCTTTGCCTCTGCCAACCCCCACCCCACACCCCACACCCCACACCCCACACCCCACACCCCTCACCCCACTCCCCACACCCCACACCCCACCAGGTCATCCGTCCCTTCGTCCTCCGTCCCTTCATCCTCCGTCCCTTCGTCCTCCCTTCCACCTCTCAGGTCATCCGTCCCTTCATCCTCCGTCGAAAAAAGTCAGAGGTCGAGAAGTTCCTCCCTCAGAAGCGCCAGGTGATCCTCAAGTGCGACATGTCCGCCTGGCAGCGCGAGTACTACTCACAGATCGTCTCGGCGGGCTGCGTAGGGCTTGACGACAGCGGAGGGAAGTCTCGTGCGCTGCAGAACACAGCAATGCAGCTGCGCAAGTGCTGCAACCACCCTTACCTCTTCCTCCTTGACTCCCTCGACTACGTCTACCAGCCCCAATCCCCCAACGAGCGTGTCCGGGCAAGCGGAAAATTTGAGCTGCTGGACCGGATTCTGCCCAAGCTGCAAGCCGGGGGGCACAGGATCCTAATGTTTTCGCAGATGACCAAAGTTATGGATTTATTAGAGGATTATCTCCGATCGGTCGGCATGCTTTATCTTCGCCTGGATGGCATGACCAAAACAGACGAACGAGGCCGCCTGCTGCAGCTGTACAACGCGCCGGACTCGCCGTACTTTATCTTCTTGCTCAGCACCCGGGCGGGCGGCTTGGGGCTGAATCTCCAGACGGCCGACACGGTGATTTTATTTGATTCGGATTGGAACCCCCAGATGGACCAGCAGGCGGAGGATCGGGCGCACAGGATCGGGCAAAAGCGGGAGGTTCGGGTGTTTGTGCTTGTAAGCGTGGGGTCTATAGAGGAGGAGATTCTAGAGCGGGCGAAGAGCAAGATGGGGATAGATGCGAAGGTGATCCAAGCGGGTATGTTCAATACGACATCGACGGCCCAGGAGAGACGGGAGCTGCTAGAGCAGATTATGAAGCGGGGTAAGATTCCGGATCTGGCACCGGATTTGCCGGGGGAGCGGGATACCAATAGGCTTATAGCGAGGTCAGAGGAGGAGTTCGAGATGTTTGAGAGGATGGACGAGGAGAGGAGGCGGCAGTTTGGGGCGGCGCGGCTTGGGCTGATGGAAAAGGACGACGTGCCCGAGTGGGTGTTTTTTAAGGGCGGGGAGGGAGGGGAGGGGGAGGCGGGAGGGGGGGAGGGGGAAGGGGTGGAGATGGGGAGGAGGAAGCGGAAGCAGGTGGTTTATACGGACGCCTTGAGCGAGTCGCAGTGGCTTCAGGTGATTGAGCAGGGGAGGGACGCCCAGGAGATTTTAACAGAGAAGGCTGAGAGGCTGAGTCAGAGGAGGGAGCGGAAGAGGTTGAAAGTGGAAAGGTTGGAGGGGAGGGGGGAGGGGGGGGAGGGGGGGAGGGGAGGGGGAGAGGAGGAGGGGGTTGAGGTTTTGGGGATGGAGGGGAGTGAGAGAGAGGGGAGTGTGGATGTGGGGTTTGTGGAGGGGGTGGGAGGGGTTGGGGAAGGGGTGGTGGAAGGGGGGAGGGGAAGGGGAAGGGGAGGGAGGGGGCGGGGGGTGGTAGGAGGGGGAGGGGAGAGGTGGGGGTGGGAGGGCAGGGGGGGAAGGGGGAGAGGAAGGGGGAGGGGGAGGGGGAGGGGAAGGGGGAGGGGAGCAAAGGCGGCGGATGTTACTGTGATTGGAGGGCAAGCAGAGGGGTTAGGAGCGGTAGGGGGAGAGATAAGGGGAGGGGAAGGGGGAGGGGTGGGGGACGATGGGGTGGAGAGTGAGGATGTGCCATTGTCAGGGATTATTGTGAAGAGGAGGAGAGTGAGAAGGAGGCTGACGGGGGTCATGGCAGGAGGGGGAATGGAGGGAGGGGAGGGGAGAAGGGAAATGAGATGGGGAGGAGGTAGGGGAGAGGAGGAGGGTGGGATGAGGTATGGGGCTGGTCCTGTTGGTGGCAGTGCTGGTGGGAGTGCTGGTGGTGTTGGTGGTTACAGCGGTGGGGGTGGTGGGGTTGCTGGTTATAGTGGGGCATGGCGAGGGGGATAGTGCAGATGATGTTGCTGGTGATGCTGCTGGTGATGCTGCTGGTGACTACAGTGATCGTGATAATGGCGGTGCCAGTGACGACCGTTTCGCGCACAGCAGACAGGGATTTGCGGCAGCAGCAGGAGCGGCAGGGGGGGGTGGAAGAGGGGGGGGCTATAACGAGGGGGGGGAGGGGTTGGGCAGGGACAGGATGGTCAGGAAGGGGATGAGGAGAGCGATGAGACGGAGGGGCTCTGGGAGGAAGAGTAGCGAACGGCGCACAGACCACCGTGCCGGTAGGGGAAGAGGGGAAGGGGGGAAGGGGGAAGAGGGGGAGAGGGGGAGAGGGGGAGAGGGGGAGAGGGGAAGAGGGGAAGACGAGATGGAGGGCCTCTGGGAGGAAGAGTGAGTAGCGAATGGAACGACGAGGGCCACACCAATTTGGGAGGACGAATGGCTTGAGTTGGACTGTGCACTTAGCTAAGTGGCAAGAAGGGGATGAGGGGAGTGACGAAATGGAGGGGCTCTGGGAGGAAGGGTAGCGAACAGCACAGACCACCGTTCCAGAACGGGACATCTAGTTTGAGTCGAGTCGAGACTCTCTCTGTGGCTCGATTAGCGTAACCAAGGGTGCAAGATGGTGTCAAGAGTGGGGCGCTTGTAAGTTGACTCAACAGCGGAGGGTGTGAGGGGATGGAGGGACCGTGAGAGAAAGACTAGGATTCCGAGGAAGGGTTGACCATGTGTGTGGAAGGGTCGACCATGTGCGAGGAAGGGTTGACCTTGACGAATCCTGGCTACCACACACGAAGGAAGCGAAAAAAAAAAAGGCTCTGGAGAGATCAGTGGATACTGCCGCATGGTGTATGGGTGCTGATCTCATGTGGTTTCTTGAGATACCCATATGTTAGATTCCTGCATTTTTGCCTTATCGTGGTGAAAAGTTTCGGGCAGTTTCATCGGGAGTGACTTGGATCCAACCATGTTGAATCCTATGGTAAAACCTCTGCTATGCAGCCTGCATACTTCACTCCAGCACAACTGTCTGCCAGAACCTCTTGACGTTTAGGGTGGAAATCCCCACCCCACCAGAAGTCAGATCCACGCCACACTTGGCGTCTGACTGGCTGCCTGAACCTCCTGATTCTGGGGTGAAGAAGAGTGAACAACCACCCCCCCGGCAGCAAGTCAAGCCAAGCGACTGCTCTGAAGGCAGGGCTAACCTATTGAAGTACCTATACTCTTTATACGCCTCACAACAATGCCAGCTTGCTCCTCTCCATCCAGGGACTTAACTAAGCAAACACACCAGGCACACGAATCGACTGACGAGGTGACTTTTGAGTCGACTCAAAAGTCACCTCTCCATCCAGGGACTTCCCTAGGCAAACACACCAGGCACTCGAATCAGACATTCATCAGACACATGTAAAGGGTCGAGTCGAGTCTCCCTTCCCGAGGTGTCTCCGTCTCACATGGCCAGTTCACTCCAGCACTTAGTGTTTGTGCCCAAACCTCTGAGTCCCGGGTGAAGAACCCCCACGGCACTTCCCGAGACTGCACTTGTCTGCTCTATGTAGGTGAGAGGTCCCAAAGCACGTTTGCACCGCGAATGCATCTCAAACATCCTGGATCGCCGATCGGTAGCCTGTCATAGCACAACAGGAGCACCAAGCTCGCTCCAGCACCTGTGTCTGTGCCCGAACCTCTGAGTCTCGGGGTGGAGAATCTCTGCCAGCACTTCCAGGGACTCCACGAGGCTCGGCCCGGGCCTGGAGAACAGCTTCGCCGCTTCCACTACAGCCATGGCAGGGAGGTTCGGCAGTTGCTTATGTGCTGCTGCTGTAGCTACTGTAGCTATCCCTCCTCCTGCCCCTCCTGCTCCTCCTGTTGCTGCTGCTGCTGCTCCGTTCCGGAACATTTGCCATTTTTGCACAGCCTCTCGTTTCACTGTAGCAATGGAGGTGGGCAGATCACAGCCGCACACTGCGAAGATCACCGCATCCGCAGATCTCACTAGATCCTGCAGCTCCCCTTCCTGCACCATCCTGGAACTTTCCGACCCCACCCCTCCAGCCAATCGGACCAGGTCTGGGACCCAAGCACCCGCCAGGAAAATCGGATCCAGCCATTGGATGCACACAACTTTTTTTCTCGGTCTGCCCGCGCACATCCCGCGGACGGTCTGGATTCGTTGCATGAGGTCTTTGACGGTGGATTCGGCATGCTGTGATTGGCCGAGAGCGGTGCCGATCCGACGGACGTCGTTGATAGCCTCGACAAGGGATGGAGGGTCGAGATGAACGATCCTGATGCGAGAGCCTAGCACATGAGAAAGCACGTTTTGAACATCCTCTTTAGAGAGTACCTCGGGTTCCTCTTGTAGCTGACGGGGCGAGAGAGACAAAGCAAAGAAAAAAGGGAGAGAAACTTGAAAGACGGAGGAGGAAGAAGTGAAAACGTCAAATGCGGTGCAATGGGGTGCACTGAGATGGAATGTAATAAGATGGAGTGCCGTGATAATGTGTGCTGATATGGTACGGCATGCAGCTGGGAACAGGTGTAACAATCAATGTGTTTTTTAATCAACGCAAAAATCATCTAGTGATAATGTTTGCTGATGCGGTATGCAGCTGGGAACAGGTGTAACAGTTTCATCTCAGTTTCATCTCCTATGTGTTGGACGGGTAACATGTCGCACTTGGGTGAGGATGCCATCTGGTCGGAGCCATTTCAGCACCACAGGGTGAGAGAAACCATTGCTCGATCGGAGCCGTTGCTGGCGTCCACAACATAGGTTGACAGAAACCACTCAAGCAGCAGGCTGGACGAAGGGTCTAGGTCTAGTCCAGCGCAGATTCTGAGACGCCTCAGTATCCAAGTGATAGATGATTTGTTTTGAGACGTCTCAAAACAATCTTCTATCCTGCAGCTGGCTGAACGAAGGGTCTAGTCAAAGGCAAATTCTGAGACGCTAAGAGAACCACGTTCATGCAACGTCCAGGGCAAATTCCAATAGCTCGCGCCTCACCTGAGTGAGAATGATGTCTGGTCGGAGCCGTTTCAGCATGCTGACGTCCACGCGGTACGGCGAGAGAAACCACTCCAGCAGCAGGTGACGCAAAGAGGAGGCGAGGGAGCGGCAGTAGCACTAGCAGCAGCTTGCGGCTCACCTGCGTGAGAATGACGTCTGGTCGGAGCCGCTTCAGCATGCTGACGTCTACGCGATAGGGTGACAGAAACCACTCCAGTAGCAGGTCGAACGAGGGGTTCGACGCTCGAGGCGAGGCGGGAGCCGAGTCAGAACCACCAGCACCAGCACCACCACCAGCACCAGCACCACCAGCACCAGCACCACCAGCAGCAGCACTGTCACTACCAGAAACAGCAGGAGAAGTAACACGCGGTGGTGGCAGGGGGGGCAGGAACGCGAGCTGCCAGGCCGCGGAGGCTCGGAGAGTGGAAATCGCCATGTGCACCTCGGCTTGGGACATTGCAGACTCGGCCGAGCCTCCGGCTGCCGGGCCTAGCTTAGGCTCGGTGCAGACAGGAACGGACTCCGTACCTGGTGCGTCGCACTGGGAAGGGAGGAGGGACGGGAGAAGGAGGAAGAGGTGAGCTAAGATAAGTAGGTGAGTAAGGAGGGAGAAATGGAGAGCGGGGAAGAGAGAGAATGGGAATGCGGAGCGAGGAACAGGAGAGGGCGACGAGAGCGGGTGAGATGGACGGGGGACTGGCAACAGGCAATGTTGCAGTTTCGTAACAGGCATGCTCTTTCCGCGCTATGGTAACAGTTTATTCGCGCTATAGACGCGCTCACCTCGTGCGTACGCGCAGCCAGCACGCTCGTCATTCCCAAGGCCGACACGGAGTCCGTCGCGGCTGGCAGCAGCGACACCACGCGAAGCTTCCATTCCGACATACTTGCCGGCTTCCGGCTCGGTGTCGGCGGAGGAAACAGCAGCCGTCAGGGAACGCAATGCAGCCTAAGACACTGGATTGGACTGGACTATTACAGCGAAGCAAACAATGGTTTGCGGGAAAGCAGTGAAGGGTTTAGAAAGGCATGAGGCGGGTCTGATGGTCTAACCCCAGCGGGAAGGGGATATTTTCTCGCAGAGTGAGTTTGACCCATTTCCTGGTCAAGGCCGAGACTGAGCTGCATATTGCGGGGAGATTCGACATAAGGGTATTTGACTGGACCTCCATACGCAATACACGAGCGATCACGCTGAGCGCGCTAGCCTTGAAACGCATTTATATAGCACATTATCATGTTGTAATTGAACAAAGCAAACTCCACTACAAGGATAGCAAGTCCTTGAGAATCGACATCTCTTTCTTGCTATTTTCCCCTTTCTTTTCTTGCATATTCAAACACCCTCTATTCCCTAGCCTAGTTCGTCCCTCCGCACGACCCTTGGCATCCGAACCCGAGCCAACCACCCCAGCTGCTTTCTTCTTTCTCGCCTTACCAGAAATGCTACTTTTCTGGTGATTCGACACATTCTCTCCCCGTAACTTCCCAGTAGAAACATCGGCATCTGATTGAGGCCGCGGTTCTGACACGGCTTCAGGCACCACACCTGCTTGGTTACTTGGCTTCGCCTGTCGATCTCCAACTTCAAGCCTATTCACCACAGCACCAATTCCTGCAATCTTTTCTCCAGTCCCAATGCTTGACGGTCTCGTTTCTTTCACAGCCTCCCTCCCCTCGTTCTCCTCCTCCCCCTCCTCTTCTTCTCCCTCTTCCCTTTCCTCTTCAGGCTCCCTACCACATAAATCTGCCTCTGTTTCCTCCGCAATTGCGCCTCCACCCTCATCACCATCCTTCTCCATCCCACCATCCTCCAAATCATCCTCTTTCCCCTCATCCTCTTCCACCTCACCTTCCTCCCCCTCGCCCTCCGACATCTCCTCCCCTTCCTTCTCCCCCTCTCCACTCTCTTCCCCCTCTTCCTCATCACCCATCTCCCCCTCTTCCCCACCTCTCGTGCTCCTCCCTTCCCTCCCACCATCATCCCCATCCCCCAATTCCTCCTCTCTACTCCCATCCACCTCAAATTTTCCAAGACCCTCACCCCAACTCTCCCCACCTGCCAAAACACCCCTCCCCATCCCTCTCCACTGCTAAAAACACTCCCCCCTACCACCTCCTCCTCACCCCCTGGAAACTCCTTATGCCCCGTGACCCTCCCCCTCCCCCTCTCCCTCCCGCTCCCTCTGCCCGGATACCCTTCCTTTGTCCCAGCGCTGCTGCCCGGGGCAGAAACAAACTCTCCAAACCCAAGCTCCTGCATCAGCACCGCCATGGACGGCCCATCCGCCCCAAACGGACCCCTCTCTCTCTTTATGCTGTCTCCTTCTTGACTGACTCCCCCTTGACTCTTCAGCCTCTTGCTTCGTAAATCTGCTCCCTGTAACTCACCAGATGCCCCTGCACCAGATGTCCCTGGAGGGGCTGCTTCTGGAGCAAGTGTAGTTGGAGCACAGGCATCTTCTGGAAAAGGAGGCACGTCTGCACTGTTTGCGAGCACCCCGCTTTTCACAGTCTTGCCCTTTCTGCTGCTGCTGTTGCTGTTGCTGTTTGTGTTGGCGTTGGTGTTGCTGCTCGGTCCAGGCGAAGGGATGGGGCGAGAGGAGATGAGGAGAGAGGGGCCTTGCCAGGCGTGGTGTAACTGCCGGGGGAGAGTCGGGGGGAGAGAAACCTGGGGGGGGGTGTGGGGGGGAGGCAAGGTAAAAGATTTAGCTAAGAGATTTGGGAAAGGTCATACAAAACACAATAAAACAGCTCAATTTTGCGAAACATTCGGTTGAGCAATGCACATTGCAGGTGGAAAAATACGAGTAGCCATCGCTTTACCTTGCCTCTTGCTGCTGTTGCCGACAGGCGATTATAAGCCGAAACGTGGTGTAGCTGGCACTGCAGAAGTAGCACCCAAAGCACACAAACAAAGAAGCACATGGGAGGGCATGCATTTAGCATGTATCCAACCAAGGCAACATGAAGACAACAAGCAGAAACCTACAAACAATGTGCCACTTGAAGCAGGGTGAACACAAGAAATACCCACCTGAAGCAAGATGATGTGCAGCCGACCCAAGCAGGCAAAACATGTGACACAGAAGGGGAGAAAGCGCTCCAATATAACCAGACCCGCAATAAGGCTGGGGAATGGGGTGGGACAATGGATGTGAGAAATAAAAAACAATGAGCTTGAAATCGGAACAGTAATCAAGTCAACTTTCACTAAGGCTGAATCTGCCTGAAGCATAATCTGAAGGGGGCAATATAAGGTCTGGTTATATTGGAGAGCTCCAATATAAGCAGGCATTGAGCATTAACTATGCTGCAGTAAGCAAATCTTACCGTGCAGCTCGAGTAAGGTGGCCCGTACTCTGAGATGGACGGACAAGGGACGCTGGACGGGGGAGAAGACTTTTGAGTTGACTCAAAAGTCATATGAGCGTTGGCTGTGCTGCTGTAAGAGAACCTTACCGTGCAGCTCGAATCAGGAGGCTCGTGGTCTGAGATGGATGGACCAGGGACGGTGCACGGGAGAAATGGACGAGAGATGGGAAGGGGGAGAGAGATGGGGAGGCGGAGAGAGATGGGCGAATGGGAGAAAGATGGGCGAATGAGAAAGACAATTGAGAAATCAAGAGGAAGGAAGCACGAAGCTGAGGCCAATGGTATGGAGCAGAAGAGAAGAAAAAGAGATTGCAAACCTTACCTCTTGAATGTAATCTAGAGAGAAGATGAGTCGCTTGGATTGGCTGGCTAGCTCAGGGCTTTGAGCAACAGCCAGCAGCGCTGGGGGCGTGGCTTCTTTAATCTGCTGCAGCAGCTGGAGCACGTTAGAGGAGAGGAAATCCCTTAGTCTCCGGTGGAGCTGACAGGGGGGGGGGGGAGGGCCAGAGCGGGGGGAAAAGAGGGAAGAGGAGGGAAGAGGAGGGAAGAGGAGGGAAGAAATGCTGACGGGTGGATGCAATTTGCTGCAGCAGCCGGAGCACGTTCAAGGAGAGGAAATCCCTTAGTCGCTGGTGGCGCGGCTGACAGTGGGGGAAGGGAAAGAGGAGGGAAGAGGAGGGAAGAGGAGGGAAGAGGAGGGAAGAGGAGGGAAGAGGAGGGAAGAGGAGGGAAGAGGAGGGAAGAGGGGGGAAGAGGAGGGAAGAGGAGGGAAGAGGAGGGAAGAGGAGGGAAGAGGGGGGAAGAGGAGGGAAGAGGAGGGAAGAGGGGGGAAGAGGAGGGAAGAGGAGGGAAGAGGAGGGAAGAGGGGGGAAGAGGAGGGAAGAGGAGGGAAGAGGAGGAAGAGAGTATGAGAGGGGTGTACAATCTGGCGCCGCTGCTGGAGCCTGGAGGACGTTCGAGGGAAAAAATTCCCTTAGTCGCTGGTGGAGCTGACAGGGAGGCATTGGTAAGAGCGATGGGGAGAAAGGAATGATACAGGCGCTAACAGAACAGGTTAGAGACGTAGCATCAACTGGAGACACAAAGACATGGAACCAATGCTAGGGGATAAAGAACCGGAGTTTCTTGGAAGCGGATAACAAACGCGACGAGCTGCAACGAGCTTACCTGGCGAAGCGCGTGGAAATATTTCCCGCTTCTGTGCTGGCTGCGATTCTGACGCACCAGCTTCCCTAAAAGCGCTGTCTCGAGCTGCAAATCGCTCTCCATACGCGCTACAAGAAAGCCAATAAAATCGGCTTATTTAATCGGCTGTATAGAAGCGATCGCATGCGGATTGGACGAATCGGCTGGACGGTCCCAAGGGTAATTTGACCTCACTTGAGGAGCTAATAATCGTGAAGCTGATTATTCCAAGAGGCGGAAGTAATTCCAGTGTCAGGGCAGCGGCACGCTGGCACTCCAAGTTGGCGCGTTTCGCAACATCTCGCAAAAGAGGTGAACCCCGTTACTATTCAACCCCAAAAGCTGTTCGCGAACTGACACCAACCCAGATGCGAGCGAAATGTTTTTGCGCGAACTCGACATTTTGGACCATCAGGAATTGGTGCAATTGGCCAAAAGCAATCTTGTCGAACTACGGCGGAAATGTTCTTTCTGGGTAATCCTGTCACAATTACGCTTCCTCCGATTAATTTAACCATAATGCAGGCTAGAAGCAGCGCGCTTTCCGCGTTCCTCTCCGTATCCTGCTGCCTTACTGCCTTGTCCTTGCTGTCGTTCTGCATCACTTTCAGGCTATACTCGCCGAAATCGGAGAAATCTACAAGGAAAGTACAAGGTGCTTCTGCGGACAATGCCGTCGAGCAGCCTCTGCAGAATTTCCTTGCTGTTCCCGACGATAACCTAACATGGCGTCAAGCATCTCGAATTGCTCCGATCAAAGAGAAAATCTCAGTTCCCGTCTCCGGAATCCCAGGAACAAAATTCAGCAACGACTCTGCCCTGCAACGATTCCGAGAACGCTGGAAATGCATCAGCCAATCAGGTCATTGGCGCTTCGATCCAACCCCTCGTCTTCTTCACTGGCGAAATCCTCTCAGTCCGTGCGACCTCCGACACATGGAGAACCCAGGAAACCTCGCTGGCCCTCCAGCCAATGAAGCCGTGACACGTGGCATTTCTCCTGAAAAATGGACCGTCAGGGAAAGCCTGAAGTACGTCTGGGATATAAGCAGCAGTAAGGACGGCAGGGGTTGCGGCCGGTGGATGTCGTTCAGTGTTGCCAGATTTTGTCAGGCACTTGGTGGAAAGAAGCTCCTTGTGACTGGTGATTCTTTGAACGGTCAACTCGCTCTCTCCCTGCTTCTCCGCTTGAAGATTGACCAAGACGTCATTCTGGACCCGGGTTTTTCTACCAAGTGCATCGCTGCTAGATTAGCTTACCCGCACTTACCTGTGATCTGCTTCTCCTCCCCCATCTGTGAATCCTCGGGTCATCCGTCTCAGCTCTACTTCATCCGCAGCGATTATCTAGACATCCCCGTTGCCATACCAGGATTTTCCTCGGAAAATCACTGGTGGGTGGACGAGATAGCAGCACAGGGTGTAGATATGGTTGTTCTGAATCGTGGAGCTCATTATGTGGAGGATGCAGCATTTGAAGCGCAGCTCAACGCGACCTTTCACCACCTGCGAAATCGCTTCCCCGGTCTTCTGTTAATCGTCAGATCGTCTGCTGCTGGGCATGCTGATTGCATGAATTACAGCCGTCCGATTGAAAAACGGCTACCCGAAGAAGGGCTACCCCACAACTGGGGTGAAATTTCTCACCAGAATCGCATTGCGGAGCGGTTGGCTCACTCCATAGGCGCTGCATTCCTGGACGTGGATGAAATGACAGCGCTCAGACCAGACTCGCACATGGGGAGGAAAGGGAATTCTCCTGATGCTGTGGACTGCCTGCATTACTGCATCCCTGGACCCCAGGATGGGTGGTCTGACATGCTCCTCAACATGCTGCTGGACCTGCTTCCATAATTTCATTGCATCACCAGGCTCACATCAGGATGTCCAATACTGCATCACTGGTCCCCAGGATGGGTGGTCTGACAGTGCTTAGGAGTCCGACCGTTCTTCCTGGCTGCTGTTGATATTGACACACGGGACAAAGCTTGTCCCCACAAATGCTCAATTATTGCCAAATTCCACACCGACAGCAGGTTTTCACAGGCAGCATACATGCATTATCGATACAACCTTCTCATTCAACTTCATCAACAGCTCCTGCATCCTTCTCAGCTTTTCTTTTCTTGGCTGCTGGTGTCCCAGCTGCTTCTGCTGGGGTCCCCCCAGCCACAGCAGCAGCTGCTTCTCGCTTCTCCAGCTTCCCTTTTCGCTTCACACTCTTCTCGTCCCTCAAAGCTGCATAGAAAAGAGAACAGCGGGAATGAAAGTGTGCAGCATAATGAGACAGCTTGAGACCTGATGAGAGCCATGAGATGGAGAAGGAAAGACGAGCAGTACCAGATGAGGTAAAATTGTTCGGGAGGATGGAATAATGACGGTGGGATAAAATAAAAGGAACAAGCATTGCAAGAGCAGTGTCTCACCTTGCAGCGTGGATTGCAGAGCTGGCAGGAATTCCGGGAACTGGATGTCTTCAATGCTGGCCAGCACATCGGCTGCACTCACTGTCTGCCGCTTGTTGCTGCGGCACCAATCGTTGGCTCTGATAGGAAGAGGATGGAAAACGGGCGTTCAGAAACCGCAAGGTGAGACTTGCCATGACTCAGTCATCCATCACTGTCTGCTGCTTGTCGCTGCGACACCAATCATTGGCTCTGAAAGAGGGGAAGGATCAGGAGGAACTTCCAGACGGTCACAAAGGGGCTTAACAATCTGGCAAATGAGAACGAATGATCTGGCGTATCAATCTGAGGGGGAGTCAGCGGTGGAGGAGAAGCTCACGTGGAAGTCAGGTAGTGGATGAAAACCCTAGCGCTCTCTGTCAGCGCGACCAGCGCATCTTTCGCCACCTGCACCTCCTTCTTCCGCCCAGACCCCTCTCCCCCTGCGCCCGCTACTCCCCAAAGCGCTCCCCCTTCCTGCATCAGCTCCTGCACTTTCGCTTTCACGATTCGCCGCACCACGGCCCGCGGCAGCTCTTCACATTCCGCCGCGATCTGCGCCGTTCCGCCTTCCCCGTCTCCGCCACCCGCTTCTCCGCTGATCTTCCCCTGATCCCGCCGACCCCGCACACCCGCCTTGCCTTTCCCAGCGGCCTTACCGCTCGTATCCTTGCTTGCGGCAGCGGAAGCTTCTGCATCCCCTCCAGAATGCTCTCCTGCGGGTGCCACGTCAGCGACTGGCTGCTCGTTCGCCAGATGGCTGGGATTGTCGCCTTCTCTCGGCGAAGCCATCGCGACGACGGACGACAAATTGTGCGAAATTGTTATTGCTGTGATCGGTGGGTATGCCTAGAGGCGTCACTCACGGTGCGAGATTTATGTATGCGTCTAGACAATGCCTGCCCTAACATAAGAAGAAACCGGGCTCTGATTAGATATCATCACCGTGACAGGTGTCACGCATTGTGGTACAGTAGTTAGATTTTCTGAATTTTGCTCTGCCAGCCCTGCTTTACTACAAGGCCCCGTTTATTGAAGCTACCCGACGCAAACAACTAGGGGGTACCATGCGTCTCCGCCTGGTGGTTCAATTGGGTTTGATTTACCGCCAAGCCAAACCCCAGGCTAGGAATGGAAATCAAGCAGAGAGGTTGTTCTGATTACGCCCTTCAAGCATCGTTTTGTCCCGCTGACGTCAGAAGCGCCAGAAGTTGCTGACGACCGCCAACATCCGTCAACGAAAGCACCAACCCTTCCCCCTTTCGCGAAAGCGAAAGCGAAAGGGTCCGACAGACCCCCGCTTTCCCCAGATTTCCCCTCCTCACACCCCCTCCCCCACCTCATTCTCCCCCCTCCCCCCGAGGCTCAGCCCCAGCCCCGAAAACACCCAACGCCAGCACAACGGATTCGACTTCAACGGATATTTGAATTCCCCTGACAACTGACTCGCCTCGAGATTGCCGAACTCGGCAGGCTTCGGATTCTAAGCTGAGGTGACCTTGGAATTCCTGTTCGGAGACGACTGCTCATTTCAGTCACTTGCTTGTTCACTCATCCGCGTGTTCTTCCTTGGGGATTCACTGTTAGGGATTCGTGTGTCGTCGATGTGTCAGTCATTCTCGTGTTCACTAAGCGACGCTGTCTTGGGCAATACTGTATATTGCTACCATTACCTTAGCCTTGTTAGGGTTAGCGCGTATTGCTGAGGCGTTTGCCGACTCAACTTATATGCACTGTCGCAAAGGAAATAGGTCTCTAAGAGTCCGTCTGACACCTTCATCGTGCTAGCACACGTTGGCAACTTCTCTTCCGTACTATACGAAACCGTGTTAGTTGCTTAGGTATATCTCACGAAGTAGGGTGGTCTTCGCCATTGTACTATCGGTCATTGTCACATTGTAACAACCGCGACAACCGCGTGTAACATGGCGGACGAACAGACGCAACAAGCGCTCGAGACGGAGCCACAACCACCCTCGCCAACTCTCTCGGAGGAGTTCGGCGGCGATTTTATCATCTACAACCGGCCGCCGATCAAGGAGGTCTGCCTCGCCTTCCTCCTGCTGGCGCTTGGAGCCCTCGGGATCATCGTAGGGTCATGGATGACGTACAACAAAGTGTGGGGGGATCGATCTCACGGTGCGTACGTCAGCATTCTGGCTCCATAGGTGTGCAAGATCCAATCTCCTGTATTGTGTTTCGCAATCCTGCATTTTTCAGGCTCCTGCGCTTCCCCTATGTCCCTCTCTTTCTCCCTAACTCCCCCCATCATTCCTGCCCCCCCTCCTCTCTCCTCTCTCACTCTCTTTCTCTCGTCCGTTTCCCTCCCTCCTCCCTTCCTCCCTTCCTCCCTCACGCCCTTCCTTTTTCTTTCTCCCAGACCCCTTCTTCCTCCATCTTTTGCCTGTTGCAACCTCTCTGTGTTTCACCCTTCTAAGTGCAGTTTTGCCTGTAAATAATCAGACCCCTTTTGTGCTACTCTGGCTTTTATTTACACCCGCTTACAGGGATTTCGTTTATTATACTCGGCATCTTGCTCTTCATTCCGGGTTTTCACGAAAGCCGCATTGCGTACTTTGCTTTCATTGGGTACAAAGACTTCTCATTCTCCAATATTCCAGCAGTCTAGTCCACCCCACCTTTGTGATGCCCTTTATATTATGAATCTTCCGATTTGCTAAAGTTACCGAATGTCTCTTCTACTGTCGGCTTGAAGTTGGCGAATCTTGTACCGAGGATATCCAGCTTCAATTCTCAGCCACAAACGGCCTGCAGCGGTCCACCTTTTCGTCTGGCTGCCACGCACTGCCATTCTGGCCTCTCATTGCTTCTCCTCGCCAGGACAACAGACCGCTCTCAGTTCCTTCAACAACTCCTATCACCACTCTTCGCCGCTGTCGTTGACGCTGACACAACAGCAGGTTGTCCTCAGCGAGGGTTCTTCTCAGGGGAACTGGTTTTGTTGAAGTCAGCAACTCCATTGCGGTAAACAGCCTCTTGTTTGGCAAACATCGGCCAACCAGCTGCTGTGTTTCCTAATGCAATATTTCCCGCCTTAGCTTCAACAGAGCTGTGACCTTACCAGTCTTTTGAAAGCTGAAGTGCCGTCAGCTGCATCATCAGCTCTCAGCAGAGAGCAAATTCCTGCATTAGGAATCAAAATGGCGTCAGCAGCTCTTCAGCCAACCCTTGGACTTGCCAGGCGCGTCGTAGTACACTATGACGGTCGACGACCGCGGGACCGCTTCCCGCATTTCAGGCCACACGCTTCGTGCGAGCGGATGAGGTCTTTCAATCTCAAGCCGCAGCAGGCACGCCTCGTGTCGCATTCTTCGAACACACCCGACGGATATGTCAGGAAACAGCTGACGAGAACTAGTTGCGATGCCAGGCCAGCAGCTTCGAGCAGGAGCCAGAACTCAGTGTGTCGGTCGGTAGCTGTATCTGCTCCTCCTTCTCCCCTTCCCCCCTCCTCCGCGCCGTTCTCTCCCCCGCCTCCGCCGTCTCCCGAGTTTTCCCCTCCAGAAGGCGACACAGCGGGCGCGGCATTTCTACTAGAAGATGTGACTCTATCGGCGGGCGATCGCGACCTGCTCTCGCTAGTGTCATGGCGCGTGATGCCCGGAGACCGGGTGGGCCTGGTGGGATCGAACGGGTGCGGCAAGTCGACGCTGCTGCGAGCGCTGATTGGACGGCAGCTGGTGGACGGCGGGAGGGTGATTGTATCGCGGGGATCGCGGATCGACTACCTGGAACAGACGTGAGTACAAAGGGGGGTCGCGCATAGACGGATTACGCACCAAGGGTAGTTGATACAATCGGGGGGACGCTGCCGCTTTTCCTCCAATGAGTGACGATCCTTGGGATCTCACTTACGAACGGACGTGAGTACAAAGGGGGGGCGCGCATAGACGGCCATGAGAAGATGAGGTTATCGTTGGAACATGCCCCCTCAACTTGGTGTATTTTGAGTCGACTCAAAATACACCTGAGTACAAAGGGGGGGGCGCGCATAGACGGCCATGAGAAGATGAGGTTATCGTTGGAACATGTCCCCTCAACCCGTTACCCATCCCGTTCCCATCTCCCGTCGACCAGCGCTTTGACGGGTCCCTTGGGATGGGACTATGTGGAAGGAGGTGAGTTCGCTATGCTCTTAATCCTCCTGCCTCCCGGTCTACCCTCCCTCGCCTTCTCTTCTCCACTACCCCCAGCGCTGTGTCAGGGTCCCGCAGGACTGTGTGGAAGGAGGGCCATGCAGGACTGTATTAGGCGAGCTCGCTAATGGATGCTCTTAGTCCTCTTGACTCTCTGTCTACCCTCCCTCCTCTCTCTCTCTTCTCCACTCCCCCAAGCGCTGTGTCAGGGTCCCAGAGAACTGTGTGGGAGGACGCGAGCTCGCGAATGGGCGCTCGTAAACCTCCTCCATTTCCCCAATCCTTCCCCCTCACTCACCCACGTCCCTCCCTTTTCCTCCCCCCCCCCGCCCCAGCGCTGTGTCAGGGTCCCAGAGAACCGTGTGGGAGGAGGCGAGCTCGCGCATGGACGCTCTTAACCAGGCAGAGGCTGACATGCATGCAGCGGAGGCTGAGCTGACGGATAGCGAGGCTGACGTGGCAGAAGACGGAGCTGAGGAGGCGGCGGAGAGGGAGAGAGCGCAGGAGCAGGCTGCGATCCGATTCGTGGAGGCGCAGATGCAATTTGATGCGATTGGAGGAGCGAAGAAGGCAGAGATCGTTTCTAGGTGAGAGGAAGTGGAGGGAAGAGGATGTAAGGGGGGAGAGGATGGGAGGGAATGGAGGGAGTGCAGGGAGGAGAGGAAGTTAATGGGGTAAGGAGGTGAGCGGCGGCCCCAAGGAGGAGGAAGAGAAAGGGTAAGGAAGGGGGGATATGACCTCTCCAACTGCCAAAAAAAATCCAATACGACCTCTCTTCTGGCCTTTGGAGCTTCTCAAAGGTTCCTCCCGTCCCCATCCATCCGCTCCCCCACTGTCCCCTGTCCCTTCTTCCAGTGTGCTCAAAGGTCTCGGGTTCGACTCCTCCAACTGGCACAATCCCTGTGACTCCTTCTCTGGAGGATGGCAGATGCGAATCGCCCTGGCCAGGCTGCTTCTGGGGCAGGCGTCAGCTGCAGCAGCAGGGCAGGGGGGGAGGTCGCTGCTGCTACTTGACGAACCTACCAACCATTTGGATGCCGCTGCCAGGGTGAGTGAGAGGTGGGGGGTATTGGCACTGGGTCTGGCAAATGAGATTCGCCCTGGCGAGGCTGCTGCTTCTGGGGCAGGCATCAGCTGCAGCAGCAGGGCAGGGGGAGAGAACTCTGCTGCTAACAGACGAACCCACCAACCATTTGGATGCTGCTGCCAGGGTGAGTGAGGGGAGTGGGGGTAATGGCTTTAGCAGATGAGAATCGCCTGGGCCAGCCTGCCTCTAGGGCAACCATGTCTGCTATTCTTTTCCTCCCTTTTCCACATACAGGCGTGGCTGGCAGATTATTTATGCTGGGTGCAAGCAGCCCTGATGGTGGTAAGCCACGACCAGACCCTCCTGGACTGCGTGTGCCAGCAAGAAGCAATCCTGTGCTTGTTCCGTGTGTGTTTCATTTCACTTCCCTATCGCACAGGCGTGGCTGGCAGACTATTTATGCCGGGTGCAAGCAGCCCTGGTGGTGGTAAGCCACGACCAGACCCTCCTGGACCGCGTGTGCCAGAAGATAGTCGAAGTCCGCGGGTCCCAGCTGCACCACTACTCGTGCTCCTTCTCTAAATTCCTCGTGGAGAGGGAGGAGAGGCGGCGGCAGAGGGAGCGCGAGATGGAGGGCAAGAGAGGCGAGATGGCGAAGTTGGAAGGCTTTATCAACCGGTTTGGGGCCAAGGCCACCAAGGCCGCTGCTGCGAATTCGAAGAAGAAGGCGCTGGAGAAGATTAGAGCGACCATGCCTGATGAAGACGAGGAGGAGGCAGGTGAGAACTGGATGGCTTTTGAGGCGCCTCAAAAGGAGGAGGCAGGTGAGAACTGGATGGCTTTTGAGGCGCCTCAAAAGGAGGAGGCAGGTGATAACTGGATGGCTTTTGAGGCGCCTCAAAAGGAGGAGGCAGGTGATAACTGGATGGCTTTTGAGGCGCCTCAAAAGGAGGAGGCAGGTGATAACTGGATGGGGGATGGGAAGAAGGTAGTTGTGATGCTTCAGTATCTGCACTTCCCACCACGCCTTATGCCCCTTCAGTATCTGCACTTCCCTCCACGCCTTATGCCCCTTCAATGTCTGCACTTCCCTCCTCCCCTCCCTAGTTTTTGAACTTCCTCTGTCTGCTTCAACCCGCCTTCCTTTCTTCCATCCAGCCTTTACAAACGATGAAGGGGGGGGGGGGATAGAAAGAAGGTGGCAGTGAGGTTTCCCCCTCCTCCTCTCTCCCCCCCCTACCGCTCCCTTCTGTGCACTTTGGTGCCTGATTCTTCGGCCACGCACCTCCTTCCCTCCTCCCCTCCTTCCCTCCTTCCCTCCTCCCCTCCTTCCTTCTCTCACTCCATCCTTTTCAAACAATGCAGGGGAGGACAGAAGGAAGGTAGCCGAATTTTTAGGTGCCTAAAAAATAGTCTCAGCTTTTGAGGCGCCTCGAAAGTGGTCTCAGTTTTTGAGGCACGTCGAAAATAGCGGTGCAGGAGAGGACAGAAGGAAGGCAGCCGTGAGGTTCTCCCTTGAACCCCTTTTTTTCCTTCGGTGCCTGAAGCTTCCCCTCCTCATGCGTCCACCCCCTTTTCGTTCTTCCCCTTCCAGCCTTTGCGAATGACGCAGGCGGGGACAGGTGAAAGGTAGCTGTGGCATTCCTCCCACCTCCCACCTCTCCCTTTTTCCCTTCGGTGCCTGAAGCTTCCCCTCATGCGTCAATCCCCCTTTCGTTCTTCCTACCTATTCCAGCCTTTGCGAATGACGCAGGCGGGGACAGGAGGAAGGTGGCGGTGAGGTTCCCCCCGCCCCCCCCCTGCGCCCGCCAAGTCATCATGCTCAGACGCGCTGCCGTTGGCTGGGCTGGTGCCACGTCAGCTCTGATTGAAAACGTCAGCTTCAGCATTGAGACCGGCACGAGAACTGTGAGTGAACCCCTCTTTGTTTTCTTTATCTGTTGCCCTGATACTATTGGCACATGCTGGTAAGTGCTGGACAATGCTGGTCAATGCAGTTGCTACATTCCACCCCCTTCATTGCCACGTGGCAGTTGATCGTTGGTCCGAACGGAGCCGGCAAGTCAACCCTGCTGAAAGCTATGGCAGCAGGGGCGGGCGCCGAGCTGATGGGAGGAGAGAGGGAGACAGGCGAGGGGGCGAGCCTAGGTGTGTTCTCCCAAGACCTGGCACAGGACTTGCCTCAAGAGATGACTGCTCTGGACTATGTGCTCAGTGTAAGTAGTTTGTTTAGTAACAAGCTTTGGCGTGCATTCAGAGGACCTCGCACAGGACTTGTGGCAAGAGATGACTGCCCTGGACTATGTACTTGGTGTAAGTAGTCCATGTCTAAGTGATCTGAGGCATGTATTCACAAGTCCTAAGATCACTTAGATCACCCTGTGATCCCCACAGGATGCACAAGTCCTATGTTCACATGTGTGCACAGGGTGTAGCGGAGGACATGAGTCGTGACTGACAGGTTGGAATTTTGAGGCGCCTAAAAAATAGACTCCTCAGACAGGAGTCGTGACTGACTGCTCGGGAATTCGGTAAATGACAGTGTTGGATTGGTAGGCGCTGGAGACATAGCCTTGGCGTTCTGAGTTGTTTCATAGAGAAGTTCTGTTCTGTTCTGTTCTGTTCTGCTGAGGCCAACATTGCTCACTCAAAGGTCCCCTGCTTCCCTTCCCCAGGTTGCCAGGGAGCACAACCCTCGGGTAACAAACGAGCAGGCTTGAAACCTGCAAGTCTGTCTCAAGTTCCGCGCGTCAGAGGGTGCTGTGCGCCGCTTCCCTTCCCCAGGTTGCCAGGGAGCACAGGGTTCCGCGCGTCTTGATGCGGCGCACAGCACCCTCGGACACCTTCCCATTCCCGGACTTCATCTTCCCAGGGCCGCCAGGGAGCAAAAACCCAGTTGTAACAAACGAGCAGTCCCAAGGAGCTCTCTGATTCAGCATGCCTTGGTGCGGCTCACAGCACCCTCCGATGCCTTCTCATTCCCTGACGTCATTCTCCCCCCCTGCTTCCCCAGGCCGCCAGGGAGCACAAGCCTCTGGTGACAATCGAGCAAGATAGATTCCAAACCTGCAATGCCTTGGTGCAGCTCACAGCACCCTCTAATGCCTTCTCATTCCGTCCCTTCCCCCTTCCCCAGGTCGCCAGGGAGCACAACCCTTTGGTAACCAACGAGCAAGGCCGTACCGCCCTGGGGACACTCGGCCTATCCGGCCCTGCTGCCCTTCGACAAATAGCGGCGCTGTCGGGAGGGGAGAAGGCGCGGGCGGCGTTGGGTGGACTGTTGCTGCGGCCGCACAACGTGCTGCTATTGGATGAGCCGTCCAACCATCTGGACAGAGCCACTATGATGGCATTGGCGACGGGCTTACAGCAGTTCAAAGGTATTTCTGCAGTTCCCCTTCGCACATGGTGCAATTTCAGCTCACAATGTGCTGCTATTGGACGAGCCGTCCAACCATCTGGACAGAGCCACCATGATGGCGTTGGCGTCGGGCTTACAGCAGTTCACAGGCGCGATCCAGTACTTGTGCTTGCTCTGGTTCTTCACGCAATCATAGCGTGCTGAGGTGGCGGTCTCCAGTACTTGTCTCTCATAACAACAGCTTCTGCCAGCTCTGCCAGCCGACTCAGCTCATTTATCTCATGCTTGCGGACCGCCATAACCCGTGACCGTCCAAACCCTCTTTGCCCCCTGCTTTCCCGTCTTTCCCCCCTGCAGGTGCGGTGGTGGTGGTCTCTCACGACCACGACTTCTGCGATCTCTTCCAGCCCACGCAGCTCATCCGCATCGACGGCTCCGGAAGCTGCGCCTTTGAGCTCCTACCGCAAGATGTGACTGCAGCGGAAGGTGACAATACCGGTGGCAACGGCGCTGCTGCTGCTGCTCCATCTGGTGGTACTGGTGGCAAGCTGGCGGGTCTAGCAGGGATGGGAGGATTGGGAGGAGGGGGAGGGAAAGGAGGTGAGGTGGCGGGGAATGGTGTAGCGTCGGAGGCATTTCAACGGGGTATGGAGGTGAAGCTGAAGAAGAAGCTACAACAGGTATGGCATATTGATTTACTGTAGCCTTGCTTCATGACGTGATGTGCTTGTATCTACTCGGTTGTTGTTGCCACAATTGTTGTAACCTTTTGTACTGCTGACCTCAACTCAGGCACGAACCAAGATCCAACGGACACTCGCCACTTTGGAGAAGGGGGAGGCAGCCATTGCATCGTATGATGAAGCAATGTTGGGAGCTGGGAGCGATGTGGAACGTGTGATGAAGGTTCAGAAGATGAAGGATGCTGCTCTTGTGAAAATGTCGGAACTAGAGCAACAATGGGAGGAGCTGGAAGAGGAGGCTACGCAACTGCAATTGAGGCTGAATTCTTTGGAGCCTTCGAGGTAGGTATGCTTGAGTTGTAGCCTTTCTCAGCTTGCCAGGCCAACATGCATTATATCTACCTGAGCAGTCCATTATGTTTTTGTCATTATACGGTTAACTTGCGAGGCTACACTTGACTGTAGAAACTACTTCGAAGTGTCAATTCCGTTAATTGGTTCAGACTAATACAATATTCTCCTTCCATGCAAGCGGGGCACAGCTGTGCCGGAGCCTGGAGCCAGCAGCCTGGAGCCACTGTCACTGGCTTCCCTTTTAGCCTCGAAAAAACCCGTGGCGTGACTCAGATTCTCCTCATTCGTGGGGTTGCGTCAGCTTTGCCCTCTTGGTGGCCCATCGTGTCCCACTTTCCGACGTGTCGGCCAAGCCACCGATTTCTGAGCCCACAATACACGTCACTCGTGGGCTAGTTTCCAGAAATATCGGCTGAAAAGCTATGCACGCAGACAGTGGAATTGCCCCCTTGAGCTTTCCTACCACTTTGCGCTAGGGCTTGGCTTGGTGGACAGAGTGCGATTCGTCAAGAGAATATTTTCTGCCGCTGCCCCGATGTGTCAGCACGTGCGCATCGAGAATACCTATTGGCGCCAACGGCACATGAAGTGTATTTTTTCGAGCTGCCCTTTCAGGAACGAGGAAAATGGTTGTTTTCGAGTTGAGTCAAACCGTCTGCCCGATTGTGAATCTATTCGCGTTCGGGGAGCAGAGCACCTGTCTGCATGAGCTTGGCGAGCGTGCCCCTGTCAGGCCTCGTTCAAGTGAACGACATCCGACTGATGCAGTCAGTTACAAGATTCCGTCAACGGAAAGTGATCTCACTTCCTGCATCACCTTCACGCCCGTCACATTCTCCTACTCAGCCAACCCCTCAACGGTAACCATCTCCTCCTACCAACCCAGCTCACCCAAAAGCCTGGTCTCTTCCATCTCCCACTCCATCAATTACCACTAGCCAGCCACTTCTTCCTGAAGTTCCTGATAGTCGTTAGTGCTCGGGTAACTGCCGTCTTTAAATCAATTCTTAGTCTTAGTTTAGCTTCAAACACAGCGTCTAAGCGGATTTCTGTGAGGGCGACTCTCCGTTTCTTACTCTTCCGTCGCTTAGTTCCGACCAGCGAGCACCTTGGCGAATAGTTGCGTAACCGGGTCTAGTGGAGTTAGTTTCTTGCTATTGGCGACAAGATATTTGTTACGCCTCAACATCAGTGGTCTTAGCCAGCCTGAAACGGCGGCAACTGAGTTATCATGGGACACAAGGTCCACAAGCCAGGAGAGGAGCATCGCTTTCATTTCATGACTCATCACCATGGCCACGCGCAAGCCGGCAGTCCCCGCCTCCGACGAACCCGCATTCCGTCACGCGTAGGTGCTCTTCTCCTGTCCCCTTGACCGACGCCTCCTGTCACGCTCGCATATTAATATTTTGTACATTTTCGTCGATTGTGTTTTGCAATGATATTCAAGTCTTTATGATGTTCATGCTTGTGGCCACGTTTCTACGAACCTTCCAGGTGCTTGTGCAAACTAAAGCGGTTTTGTCGCGGCAGGCAAAGCGCCTAGCACGGAAAGCCGACGAGCTGGAGCACGTAATCACCAAGGTAAGACTGAATTGCGTACTCGATGTTTTTTTTTACTTCTGCTTTCCTGCCGGATCAAACGGTTTCTGTCAAGCAAGCATAAAGCTTCTGTTTTTTGCGTTTCGAGCAGGTCACCTATTGTTTGGGTGTCCTTTGCTTCGGCATCTTCTGTTTTCTTCTCGGATCCCGTAAGTTTCTCGCCACTGAATAGCAGCAAGGCTTGTTACACGTCGCGTACCAATCCGCCATGTTTTTTCCGTCCGTTGCTGCCTCTGCTCTCCTTATACGCAATCCGATAGGCATGACTAATTGTCGGGAATTTTGTCGCTTGCAGGGCCATATGACGTCCCTCGTTTATACGCGGCTTTTTTCCTCATGGCTACACCCCTCCGCTGGATCTACTACCGGAGCAAAAAATGGCACTACTTCCTCCTGGTGCGTTCTGGTGATTCCCTCTTCTACTAACTTTCTAGTCGACTCTAAATTCACACTTATCAGTGATCAGCGGTGATGCTAAATGGGGTGATGCATGCACGGTATCATGTCTTGGCTTGGTTCGCAGGACTTCTGCTACTACGCGAATGCGATTCTGGTGGCGTTCCTCGTCTTCTTCCCCATGAGCCAGCACCTCTTCCTCCTCTGCTTCGCCTTCTCTGAGGTGTGTAGCCGAACCTTGTCGCCAAGCCTTCCCTGTTCTTAACCAACGTCGCTTCTCCTCCCCCAACTCCCCTTCCTCCTTCCCTTTCGCCTTCCTTTGTTTCCCTGCTTAGCCCCGAAAATTCCTCCCCCGCCCCACCCCCTCCCACTCCCCCTCACCACTTTGAACCCCGTTTCCCCTTTCTATTTCCTTCCCCCGCTCCTGTTCTCACCAACGCTTAGTTCGACCAGCCTTGATCCCCCCCTCTCGCATTTCCCTCCCTTCACCACCCAGAGGGTCCCTTAGCCTGGGCGCCTATAGTGTGTCCCGTTCTTTCCCTGTTCTGCACCCTTTCCCTCCGCCCCCTTCTTTCCTACTACCCTCAGGGTCCCTTAGGCTGGCCGCTCATAGTGTGGCGGTGCAGCCTGGTCTTCAGCTCCACCATCCTTAACCCCCCTGTCTTCCCATCTCTCCCCCCTGGCCCCATTCCGCCCACCCCGTCTCTCCTTCCCCCACAGGGTCCCTTAGCCTGGGCGCTCATAGTGTGGCGGTGCAGCCTGGTCTTCAGCTCCGTTGACAAGATCGTGAGCGTGCTGATACACCTGTTACCCGGGGTAGTCATCTTCATCATCCGCTGGTGGGACCCAGTCACTTTCCACCACCACTCGGCGGACGACACAGGCCCCTGGCCCGCGTGGCCGCACGTTGCCAGCATGAGCGAGCTGTGGACTTGGATGCTCTTCGTGCCTCTCGTGGCTTACAGCTTATGGCAGGTACGCTGGGTAGATGCTGATGCTTAGCTAAGCTTCAATCGTGAGCTGAGGGCCAATTGATGAGTATGGTTTTGGTGAGGTACTCTCACATTTCACATCCCCGTGTTTTCTTCAATCCCCTCTCATTCTCCCTGCTTCCCACCCCTTTCTCGTCCTCCCCCAGATCCTCTCCTACCTCGTGGTGCAGGTGCTGATGCTGCACCGCCGGGACCCGGAGGCAGTTGCGGCGCCCTGCCATGCTCTTCACTCTCCCTGGTTTCCCCTGCCATCCCCCCTTCTCCCCCTCTTCCTCCCATCTCTCAGATCCCCTACTGACTCGTGGTGGAGGTGCCGAGGAAGCACCGGCTGGTGAGAAACGGTGATGTGACCTGTTATGCCCTTCATCTCCCTGTCTCTCCCTGCCCTCTACCTCCCCTCCCCCTGCCCCCGCAGATCCTCTACTGGCTGGTGGTGAGGTGCTGAAGAAGCACCGGCTGGTGAGGTACCTGGAGGCAGTTATGCCATGCTGTCCATTGTCTTTGTCTTCCCCTGTCCATATCCCCCTTCCCCCTCTCTCTTTCCCCCAGAACTTCTACTGGCTGGTGGTGGAGGTGCTGAGAGATGGGAATTGCCTGCTTTGGTGAAGCATTCTCTTTTCCCCTGCACCCATCCCCGTCCTCCCGCAGATCCTCTACTGGCTGGTGGTGGAGGTGCTGAGGAAGCACCGGCTGGTGAGGGACCCGGAGGTGATGACGTCATTCAGGGAGCTGTCTAAGAAGGCCTCCCGGGCGAACAACTTCTGGTGGTGGCTCAGTGGCGTGCTGGGGGACTCGCACCGCTTCTTCATGTACGCCCTCATCCAGGGCGTCTTCACGGTGAGTGGCCTTGGCGTGAGCTAGAGGCTGGGGAGGGTTACGGGGTTGGTTGATTGCTCTTGTCAGTGGGGATGGGGGGGCGGGGGAAGGGAGGGGGGTGGTTGGGACGGGTTATGTGGCGGGATTTGGTTGTATTCTGGGGATGGGTTCCACATCAGTGCTCATTGGATTCTGCTCAGGGCCAGTGCCATGATGGAGCGTTGGGACTATTTCGGTAATGGATGGCAAGGGGAGGGTAATGGATGGTGGGGGGTGGGGGGGGGGAGGGAGATGCCGGTGAAGAGCTCCAGCAGTTGATGTCACTCTGTATTCTTCCCTCCATGTGGTCTTCTCCGTTTTCCGCATGCGTTGTGTCCGCCACCTGTGCCGTGTTTCTCTTCCATCTGCAGGTGGCCACGGTGGCGCTCACAGTGGCCATGTTCTGCAGCTACTGCTTCCACGTGGTCTTCCAGATATTCTGAAACGCCGAAGTATCTTTTTATGCTTTGTGTTGGTCACCTGTATTGTGTTCTTCCGTCTGTCTGCAGGTGGCCACGGTGGCGCTGACAGTGCCCATGTTCTGCAGCTACCGCTTCCATGCGCTCTTCCAGATATTCAAAATCGCTGCATCCATTTGGAACGGTGAGCACCCTTGCTTAATTCGGAACAGAGTGTTTATCATTCCTTGGAATGGTGTTTAGCTCTTCCTACTCTGGAGTGGTTGGCTTCTAGGCGTAACTAGTCTGGAACAGTGGGTTAGCTTATCTGTAACATGGAGTTTCTAGCCCAGCTTCCTTCCTGAACAGTGTGTGTTCAGCTGTGTCACACCTTGGCTCGACCTCACTAAGCATCGGATTTGCTTGACCATTGCAGGAGGGAACTTCATATTTGATGTCATGCCGCGGCAAGTGCATGCCAAGCGAATGAAGAAGGCAGCCAGGGCAGAAGATGGGGGAGGAGGAGGGGTGAGCAGCCCACAAAAAGACCCTCTGCTAGAAAGCCCCGATGCGGATGCGAAGTTTAGCTTTAGGGAAGAGGAGAAGGCAAGCGTGGTGCGGCGGGCAGAAAAACGGGCAGCTGCTGTCGAGGCAGCAGACGCAGCGGCTTCGCAAGATGGGGCCTTTGTTCCGCCCATCAGTGGGGATTTCCTGCTTCCAGGAAACAACAGTTGGAGCCACGAGGGGGTGAATGGCAGCTTGGCTGCTTACAGGGCAAGCGTACGAGGGAAGGGACATGGGGGAGACGAGGAGGAGGAGAGTGATGATGAGGTGTGGGAGGAGGTGGGTTCAGATGAGTTGAACGAGGAGGGAGAGGTGGAGGGAGAAGGGGAGAGGGAGGGGGAGGGGGAAGCGAGTGGGGAGCAGGAAGAGCCGCATCAGCTGGAGCCAGAGGTGCACGGTGGTGCGTCTGGGGGTGGGTTTGGAGGTGGTTTGGGAGTAAAAAGGTGTGGAAGCAAGGTGGGTGGGCCTGCACACTCCGGGTTTGAGAGCTCTGGAGTAGCAATTTCGTCACAAGGAGCATAATTTTCCATGTGGAAGTGGTAGTATACTCGTTGAAAGCGTACATAGCGGTCAGTTGCCTAGTTACACGAAAAGGTGTAGCGGTCAGTTACACGAAAAGGTACAACAATGATAACCAAACACTGGCTGAAGGCATGTTACATGGCATCAGGTCTACATAAGTGTTGCAAATTGACTCACGCCACGAGCTCTTTTGTGGGAACGAAGGAAAGCATTTGGGTTTAGTAAATATAATGAGCATTTGTTGGTGAACATAAACGACAATGTTGTACACTCCGGCACATTGATCGCACAGCAGTGGTTTCCCTGGACAGTTATTTCCCGCGCAAACATAGTACTGGAGCTCCTCTGATTGGCCGTGATCAAGCTGTGGAGGACATGGAGAAAGTGCGGGAAAGGCAGCACGACCCAACCTCCTCGCCGTCACAGTGATTCAAAACCGCCGTCAGATCGAGATAAGAGGTTCGATCTGACGGTAAACACAGCCTCGAGCTGGGGAAGAGTTTGCAGCTTCCAGCTGAATGCGACCCGGTTAGTTGTCCCTGTCAACCAATCCCAAGGGATCGCTTTTCCAGCCACCCGACAGCACTGCGCGCAGAGTCACGCTTCTCTTCCGCCAATCCGCAACATCTTCCGCTTCCCCTCGCAATTCCTCCACACCCAACCCCAATTTCTTCCTGCTCGCGATTTCTCGCCCCACTCACTTCTTCTTTAGGCGGACAAGTTTTTCCGCTAGCGCAATTTCCCTGGGTCAGTCAAGTGCCAGGCGCTCCCTCCCGCCAATTGCTGTTTCTCAGAACAACCTCCAGCCGCCATTATCATAAATTACACCCACACCAGCCAGGTTCGCAGCTTAGTTCGTTCATCTCATCTCAGCAGTCTAGTCTAGCATGTAGGTACGCCGAAGCGCCCGTAGGCTAGGTCTCGAAGCAACGGGTAACCAGGTCCTCTTGGGACCTGCAAGTTTTCCGAACCAGCCAGGGGTCGCCGTAAAAAATCGGGTTTTTTTCCGAAGGGTATTTAGAATCAGCCAGAAAGCATGGAGGAGATGGTAATGGATGGGTACCTCTACAGGTTCGGCAGCTTCAGGTCCGGCGAAGGCACTTACTGCCAGCTGACCTTCTGCGTGTTACGAGGGAGGTACTTCGCCCAGTTTCGCAATAAGGAAGACGAGGTGCGCTATATCGAGTCTCTGGTCCTGCAGTGTGTGTCTGATAAGTGTTTATCTGTTATAAGGCATATTCGCTATAAGGCGTCTGGCAATTAGGCGCTTATCAAAGCGAGCAGCAGAGCCACAGCTCTTGGGCTTATAAGTCCTCGTTATCATAACCATGGCGGTTTCTCTAGCTCTTTCGAAAATGCGCATTAGCCTCTGCTCTGGATGGCTCCTTGAACTTGAGTATCTTGATATGAGAGATTTTCCGAGCGCTTGCTGCAGCATATCAATGTTTACAGAGCCCAGCAATTTTCCTCTTTTCTTCCGTCCATTCTCGCCCAGATACCTCTGCGGGAGGGCTTGCTTGATGGCACTGCTCGAGTGGAGGATACGGGCAGAAAGGTTGTCAACGGTCAGGTGGGTAAACATTATCTTGCTGACGTGGCATCGTGTTGTGACACGCTTAGTTTCTCGAATGCCTTGTCAGCATGCCGTATGGATGCGCTCACAGTAATGCTAACGCGTCTAGGTTCCTCTCGCAGGTGCTGTACACCATGCGCCTGTACGGCATGCCTGGGGCGCACAATGCTACTGACGAGGACGACCTTAGCGAGGACGAAGACGAGGACACTGAAAGCGCAGCAGAAGCCGGCACTAGCAGCGGTTACCTGGCCAGCACAACGGGAAGCTTACTTGGTAGCGGAGGGTCAACTGGTGGAGGCTTATTTGGTAGAGGGGCCTTGACTGGCGGAGGGGGGAGCGGATGGAGCAGTGCGGACGGCGGTGGAGGGGGAGGGGGAGGCGGGGGAACAGGCGGGAAAGGGGGGATTTTTTTCAGGATGGAGTCGAGCTTATGGTCAGGATGGTGGCCGGAGCAGTGGCTGGACAGGCAGCCACAGAAGCTGCTCACTGTGAGACCTGCTGGGGGCTCCACTCGCAACAGACGACAAGTTTCTGTGAGTGCAGGGGCATTTGCTTGCGATCGTGTCTTGCTTGTCTTGCATCAAGCAGGATCCATTGCCCGAAGCTATGGGATAGTGGCCGGAGCAGTGGCCGGCAGCCGCAGAAGCTACTCACTGTGAGGCCTGCTGGGAGCTCCTGTGGCAACAGACAACAAGTTTCTGTGAGTGCTTACGCAAGTGTGATCGGGGGGGGGATGGGGGGAGGTTTTTTTAGGGTGGACTTGAGCTTGTGGGGGGGATGGTGGCCTGGCTGGAGCATTGGCTGGACAGGCAGCTGCAGAAGCTGCACGCTGTGAGGCCTGCTGGGGGCTCCTGTGGCAAGAGACGACAAGTGGCGGTGGGTGCATAGTCATGTGTGATCGTGTCCTGCTTACCTTGCAGGTTACAAGTTCCCATTGCCGTTATGGCACACCTTCCAGGCCTCTGAAAATGACCCTTTCTCTTCCCTCTGTCTCTTCCCTCTGTCTGTTCCCTCTGTCTGTTCCCTCTGTCTGTTCCCTCTGTCTGTTCCCTCTGTCTGTTCCCTCTGTCTGTTTCTGTCTGTTCCTCTGTCTGTTCCCTCTGTCTGTTCCCTCTGTCTGTTCCTCTGTCTGTTCCCTCTGTCTGTTCCCTCTGTCTGTTCCTCTGTCTGTTCCCTCTGTCTGTTCCCTCTGTCTGTTCCCTCTGTCTGTTCCCTCTGTCTGTTCCCTCTGTCTGTTCCCTCTGTCTGTTCCCTCTGTCTGTTCCCTCTGTCTGTTCCCTCTGTCTGTTCCCTCTGTCTGTTCCCTCTGTCTGTTCCCTCTGTCTGTTCCCTCTGTCTCTTCCCTCTGTCTGTTCCCTCTGTCTGTTCCCTCTGTCTGTTCCCTCTGTCTGTTCCCTCTGTCTGTTCCCTCTGTCTGTTCCCTCTGTCTGTTCCCTCTGTCTGTTCCCTCTGTCTGTTTTTTTTCCCTCTGTCTGTTCCCTCTGTCTGTTCCCTCTGTCTGTTTTTTTTTCTTCCTCTGTCTGTTCCCTCTGTCTGTTCCCTCTGTCTGTTCCCTCTGTCTGTTCCCTCTGTCTGTTCCTCTGTCTGTTCCCTCTGTCTGTTCCCTCTGTCTGTTCCCTCTGTCTGTTCCCTCTGTCTGTTCCCTCTGTCTGTTCCCTCTGTCTGTTCCCTCTGTCTGTTCCCTCTGTCTGTTCCCTCTGTCTGTTCCCTCTGTCTGTTCCCTCTGTCTGTTCCCTCTGTCTGTTCCCTCTGTCTGTTCCCTCTGTCTGTTCCCTCTGTCTGTTCCCTCTGTCTGTTCCCTCTGTCTGTTCCCTCTGTCTGTTCCCTCTGTCTGTTCCCTCTGTCTTTTCTGTTTTTTTTTTTTTTTCCCTCTGTCTGTTCCCTCTGTCTGTTCCCTCTGTCTGTTCCCTCTGTCTGTTCCCTCTGTCTGTTCCCTCTGTCTGTTCCCTCTGTCTGTTTCTTCTTCCTCTGTCTGTTCCCTCTGTCTGTTCCCTCTGTCTGTTCCCTCTGTCTGTTCCCTCTGTCTGTTCCCTCTGTCTGTTCCCTCTGTCTGTTCCCTCTGTCTGTTCCCTCTGTCTCTTCCCTCTGTCTGTTCCCTCTGTCTGTTCCCTCTGTCTGTTCCCTCTGTCTGTTCCCTCTGTCTGTTCCCTCTGTCTCTTCCCTCTGTCTGTTCCCTCTGTCTGTTCCCTCTGTCTGTTCCCTCTGTCTGTTCCCTCTGTCTGTTCCCTCTGTCTGTTCCCTCTGTCTGTTCCCTCTGTCTGTTCCCTCTGTCTGTTCCCTCTGTCTGTTCCCTCTGTCTGTTCCCTCTGTCTGTTCCCTCTGTCTGTTCCCTCTGTCTGTTCCCTCTGTCTGTTCCCTCTGTCTCTTCCCTCTGTCTGTTCCCTCTGTCTGTTCCCTCTGTCTGTTCCCTCTGTCTGTTCCCTCTGTCTGTTCCCTCTGTCTGTTCCCTCTGTCTGTTCCCTCTGTCTGTTCCCTCTGTCTGTTCCCTCTGTCTGTTCCCTCTGTCTGTTCCCTCTGTCTGTTCCCTCTGTCTGTTCCCTCTGTCTCTTCCCTCTGTCTGTTCCTCTGTCTGTTCCCTCTGTCTGTTCCCTCTGTCCCCTCTGTTCCCTCTGTCTGTTCCCTCTGTCTGTTCCCTCTGTCTGTTCCCTCTGTCTGTTCCCTCTGTCTGTTCCCTCTGTCTGTTCCCTCTGTCTGTTCCCTCTGTCTGTTCCCTCTGTCTGTTCCCTCTGTCTGTTCCCTCTGTCTGTTCCCTCTGTCTGTTCCCTCTGTCTGTTCCCTCTGTCTGTTCCGTCTGTCTGTTCCCTCTGTCTGTTCCCTCTGTCTGTTCCCTCTGTCTGTTCCCTCTGTCTGTTCCCTCTGTCTGTTCCCTCTGTCTCTTCCCTCTGTCTGTTCCCTCTGTCTGTTCCCTCTGTCTGTTCCCTCTGTCTCTTCCCTCTGTCTGTTCCCTCTGTCTGTTCCCTCTGTCTGTTCCCTCTGTCTGTTCCCTCTGTCTGTTCCCTCTGTCTGTTCCCTCTGTCTGTTCCCTCTGTCTGTTCCCTCTGTCTGTTCTGGCGTGCATGCAGTTGGGAACGCCCAGTGCTGAGGACGCTGCTGCATGGATTGAGGCTCTCACCAAAGCACTCACTCTGGTATGCCCCTGTCAGCCAGCTTGAGGTGCCTTTTAGTCGACTCGAACTCACCTTGCTGCTGCGTGGATTGAGGCTCTCACCAAAGCACTGCCGCGGGTATGCCCCTGTCCGCCAGTCAGCCTGAGTCAGCTTAAATGTATGTCACTCTGGCTTGAGCTCGTCGCTCTGGCATCTCACTCACCTTGCTACGGCTCACTGTGGGATGCTGAGGCATCTTAGCAAACACTTAGTCAAGCACTCATTCTGGCACTTGCTGATACTCCCTGTAAGGGCATAGCTCTGGTTGTTTTGTTATTACCCATGCCTGAACTGCAGCTATTATGCGATGCATGCTCTGCTCGCCCAGTCCATCTTGTTTTGGAGTCAATTCATGCATGGACTATCAATTCATGCATGGACTATCAATTCATGCATAGACTATCAATTCATGCATGGACTATCAATGCATGCCTTTCAGCGCGCAAGTCTCTCAACTGTCTCCCTCATTCCTCTTCTCACAACCCTCTTTCCTGATATCCCTATCCTCGTGCCATTCCCATCTCCCTCACACTCAATCGTCAGCCAATTCTCCCTCTACTTACAACGCCGGTCGATGCCCCATCACATCCGTTACAACCGTCACAGCCAGCGCAGCCAGCACACCCGCTACAGCCAGCACAGCCTAGACAGCCGAGGCAGCAGGCTTTATCCACGCGCAACTCGCGAGATTTCAGCCCGATACCATCGTGAGTTCGAGTTCACGACGCCGGTTGAGTGCCACTGTGGGCGCGGTGTCTCTTTTGAGTCGACTCAAAAGTCACCTCGAGTTCACGACGCCGGTTGAGTGCCTCTGTGGGCGCGGTGTATCTTCAGCAGCACCTCTTCTTCTTCTTGACCACTTTACCTTTGCACACATCGTCTCATTCGTCTGGCTTGCTTGACCATCTGCTCTCACCCAAACCCCTTCCCCCCCCGACCCCTTCCGTCTGTACCTGTGCCTACCTTTCCCCAGGCCGCCACAGCATACGTCTGCTGTCTCTCTCGCAACTGGCCTCTTCGGCTCTGTGGTTTCAGTCCCAGCCAACTCTCTTGCTGCCCCAGCCAACCCTTTCGCTGTGCCAACCGATTCTCCTGCTTCCCCTGCCTTCTCTGCTGCTTCTCTCCTTGACGCTGCTCCTTCACCTTCTGCTCTGGTCAATCTGATGCTCCCTTCTGCTGTCGCTGCTGCTGCTATGGATCCAGCTCCCACTGCTGCTGCAGCTGCCTCTGATCCCGCTGCTGCCGGTGTTGCCATGGCCAGTCTATTGCACCCAGCTGCTGCCACTGCTGCTATGGATCCGGCAGCCGCTGCTGCTGCAGCTGCTGCTGACCCTGCTGCTGCTGCTTCTGCCATGGCCAATCTAATGCTTCCAGGTGCTGCTGCTATGGGCCCAGCTGCTGCTGCTGCTGCCACTGCTGCTATGGATCCGGTTGCTGCTGCTGCTGCGGCTGCTTCCGATCCTGCTGCTGCTGCTTCTGACATGGCCAATCTTATGCTCCCTGCTGCGGCTGCTATGAATCCTGCTGCTGCTCTGATGCTCCCCATGGCGTCTGCTGCAGCGGCTGCTGCTGGCCCCGCCACTGCAGCTGCTACAGCTAGCATGAGAAGATCCTTCTCCCCCTCGCTGTCTCCCTCCCTGCCTCCAATCGCGCCACAAGTCAAGCGTGTAGCACAGGTGACACAACCAGTTCTGCCGGTTACTTCTGCTGCTGCTGCTGCGGCTGTGGGGGCAGCTAATGCCATTGCTGATGCTGACAGTGGTGCCGGCAGTGGCGACAGCAGCAGCGGCATGGTGACCCCACTCACTGGCACCTCTCCCGCTCTGTCCTTCCACCCCACGCCCTCCCTCTCGCCCGCACTCCTCCCCACCCTCGCTCCCCTGGGCTCATCATCATCTGCTCCCAGGGGCCCAGGCGTGGGCCCTTCAGGGGGAACAGGGGGAACAGGGGGGGCAGGGGGGGCAGGGGGGGCAGGGGGAGCAGGGGCGGCAGGGGCAGGGGGGGTGGGGACTGGGGGAACAGGGGCGGGAGTGGGGGCAGGGGCAGGGGTAGCAGCAGTGGCGTCGTCTCTTGACAGAACTGGCCCTCGTCAGCCGTCCCCCCAGCAGCCCACCTCGTCCTCGCATGCTCCCCCTGTTGCTGCCGCCGCCGGCCCCTCCTCTGCTGTTGCATTGTCTCCCTCCAAGTGGCGCCTGGACCGCTGCCAGAACGGTCAGTGTGTTTGGATTGGATATATGTAACTGTTATGAGATTCGTGAGATTTGTAAGAGATTTCAAGCCTGCAGCCTGCACGTCCCAGGCTCCCCCTGTTGCCCCCCCCCTCCTCCTCCGCTGTTGCACTCTCTCTCCCTCCGAGTGGCGCCTCGACCGCTGCCAGAATGGTCAGTGCTGCTGGGGTTGTGCGCCTGTTAGTCCTGTGCTGCTGTGGGCCTCCTGTGCTTTGTTTTGGCTGTAGTGGCCACTGCTCTGTGTGTTTGTTCGTCCGACCCTCCTTGTGCTTCTCAGCTCTCCTGTCGTTGTGGACAGAATCTGAAGCATCCCTCCCTCTCCCTCTCCCTCTCCCTCTCCCTCTCCCTCTCCCTCTCCCTCTCCCTCTCCCTCCCTCTCCCTCTCCCTCTCCCTCTCCCTCTCCCTCTCCCTCTCCCTCTCCCTCTCCCTCTCCCTCTCCCTCTCCCTCTCCCTCTCCCTCTCCCTCTCCCTCTCCCTCTCCCTCTCCCTCTCCCTCTCCCTCTCCCTCTCCCTCTCCCTCTCCCTCGCTCCGATTCCTCTCCAGGGCTCCGATTCTTTGAAGAGGCCAGCATGACGCCGATTCTCCACCGCCTGTACAAGGTACACTAGTATTTCTTCCACTAGTTTCTCCACCGCCTAGTACACCGATTTGGTACACTTGTACTTGTTTCCCCATCGAATGCATCTCTCTCGAAGGCTTGACTGTCGAGCTACTCTGACCACAATGTTTTGTCTTGCGCCATGCCTTCTGTGGTTGTTTGTCCCTCCATCCTCTTTTTCCCTCTCATGTGTTCGCCCATCTTATCCGAGCCCCATGTGTTTCCCGGCCCTCCCATCTCTTGTTTGTGTACTCTCCTCGTATTTCCGCCAGTTGCTGGTGATGAAAGCGGTGGGCGTGGTGAAGGCAGCACCGGACCAGATATTCGACCTTGTCATGGGCTTAGAAGGGCCTCCTCAAACCTCGTCCCTATGACATCCTCTGGACATCTCTCCTCGTGTCCCCTTCTCTTGTTCCCCCCTCTTCCCCCAGCTGCCAGTGATGAAAGCGGTGGGGGTGGTGAAGGCAGCACCGGACCAGATATTCGACCTGGTCATGAGCTTTGGGGACGAGCGCGCAGAGTGAGTGGTTCTGCCTGGATTTACATCTGAAGTACCACCTGAATATTCACCTGATTAGCCGCCTTTTTATAAAAGTGTCTGGATGTGGGCGTTGTGCTTGCCACAGCGGTGTTTGGGCGGATGCTTCCCAGCATCTCAAGTCAAGGCACAACAACTCACATCCCTGTATGTGCGTCCCTGTGTGTGCATCCCTGTGTGTGCATCCCTGTGTGTGCATCCCTGTGTGTGCATCCCTGTGTGTGCATCCCTGTGTGTGCATCCCTGTGTGTGCATCCCTGCGTGTGCGTCCCTGTGCTTGTGTCCCTGTGTGAGCCTCCCGGTGCGTGCCTCCCTGTGCAACCCCCTGCGTTCGCCTCGCCCCTGTGCAGGTGGGACGAGCGGTGGAAGTAATACGAGGTCCTCATCCTCAGGACACAGCTGGACATCTTTCATGTGTGCGCCCCCCCTGCGTGTGCCTCTCTGTGTGCATCAAACCCCCTTGTCCAGGTGGCACGCCATGTTTGCAGAGGCATGAGTGGTGGAAACCACGCTTTGAGGTGCCACAAGTCCCCAATGCTCACACTGCTCTGTGTGTGTGCCCCCCTGTTTGTCTCCCTTTGTTGGCCCCTGTGTGTGTCTTTCACTAGGTGGGACGCCATGTTTGCAGAGGCACGAGTGGTGGAAGCTATTGACGGGCACACAGACGTGGTCCACATGTGCTTGAAACGAACGTCACTGTAAGGGATGGTGCTTGCAGCACACTGGAGGGGCCATGAATGCATGCTCTGTGCAAAATAGGCTGCAGGTGCTCTCATGTGCACCCTCGCCTCCATGTGCCGTGTTGCTAGATTTCATTTCTTACTCGTATGTTATTGCTGTTTTCTCCATAATGAGTATGTCAATGGGTCTCCTCTATTGCTCTGCCGTCGTTGTTCCTCAGGTGGACGAGGTCGCGGGACCTTTGTCTGCTGCGCTACTGGAAGAGAGAAGAGAATGGAACCTACCGTATGTACGTCTGGCCCTATGCCCCTCCGTATGTACGTCTGGCCCTATGCCCCTCCGTATGTACGTCTGGCCCTATGCCCCTCCGTGTGTACGTCTGGCCCCATGCCCTTGCATGCCTTGTGCTGTGCTGTGTCTTACCTAGAGAGAAGTGAATGGAGCCTACCGTATGTACGTCTGGCCCTATCACTCCACGCACTTGCACTTCTTACCTTTTCCCAGCCACATCACTCCATGCCTTTTGGTGTGTCTAGCAGTCCCAACATAACATCGCCTCATCCGAATCACATGTGTATGCTAGCTTGATATGCATGTCGCAATTTGATGATATGTACATTTATGCATAATGCGCATGCTCTAAACGCTCTTGGTGCCATCCATGCACCTGCCCCCATCTACCCCACATCCCCCCATATCCCCCCCATCCCCTCATCTCCCCCCCATCCCCTCATCTCCCCCCCATCCCCTCATATCCCCCCATCCCCTCATATCCCCCCCATCCCCTCATCTCGGCCCCATCCCCTCATCTCGCCCACATCCCCCCCATCTCCCCCCATCCCCCCCATCTTCCCCCCATGCCCCTGTCTTGCCGCCCTGACGCCCTGCCAGTGGTGTTCTTCAAGTCTGTCAGCCATCCCAAGTGCCATCGCCCATGGGGTCGCGTGCGCGCTTTGATTTACAGTGAGTGACTAGTCAGTGCAAGTGCATCCAAGTGCATCCAAGTGCATGGATCGCATGGCACCACCAGTGCGTGAGGACCATGCGTATCGTGCACATCATGCACATCGTGCACACATCTATCATATCATAACGGGGCGGCTTGTGTGTAGTGAGCGGCTTGTGTGCAGTGAGTGGCTTGCATCCTTTCCACCCGCATTTTCACTCCCTCCCTCACTCTCTCATTTTCTCCGACCGCGCACTTTGTATTTCTAGTGCATTCTCGGAACGGGATTACCCGTCCCTTATGTTTTTCAAAACAGCTGGTAAACAGCCTCTCAGTCGACCCAGAAGCTGCAATCATCTTTGTAGTGTGCTGTATTTTTTCCCCCATCCCAGCAAACCCTCCTTTTCCTCTCCCGCTAGCTCCAGGCGGCGGCTAAATCATATTGCCTCGGCAGCAACATAGCCCATTGCACTGTCTCGAGTTGTCACACTACCTTCACCGCCCCCCCTCTTCCCCCCTCGCCTTTGACATCTTCCCAGGTGGCGGCTACATCATATCGCCTCTGCAGCATAGTGACGGCCCCCTTTCACCCGCCTGCATCTGTGGCGCCCCGCCTCCTCCGCGCAAGCCTCGCTCCCAGGTGAGCCGCCCCCCTCTCTTTCTCCTTGCATCTCCTCATTTCTGCACTGCTTGGTTTCGCATCCCCCCTGGTATGCGAATGCGCTTCCTATCTGGTCTGCCTATACTCCCCTGCCGTGTCAGGGTGGCCATCATGGGTTCACGCGACCTGGTTTTGCAGGGTATTTTTGAGAATTCTCCAAAACACCCTGCAAATTCGAGAATTCTCAAAAACTCCCCCACAGTGTCAGGGTGGCCATCATGGGTTCACGCGACCTGGGCCTGCCCCTTCCTGCCCCTTCCTTTTGCCATGCCCCATTCCGCCAACCACTCCCTCCCTTGGCACAAACCCCCGCCAGGTGGAGCACGTGCTGGAGATGGACGTGTCGGGGTGGTCCTCATGGGCTGACGTGACCCTGACCTGCTCCTCCCCCTTTACCTTGCTCCCTCTGACACACCCCCCCCCCCAGGTGGAGCACGTGCTGGAGATGGACGTGTCAGGGTGGTCCTCATGGGTTGGCATCGGCCTTTCGTCCCATCCCGTGTTCCTGCGCGACTCCCTTCTGCTCAGTGTAGCTGGTGAGCTGCCGTGTTGCATGGCATGGCATGGCATGCGCCGTATGCCATGTGCTGAGTGCTATGCATGTGTCATCCCATCCCGTGTTCCTGCGTGTCATGTTCCCCTCCCCTCTCAATCCCCTTTCCACCTCATCCCCCCCCCACGCCCCCCTCCCAGGTTTGCAAGTTATTTTTGCCTGCAGGGGCGGAGTGCCCTGCCCCTGGCCTTCTACTCCTTGTCGCTCACCTCTCACTTTCTCTCCCCGTTTTCCTGGAGGCTTGTAAGAGTACGTTGCCTGCAGGGGCGGAGCTCCCTTGGTCTACTACTCCCCGGGCATCCAACGCCATCTCATCTTCCCCCGCCTTCTTAATTCGTCTTTCCCCCCCTGTTCCTGCTTCTTCACTTCCCTATCCTCCTGGGCTACGAGGGTACTTCGCCTGCAGGGGCCGAGACCCCCTAGCCTTCTATTCTCCAAGCATCCAGCGCCGTCTCATCTTCCCCACCACATCCACCATCAGCCCTCGTCTCATTCTGCCCCAACCATTACTCCCATTCCCCCAGGTTTGCGAGAGTACTTCGCCTGTAGGGGTGGCGCACCCCTGGCCTACTACTCCCTCGGCATCCAGCGCCATCTCATCTTCCCCACCACATCCACCATCGGTACCGGCGCTGCCAGTGGGTTTGTCTTCCAGGGCCTAGCCTCGGGCTCAGCCACGGGGTCAGGCTCGGGAGCTGGCTCTGGTTCGGGGACGTGGGGTCTGGCGTCTCTTGTTAGCCTTGGGACGGAAGATGGGAAGAGCCAGGAGGAGTCTGCAGGAGAGAAGGGAGGAGGAGTAGGAGGAAGAGCAGGAGGGGGGGTGATTGTGAGTTCGGATAGGGGGTCTGCAGGGCTTGGAGGGGCAGTGGCAGCAGCTGTGGCAGCGGCGGCAGCAGCGGCAGTGGCAGCAGGAGGGAAGGGGGAGGTGGGGGGGGATGGCAGGAGAACCCCTAGGCTGGATCGGGCGATGTCGAACTTTTTGGATATGGAGGACCCAGACGAGTTCTACGAGTGCCCCACCAACGCTCCTTCTGAGACGTCCAGTGATGTGAGTACCCCTGAGCCCTACGCCCCAAAAGCCTTGGGCCCTGCGGTTAGTGATGCTTGTCATGCACTAGGCGGAACCGGGCGCTGTCAAACTTTTTGGATATGGAGGACCGGACGAGTTCTATGAGCGCCCCTCCAGCGCGCCCTCGGAAACCTCCAGTGATGTGAGTTGCTGCAGCCTACGACCCAAAAGCCTCGAGCCCTGCACTGCAGTGCAGCCCAGTGCATGGCAGCCACACAAGGCTCACAGCTGCACTTGCAGTGGGTGTGATGCAGTGTGTGTGATTGCACATGCAGTGGGTGTGGTTGCACATGCAGTGGGTGTGATTGCACATGCAGTGGGTGTGGTTGCACATGCAGTGGGTGTGGTTGCACATGCAGTGGGTGTGGTTGCACATGCAGTGGGTGTGACTGCACATGCAGTGGGTCTGATTGCACATGCAGTGGGTGTGATTGCACATGCAGTGGGTGTGATTGCACATGCAGTGGGTGTGGTTGCACATGCAGTGGGTGTGGTTGCACATGCAGTGGGTGTGACTGCACATGCAGTGGGTGTGACTGCACATGCAGTGGGTGTGACTGCACATGCAGTGGGTGTGACTGCACATGCAGTGGGTGTGACTGCACATGCAGTGGGTGTGACTGCACATGCAGTGGGTGTGATTGCACATGCAGTGGGTGTGGTTGCACATGCAGTGGGTGTGGTTGCACATGCAGTGGGTGTGGGTCTATTTTTGAGGCACCTCAAAAATCACCCCCGAGCTTCAACACATGTGGGGAACGAGCCCCAAAAGCCCCAAAAGCCCCAAAAGCCCCAAAAGCCCCAAAAGCCCCAAAAGTCCCAAAAGCCCCAAAAGTCCCAAAAGCCCCCAAACCCCAAAAACCCCAGAAGCCTCAAAAGCCTAATGATGCAGTGATGTGAGTTGCTGCACCGTACGCACCAAAAACCTTGGGGACGCTGTGGTTGTGGTACACCTTTCCTGCAAGCATGTCGTGAGTTCTGAGTCTCCCTCCCCAACCTCCTCCCCCTCCTCCCTCTCCCCCCCCCCCTCCTCCCCCCCCCTCCCCCCCAACACCCTCTTCCACCGATGCTCCTAGGGCGTGCTGCAGAGGGATCTATCAGGAGTCATGGTGGACGGTGTTGATGCTTCCAAGCTCCCTGATGGTGAGTGGACGGCCCAGATGCTGGTAAAAGGATGCTGGAACTGCGTGTCTCTTTTTTTGTCTGTTTATTTTCCTGTTTTAATGGAGCAGTTTCAGTGGATCAGTGCACCCCAAGCACTCGGGAAAGGGCAGGAACTTAACAACTGCTGGATTTACCTCTCCCCCTTCGCCCTTCTGTGCCTTCTCCCACCCACCCCTCATTCCCCCTCCCCCAGACTGGTCCGCTCTCTCGTCAGTGCCTCGGGAACTCGCACCAGACTCCCTCTCGCTGCCGCTCTTCATCGACTGGAGCAAGCTGAGCGGATCCGTGCACCCGAATCATTCCGGCAAGGGCAAAAACTGCTGGAGCCGGCCCGACTGCAATGTATACAAGCTGAGGAGCAGAAGTTACCTCACGGATGGGAGCATGGTGAGTGCTTTTTTGTGGAAGAAGCACAAGAACAGAGAAGAGAACAGAGAGGCGCTGAGCCCTTGCAGTGAGCTTTTGATGCTGCTGGGTGGGCAAGGGGAGCAGGAGCTGCTGGAGCCGGCCCGACTGCAATGTCGTGTTCTTGCTGAGGAGCAGGAGCTGACTGACTGATAGCAGCATGGTGAGTGCACAATTTTGAGCAAATCCTTGGAAGAAACACCAAGGAAATGATGTTCGACCAAGTGCAATGCTCTTCAACAACTAATGTTTATGAAAGCCCAGGGATGTTGTAGGCGTGCAAAACTTGGGAAACCCAGGGAAAGTAACTTTTAATGGCTTCTCTTGTATTGCCTCCATTGTGCTTCTCTTGACACCGCCCAACTCGCAGGCGCCAGCTGGCGAGCCACTGTGCCAGCTGGTGGCGGTGGATTGGCTGCGGCCAGACAAGCACCCAGCTGCACACGTGGCAGCTCAGAAGAAGTGCCTCGTGCAGGTGGGTTCTGAGAGAGGTGGTGTGGTGTGGTGCGGTGCGGTGCTGTGCAGTGTGGTGTGATTGGTTTATTGTGGTCTGAATCGTGATTGGAAAGAAGCATTCAGCTGCACACGTGGTAGCCCATGAGAAGTGCGTCGTGCATGTGGGCAGTGCTGGGGGGTATGGTGTGGTGCTGTGCGGTATGGCTTCACAAGGACATCTAGACTTCTGCTTTCGCCATACTTATTGCGCCCGAGGTGACTTTTGAGTCGACTCAAAAGTCTCTCCCAGTCATACGTGTTCCTCAACCAATTGCGTTCCTCTGCATATCGGCATCCCTGTCGCTCTGCCTTATTCCTTCTCAAATGGTCCTTTCCTTTCTCTGCACCGTGCCTCACTCTTTCTCCGTGCAGAGAGTGAGGGCGTGCTATGGCGATCAAGCGCCATACTTCATCCTCATCAATCTCCAGGTACCACTTACCATCATTGAGTTGGTTTTTTAGTATTCTAAAAATACAGCTTTGAGTCGACTCAAAAGCTGACTCAATACATCCTCGTCAGTCTCCAGGTACCATTCGTGATCGTCTGCTGATTATTGTGCTCCATGCAGCTTGTCGTTTTCAGCTCTTGCGTTGTCTACGCCGTTCCCTCCACCAACATCCCAGCAGGCAACGTCGTCTAGTCCGTGGTATTCCACCTCACACCTGAGGGCCATGTGCTGGACTGCCGCCCTCGGGCCTGGTTCGTTCACCAGCACGACTCTCCCCCCCGACAGTCACCACCAGGTCCCAGCAGGCAATGCCGTCTGATCCATGGTCTTTTCCTTCACGGCTGAGCGCCATGTGCTCGGCCTGCAACGTTGCTTCACCTTCATTCACCATCTACCACTGTCTCTCCCCGCTCGCCGGGTTCCAGCAGGCAATGCGGTCTACTCCATGGTCTTCGATTTCACGGCGGAGCGCCATGTGCTGGACCTGCACCTTTGCTCCACCCTCATGCTACTGTGCGACTGCTACTGTCTCCCCTCCCCCCCGTCAGGTCCCAGCAGGCAACGCCGTCTACTCCATGGTCTTCTATTTCACAGCTGAGCGCCATGTGCTGGATCTACCCTCCATGCGCCGATTCTTGGGATCAGATGACTCGTACCGCAACAACCGGTTGTCTTTGCTGCCCTCCGTCCCCGAGGTGAGGAATGAATGCCACATCCCTGTAGTAAACCTCGCGCCATGTGCTGGATCTACCTTCCATGCGCCGATTCTTGGGATCAGATGACTCGTACCGCAACAACCGGTTGTCTTTGCTGCCCTCCGTCCCCAAGGTGAGGAATGAATGCCACATCCCTGTAGTAAACCTCGCGCCATGCGCTCGATCTGCCCTCCATGCACCGCTTCCTGGGCTCCGACGACTCGTACCGCAACAACCGGCTGTCCTTGTTGCCATCGGTACCAGGGGTAGGGAACAGCTCCCCTGCTAGTCCTCTCATGTACCCGGCCTACCCTCCTTGCTCCACTTCCCTGCTGCTGTCAGCACCAGAGGTAAGGCCGTGTCGTGTGTGTCCCGCCCATGCCATGTGTAATATCCTGTTCTTGTGCCCGTGTCCGTAAACCAACTCTCTTTCCCTGTCCCCCCGTCTATTCCGAACTCCCCACCTGCCCTCGTGCATTCTCTTCCAAACATTTCCAGGGCTCGTGGCTAGTGAAGCAGGCGGTGGGGTCGCACAACGTGCTCATGGGGCAGGTCATGGAGACGGCCTATCATTCCACCGAGGAGTACTTTGAGGTGCGCATGTGGGATGCAAGCTGATGCATGCTGTTATGTAGGCAGTGTGCTGGGATGGGATGTAGATCCACAACGTGCTCATGGGTAAGGTTATGGAGACAGCTTACCATTCCACCGAGGAGTACTTCAAAGGCGGTGCCACTCCAAAGGCGCTTCCAAGTGCACCCCCTCCTCCTCCCATGCACCCAATCAGGGGGATGTGAGCATGGCACCATCATCAGAGGTGTACGCTGTATTGCTGTGATGTGTTTTTTTGTTGACATACATACACATCCCTCGCTCCTCTCCCCATGCTCATCAGGTGGATGTGAGCATGGCATCATCATGATCAGTGGTGCGAGCAGTATTGCTGTGATGTTTTGAGCCTCTTCCAAACACACTCCCTCCTCTCCCATGCACCCTATCAGGTGGATGTGAGCATGGCATCATCATCCACGGTGGGGGGCATCATGGGCATGGTCTTGGCTCCATCACAAACCTCTCTCCTCGCTGCCTACCTCGTTCCAATCACATCGCCTTCACCCATGCTTGCATGCAGGTTGATGTGAACATGGCATCGTCATCGGTCGTGCGGGGCATCATGGGCATGGTCTTTGGCTACATCACAAACCTTGTCGTCGACATGGCGTTCTACCTCAAGGTATGGCTTCTCTTTTAAATTCTCATATGTGGTCGTTGGTTTTCCGCAACGGGTTTTTTTCCACATGCCTGTGACCTGTTTCAAATTTCTGACTTGTCCGTTGCTCATTGTTCGTCTTGTTGCCTGCAGGGAGAAACGGAGGATGAATTGCCAGAGCGGATTCTTGGAGCAGTGAGATGCTCATATCTAGAACTCAACTCGGCCATTCCATTCCCTTTTAGATAACCATAGCTGCTGCAATGCTGCCATTAGCTGGCCTAGCTTCCTATGCCATCTGCGGCCTCACCATGTTGTCGACAATTCTGTCTAAGGATGTCAGGTGCTAGGAGATTTTATGCAATGAATAAGGAAGCATTTGCTCAAATGAGCATTTTGAGGTATTTTTCTATCGCTTGGAGATTGTAGAGTCTCTGTGGTAGCCACATGGCAGACAGCTTGAGAAGGGTACGATGAAGTTTATTCGGGTTACCCGATGAGCCCGTCATCCTTCGCGATGTCGCAACGTCGCGAAGCCCGGCAACCTGGTGGTGGTGTATTGCTTGGTGAACTCTAAAAGCTTGTCCTCGCGCGTTCAGTGCAGAAAACTGTACGCGTTAATGGAATGATTGACTCTTGGTCCGCTCATTCCAGTATGTCAGGCAGTGCCTCGCGTTAGGTTGTTTCGCACCGCGCGTACCTGGTTTAGGCACTCGGATTTGTCTTGCTGCAGCCCTGTGTGGCGCGGCATCCCTCCTCCAAGTCGTATGGCATCGATAGCATCGATATTGTCGTCCGTGTCCTGCGCCGGATCCTCCCTGCTGGCCTCTCGGGTGCCGATCAGAGCTCTCCAAGCCAAGTCCTACGGCCACCCGGCTTGCCGTCAATTTCATAAGTTCCGGCGGCTAGGCTCGTCCCAGTCGCGTTCGTCCCGGCCGTTACGAACTGCTGTCGAAATGTCTCAATCGCCTGCTCGGAGTGCTGAAAGTCCACCATGTAGGAATTTCCGAACCAGAGCTTCGGGAGAGGCGCCTGCTTCGGAAAAGGGTGGTTCGGAAGGATCAGCCTCGGCGTCCGAAGCTCATTCGCCTAGCCTCTGGGCCAAGCTCGGGCAGAGTTTCAACCTGCAAGGGATCACGGCAGTGGCCAGCGTAGCCGTTTCGAATCCAAGCCTCGCCATTCCGCACGTGTCGGTGCCTGATATCAGGTAAGCCGGAAATCCAGTAATCTAGGAAGACGTTTCTTTTTGCCGATCGACTACTTTCCTGCATTTTCATTTCCGTACCATGTGAGCTGAGTTGGTTTCTGAGAAATGGAAAAAAAAACCAACGGAACTCATTTTCATTTTCGTCCCATGGTTGTCCGTTGCCTGAAGCAGGTGGATAGATTGGAAGGCTCTCCATGCGGCGGGATTCAAGGCAGTGGTGTTTGATAAGGACAACACACTCACACATCCGTACGCCATGCAGGTGACTTAGCTATACAAATGTCATTCACATCTCCCTGTGATCAGCTTTTCATCCAATTTACCAAACCTTGCCTAGTCTCTTTGGTTAGCTGATGATTTCTCTTCCTCCCCCCCCCCCCCCCCCCCCCCCCACATCCCGCCCTCTGGCCATTCTACTCTTAACTCCACCATGTTTTCATCCGCCTTCCCTGCTTCAACCCATCCTCATCTGCTCATACAACCCACATGTGGCTCCCTACCAATTCAGGTGGATGACGGCCTGACGGCTTCCCTGGATGTGTGCTTGAAGACATTCGGCTCTCAAGGCATTGCCATTCTGAGCAATTCTGCAGGTTGGTCACTGGAATGGTGTATGGGTGTATGGGTGAACGGACGGCGGGGAGCATGGGCTGGCATGGAAAAGTGTTAAAGCCCGAGTACCGCATGGCATGAATTGAGCACCAAACCTAATATGTATGAAAGCCCCAGATTTCGGCCAGCTGGAAAAGTGTTGTGAAAACTACCGAAACATGTCGGGGGTTTCGCGAGGACCAAATCGCTGAAAAGGTTCAAAGTGGTACCCGGGCTTACGCTGATCCAGATTCTTGACGTCCTGTCATTGCTTTCCTAGCTCCTAAGTTTCCCGTCCTTATGGATTCCAACTTGCCCTCCAGCTCAGGGCTGAAGCAGTACGACCCTGATGGGAGCTTGGCAGCAGCAATGGAACAGGCACTCAAGGTGCCTGTGATTCGCCACACAGAGAAGAAACCGGGCGGGGGCGCAGCAGAGCTGGAGGCACATTTTGGATGCAAGGCAGATGAGATGGTTCTGGTGAGTGATTAGTCTGAGATTGCAGCTGAATGCCAGTCAGGGTCTCAACAGAGCCTAGACCCCTGAGCCTCTGCATAGAGCCTCTAGTTCTTTCCTGGACAACGTAGCTTCCACCATTGCTCCAGGTATCGCATGTAGCTTCATTGAATGTTCAGTCGCAACCATTAACCCTGTTACACCAATTTTTGAGGCGCCTCAAAAATCATTAACCCTGTCACACCTCCCATCACTGGCAGGTTGGGGACCGGTGCCTGACAGACATTGTATTTGGCAACCGCAATGGTCTCCTCACTGTTCTGACAGCTCCTCTCTCTCCTGGAAAAGATCCAGTAGTTGTCCGTCAGGTGGGTACATTCCAGATTACTATGCCAGCCAAAGGCGTGCGCACACCTATCATAAATAGTGCATGGAAGTAATTAGAGCTTCAGTTTGCATTGCATTCCTCCAACATTCACAAGGCTGTCGCGATTGCCATTCCGTCGCCATCTAATGCAGGCGCGGGCGTTTGAAGATGTGCTTGTGGCCACACTGCAGGGTCGAGGGGTTCAAGCTTCCCCTCACAATCGAGCAGAGTCCAGACCATATGCTTTTGTCCTCCCTCCTGCCTGCTGGTGACACTGTATTTGCTTTCACTGTTAGTGGTATTGTGAAAGCTTGCTTGGGTCACCTTGGCAAAGGCAGCGTGCTTCATTTCATATGGGCTACAGTACATGGTTCTCGTCCAATAGACTACACCGTCCAATAGGGTGGGTGGGTGGGGAAAACGAAACTGGAACTAGAAATGAAGAACGTGGGTGAGGTCGAATGGCCTCACGTCCCTCTTTTGTAGGCAAAAGAGGGTGAGTAGCGCTTCGACGCTGACCTTGCTGCGTTGGCCCTCGCTACACTTTCACAATACACATTTTTTAGAAAGTGTTACACGCTTTCAAAAAATTACATAATGCTCAACGTCTATCATTGTTTCAATGCTACCATCCTAACTGAATTCTGTGATGGCTCTGAGAACCCAACTTGTGGCTGTATAACAAACCAATGTTGTGCAGCCAAGACACTCTCTTAAAAATTAGGAAACACGTGGGTGAGGATATTGGGAATTGTGACAATCGCCTAGTGCAGGGAAGCTCATGCCAATCCAAGTGACCTGGCCGAAGATTGCTGCCTTGCTTCAAACTAAATTGGCTGCCAGAAGTAGCTATCCTTTGCTCCACTCCACTTAGTTCCAACATTTACTCCTGGCAATGGAAAAAAGCAGATGTCAGGTCAACTTATGAGGCTGTCCCAACATGGGTTGGATTAACCTTAGAAACGGCCTCATACCTGATTGATGGCTTCATGAGGTAATCCCTTGAACCGTGGCATGTAAACTTAGTCGTCCAGAACAGAAGATACGCATTGCCAAACAGGAAAATCCGGGTCAGCCTGCACATTGCAACAACGAGAAAGGTCAGAACCTGCTCCAGAAGGACGTGCTTGACACAGACAAAGGTCAGTTACTCATACCATTCAGTCAGTAGGATTAGTAGTAGTCGTTAGTTGGTCAGGAAGCACCAGTACCCATTAGTCAGAAGCCGGCATGCGCCCCCACCAATCAGGAGAACCAAGTCACCGGGAAGGATGATACCCTTGATGTAGCAACTAAACGCTCAAGGCGTTTGGGATAAGAGAGCTTCAAGGGTGCTCATTCACTTGAACTCAGAACGAGGGGGGTCTTGGGGCCTCAAAGACCAAGGTAAAAAACACAAACCACACACACTTACCATTGTGGGCTGAGTCCCCGAACATCCCCCCAAAACCAACCCCCTCCCCCCCTCCCCGTTCCCCCCTCCCCTTTCCCCATCCAAAGGTGGACGAAATGATGGAAACGACAGCAAGCGACCCGCATTGGTTAAACTGAAAGAAAATAACTCCTTCCATAGAGAGCAATACAGGTCGAAAATCTCCAGGACGCCCTATATCTATATTCGATGGAACCCTGAACAACTAAGTGGGACGCGTGGGGCGACACAGAAACTAGGGGGATGTGGAGGTGCAGACCTTACCTAACTGACTCAGCGAAATAGTTCTAAGCAAGAACTCAAACCTCCAGGACCAACCTTGTGCGTGCTAATCTCAGCTGTCGCGTTCAGTACTCGCTATCGCCGAGTTTTAGCTCTCTTCAGTCCCACGTCACCAAAGGGCAATGGGGACCCTGAAAACAAACTGTGAGCTCCCAGGTCGTCCCGGAGAGTTCCGTTTAGAATGGCTAATTCACGAAGTTGTGCACGCTTGACCACATCATGGGTTTCGTCCTGAAAAGAAGGGGAATGCGGCATTGATTTCGCACCTGATTTCACTGATGCTGATAAATCTTTACGAATTCATAAGCAGAATCACTCACCACGGGCCTCAGAAGCTCCTGAAGGATTTCGCAAGCTTGAGCAAGCTGCGCGTCAACAACATTGGCAGGGAGCTCCGCTTCGACGATAACATGCAGAGGCTCGTTCAGATGTTCGAATCCAGGCTTGTCTCGCATCTTCTCCTCCTGCGTCGGATAAGCGAAGAAGACAGCTTGAAAAAGCACATGGAAGAATGCGTCAACTTTCGCAAGCGATCGAAAAGGGCCATACCTTGCCAGCGTCCTTTATCGATCCACGACCGCGAATGAGCACACGACAGCCTGTCTGGGCTTCAACTCGTTTCAGCGAATTCCCTCGTGGCCCTAAGATTCTTCCGACGAAGTTAAATGTCGGATATTTATCCACAGGAACCTCCAAACGGCTCGTCTTTTTTACAATCGGAGCAGCGCCAGGCTGAGCCGTCCAGCCTACAAGGGTTCCCGAAGCTGACGGTTGGCTCGTGGGTTGCATCAGGAAGAGAGACGACGATGGCTGCACATTAAGCATGGAAGCCGGAGGCTCAGGTCAGCCACGAAGTGCTGTCGTCTAGAAAGAAAGTTGCTAAATATCCAAACTTACCCCAACCTCAGATGGCATCGGAGCCCATGTTCCAGAATCAAACGGCGATCCACTAGATGACGGCCGAATCTGGTGAGACTGATGCGAGATATGTGTTTGATGGGATGAATGAGACTGATGTGGTGGATGAGGAGGATGAGAGAGAGCCTGATGCGATGAATGTGGCTGGTGAGACGAGATTGGCTGATGAGACGAGTGAGGTTGATGGGACATTGGAGGCGAATGCTCGATCGAGTCATGGTCCATAAACACTTGCGCGCCAACGAGGGATGTGACTCGAGCAATTTCTGCAGGTCACACAAGCCGTTGAGTAAGCAAAAGACCCGCCATGCCAAACGTGATCCAGATTCGCTACAAACGTATTTCAGCCTACCTTGATTTATCAGGCGGCTACAAATCGGTAAAACTTGCATGAACGGACTAAGCTTCTGCCTCTCGGACAAGAGCTCCGACAAATACCTGAGAACAGGGATGAAACGAAATCTGTGTCATTTCCCTGTCTTCTACCGATGCAATAGAGTAACTGAAAACACTAGATTCGGCCTCAAGTATCAAAAGGTGATGTAAGCTAAACCCTTACGAATCATGGTCGCTTAGAGCAGGAGATGATTGCCGACTAACTTGAGGTGAAACAGGAGCTGAAGCATAACCAGTCAAGAATCGACCACTCATGATCGCTTGATGGATTCACAACTTCTAGCTCAACTGACGCTACCTCAATGATGGAATCCCAGTTTTAGCTCTTGCAAAACCTGCCACGAGGATAGTTTCCCAATTTTAGCTTTCGAGCGAGAAGGTGGCAAGGACTTCTTCTAGTCTGAGGAAGTGGAGTGGCCAAAGACTAGGTCCGCCATGGCTAGCCATGGTAAGGTCACGTAGGTGACTCACCTAACAATGGCGCGGTATGGGGAGGAAACGAGCCAAGCTGGGTGCGATGAATGCCTATGGTTGCCAAAGCTACGTCCAGCCGCGGAAGCCCCCAAAGCCTTCCCGAACGTAGATGCGTCGCACACATGGTTTGGTCGCCGAACAGCCTTCGTCGCACGGGCTGCCCAACGTGTCGTTCGGTAGGTTCATGCTTGTTTGAGCATGGCGGCAATGTGGGGCACCCACACGGAAATGGGCATTGCGAAACTGCACGACTTCAAAGACAAGGCGCGTCCAAACCCCATCCCCAACCAGAATACTCGGTTGAAGGTGGAGTCGCATCAAGGATGCTTACCATTTGCATCGCCACATGTAATACAGTCTCATGAAAGTGAGGGAATGAAACATCAAGCCCTAGGAGAGTGTGTGACTTGAGAGCATTATTATGAACCCATCCCATGGCAAAATCAATGTTCCCATCCTTCAACAGTCTCCACCATTTGAATAATGCTATGATGCATTACGAAGTGAGGATATCAACATATGCCCGCAATGGAGCACAAAGACATGGCATGGCACATGTTCCAATGGGATGGGGAGGGGAACAGAATCACGTTATATCAAAGTGTGTGTTATCATCACATATGAGTGAAAGAAAAACAATGAAATATATCGAGTATGCTTCGAGTTTTACTCCAGTATATTGCACGTTCTTGTATATAATACATATATTATAAATAAATATTTTAAAAATTGTTACACCACGAATTTCCCATAGAGGACGTGCATGGCTTCATGCTAAAGTAAATGCCCCCTCATAGTACGGTAGTCAAAATACTGCTTGTATGCTGTATTCAGTACAGCACAAGACGAACCCTATGCGTTATTAGTTTTTTGTCCTTTTCGACTACCAGATACCCTGACCGAACCGTGTCGGTAGGTCAGGTGGTCTGGCAGAGCCTCCCGTCTCCGCATCAAAACCAGCGGAAAATCGCCACGTAGGCTCGTCAACGTGGGGCAGAGTTTGGTCAGTTCATCGAGCCACTCTGCGAGGCTCAGCCGCCAACTTCAGCCAGGCCTGATTTAGCCGAGCCGAAGCGCCAGGTGGTTATGGTTCGGCCCCAGCAGAGATTTGGCTGGAGGTGCTTCAGCTCTGACTGACAGGTTCGATGTTTGTGCTCCTGCATGTTGGTTGGAAAGAGCCCCACAAGTCTGTAAAGCCCTGTACCGTTCTGAAATTCTTTGAGCCGCACTGTAATGTCCTATTCTGAGTTCCCTTGGGCCGTACACTACTGGGAAGAAAGGCCTTGGAGTTCCCCCCACGCCGTTTCGCTTGGCAGCACCTCCCTCGCCTACATTGGTTGGGAGGGATCTTCCTCATACGCGAAATATTCCCAGGTCGATAAGTGCTTTTGTGAGCGACTTGCGTTGCGGGGAAGTCGTCGTCTAAGCTTCGAGCAGACGCTCCTAGGAACGAGGACTAAGGAGCGAAGGCCTTGGGGGGTGGTGAGCCAGTGGAGGGGAAGGAGGGCCCGATATGGGCATTCCTCCTTCGATGGCTCGTAGCTCCGAGTCGCCACGCCAAAATGGCGGCTTAGGGAACATATCCCCACGCGCAATGTTCTCACACGCCCAACCCGCCAAAGTCGTCTCGTTTCTCGTCGGAGTTGTTGCGATTCTCGCGACCCTCTGCCCAGTGACCGCCGCGCGCTCCGTCGCTCTAGCAGACTGTGAGTCTAACGAGAGATTCGATTCTCGTTCTCTCTGCTTCGCCGTATCTCCTGGCTCTCGCGATTTGATAGTCTCCGCGAGCTACGCTTTTTCCGCCTGAAGCCATACGCGTGCAGGAAAAGAAACTGCTGTCTGCCTGTTCCGTGCGAGGGCCACCCCGTCGCGTGTAGGCTCGTATTAACATTCCGTGAAGCTTTCTGTGAATCATTTGTCCAGTAGCCTGCGACGCATTGCAGCGTCTCGGACAAGTTCGGGTCCCGCTGCCTTAAACGGGAAAACTGCGTCTGATTCCTGTCAGCAGGCTCTTTCCGCGTGACATAGGCGTGGAGTCCCGGGTAAGCTCTACACACTAGCAGATCCGTCCTGGACCATAACTAGCGGATCTATCCCGGGTAAAAACTCCATGACTTGGAAAACGACTGCCCTGTCCCGCTCCCGGCGCTCCGCATTACCCTCTCGTGTGCCCATGCCGCCAGGGCAAGCGCTGCTGCGGCTGAGGGAGGAGCTCAATTTCACCAACCCGCAGCGCAGCCCCAAGGTGTACTGGCGGTCCAGGGACAACTGCAACGTCATCTTCGGGGTCTCCTGCGACGACCAGGGCCGCGTTGTTACGCTGTGAGTGGCGGTTACCCTGCGCCCCCCCGCATTCGCTGCTTTAGTCACGCTGTGAGCCCTCGCCCCTTGCATTAGTGGCTGTATGAGTCGTCCCGGACTTATTGGATAGGGCCCGACTCTTGTAAGGGGGGAAATGTGCAGGGCACTGTAGCGCTGACTGACGCAAGAGAGAGTGCTTTTAAGGGGATTCTGGCGTATCTTCCCACGCTCCTCCCTGCCCTCCGTTTCCCGTTTCCTAAGCTCACTCTCGTCTCATCTCTTCCCTTCCCTCACTCTTTCTGAGTCGGGTCAAAAGCGCTTTTGAGTCGATTTTTGAGGCGCCTCAAAAGTCGACTCAAAACAAAAGCGCTTCCTAAGCTCACTCTCGTTTCATCTCTTCCCTTCCCTCACTCTTTCTGACATGATCCCTCTTGTTGCTGTGATCTGGCGCTGAATGACGTGGCATGGGATGACGTGGCATGGCATGGCTTGTCGTTCCCTTCTCTCAGGTCCTTGTGGGGAGTGACCGGGCCTCTGCCAGAGTCAATCGCCAACCTCACTGCACTCACCTCGCTGTAAGCACTCCCTCTGAAGGCACATAACGATGTCCTCCTGTCAGACGCAATGAGCCCGCTCTGAGGTGGGGGATATCATCCCCATGTTTACCATCTCGTCCCATCCTTCCCTAGGCTCTCATCTGACCATTTTTTAGGCGCCTCAAAAATAAAAAAAATCTGATCCGACGATTTTTAAGGCGCCTAAAAAATCATCTCGTCCTATCCTTCCCTAGGCTCTGATCTGACCCTAGTCCTCACCACGAACCCTCCCTCGCCCTTGTTCCAAAAGCCCCCCTGCCGAGCCAATGAGAGAGTCTCTTTAGGAGAAAGGAAGAGAGTTTTGCTGCTGATTTCATCTTTGGCTGGTGCATGCTTGTGGTGTGTGAGCTCAGGTGGGTGGGCAACAATGTGACCAGCATACCGTCTTCGCTCGCCCAGCTCAGCTCAACACTCTCTGCCCTGTACGGCCCGCCACACCTCTGCATCTTCCCTCTACCGCCCATTGCCCGCTCTTCACGTCTCCATCTTCCTCCCTCCGCGTTCCCAACTCGTCTTTCTTCCAGCTCGGTTGCTCTCTTTCTCTTTCACCTTTTCTCTCTCTTTCTCCTGTGTTAACCAGAACCATCACTTTCTCATCTCTCTCTTTCGCCAGTCCATCTCAGAACCAGCACTTGAATTGAATGAAGCCGACTCAACAGTCCGCATTCCCATTTCCTCTTCCCCCATCCAACTCTCTCTCCCACCACCTCCCCTCTCCCGACCCATCACCTTTCACGCCTTATCTATCCTCCACGTTTCCCCCTATCACCGTCTCCCTTTAGGGAGCACCACCTGGTGGTGGTTTTAGCCATACGTGGCAGCAGGCTTGTAGAACACTGTCCTCGCCTATCCTCCACGTTCCCCCCTGCCACCGTCTCCCTCCCCCAGATTTTTGGGCGGCAATGCCATCAGCGGCAGCTTCCCTGCAGCCGTCACTAAGCTGACTGCTCTGCAAGAGCTGTGAGTGTCCAGCCAAGCAGTATATGGCACGGGGCGAGGAGAGGGGGCGAGGTGAGGGACGAGGGAATCTCACATCAGCGGCAGCTTCCCTGCAGCCGTCACGAAGCTGACTGCTCTGCAAGAGCTGTGAGTGTCCAGCCAAGCAGTATATGGCACGGGGCGAGGAGAGGGGGCGAGGTGAGGGACGAGGGGATCTCACATCAGCGGCAGCTTCCCTGCAGCCATCACGAAGCTGACTGCTCTGCAAGAGCTGTGAGTGTCCAGCCAAGCAGTATATGGCACGGGGCGAGGAGAGGGGGCGAGGTGAGGGACGAGGGGATCTCACATCAGCGGCAGCTTCCCTGCAGCCATCACGAAGCTGACTGCTCTGCAAGAGCTGTGAGTGTCCAGCCAAGCAGTATATGGCACGGGGCGAGGAGAGGGGGCGAGGTGAGGGGCGAGGGGATCTCACATCAGCGGCAGCTTCCCTGCAGCCGTCACCAAGCTGACTGCTCTGCAAGAGCTGTGAGTGTCCAGCCAAGCAGTATATGGCACGGGGCGAGGAGAGGGGGCGAGGTGAGGGACGAGGGAATCTCACATCAGCGGCAGCTTCCCTGCAGCCGTCACCAAGCTGACTGCTCTGCAAGAGCTGTGAGTGTCCAGCCAAGCAGTATATGGCACGGGGCGAGGAGAGGGGGCGAGGTGAGGGACGAGGGGATTTCACATCAGCGGCAGCTTCCCTGCAGCTGTCACTAAGCTGACTGCTCTGCAAGAGCTGTGAGTGTCCAGCCAAGCAGTATATGGCACGGGGCGAGGAGAGGGGGCGAGGTGAGGGACGAGGGGATTTCACATCAGCGGCAGCTTCCCTGCAGCCGTCACGAAGCTGACTGCTCTGCAAGAGCTGTGAGTGTCCAGCCAAGCAGTATATGGCACGGGGTGAGGAGAGGGGGCGAGGTGAGGGACGAGGGGATTTCGCATCAGCGGCAGCTTCCCTGCAGCCGTCACGAAGCTGACTGCTCTGCAAGAGCTGTGAGTGTCCAGCCAAGCAGTATATGGCACGGGGCGAGGAGAGGGGGCGAGGTGAGGGACGAGGGGATCTCACATCAGGGGCAGCTTCCCTGCAGCCGTCACTAAGCTGACTGCTGTGCAAGAACTGTGAGTGTTTAGTGCCCTCAATATTGCGCCTCACTTTTCTCTCTGCTTACTGCTCATTTACTCCACCCAAACTCCACCCAAACTAGAGGAGTCTATTTTTGAGGCGCCTCAAAAATAGACTCCACCCAAACTCCACCCAAACTCCACCCAAACTCCACCCAAACTCCACCCAAACTCCACCCAAACTACACCCAAACTCCACCCATACTCCACAAAACACAACTCCTGCTGTTTCCTCTATCCCTATTTCTCTGTCTCCCAGGAGCCTAGCTGACAACGATCTCTCCGGCCCACTCCCCCCAGGGATTGGCAAGTTGCCGCTGCTGGAGATGCTGTGAGTGACCCTCCCTCCCTCTTTGCTTCCTTGAAATGCTGTTGAGTGTAGCCATGTGTTTCCCTAGCCCAAACCCCTCTATCACCACGTGCCAATTGTTGAGTTCGCCTGATCTGGTTTCTTTATTGCCCTGAATCCTGCAGGCGCTTGGATGGAAATCACCTCTCAGGGCCCATCCCCTCCCTCATCTCCTCGCTCTCTGCCCTCTCCTACCTGTAAGCACCCTCTCACATATCTCTCACATCTCTCTCACATCTCTCTCACCTCCCAACCTCGCAATCATCTCACCCATTCCCTCCCGCAACCCCTTCCTCTCTGGCCTCTCTCCTACTTGCGATTTGCTCTCCATCACTCCTCCTCTCCTCTCTGCACCCTCCAAGCGAGCTCCCCTTTACGCTTCTCCTACACACTGTGACTTTCCCCTTCAGTCTTCTCCTACACACTGTGACTTTCCCCTTCAGTCTTCTCCTACACACTGTGACTTTCCCCTTCAGTCTTCTCCACTCCTCGCACCCTTTTCCCTATCTATGCTCCTACCCTATCTATGCTCCTACCCTATCTATGCTCCTTCCCGTTGTTCCCTTAATCTCCTGCATCTATCTCCACTTCCTCGGGCTAGCATTGCTAGCTTCACTTCACCTCGCCCTGTTAGGCCGCCTGCATGCACGTACTTACCCTCTTGCATCCCCATGGATGAAGCCCTTCGCTTGCACTCTGTACTCCCTCCCCCATGCCTCCCTCTTCGCTCTCCTCCCTCTTCGATCTCCTCCCTCTTCGCTCCCCTCCTCTTCTCCCATCCCTCTTCACCCTCCCCCCTCTTCTCCCATCCCTCTTCACCCTCCCCCCTCTTCTCCCCTCCCTCTTCACCCTCCCCCCTCTTCTCCCCTCCCTCTTCACCCTCCCCCCTCTTCTCCCCTCCCTCTTCACCCTCCCCCCTCTTCTCCCCTCCCTCTTCACTCTCCCCCATCTTCTCCCCTCCCTTTTCACTCTCCTCTCTCTTCTCCCATCCCTTTTCACTCTCCTCTCTCTTCTCCCATCCCTCTCTCTCTCTCCCCCCTTTCCCCCTCAGCTCACTCGCGTCTAACGACCTGTCAGGGGCCATTCCCCCACAGATATCCGCGTTACAAGCTCTGCAGTACATGTGAGCCTCGGCCTTGCCTCTCTCCGTCTCAACCCATCACTGCTGTTCTGCTCCTCATTCCGAAGCTACTCGCTTTCATGGCACTCAGAATGTGCGTCTCACTCACAGCCCATTCCCCCATATCCATATTTTTGAAGTCTCCCAATCATCCTGCCACCGCCCGTGCGTTTTGAAAACATTATGGGAGAGGTATATGCTGGCTTAGTTGCCACATTCCTGCCATGTTCCACCCCTCTGCACCGTCCATCCCCCATCCTACTGTGTGACGATTTTTTCGGGACCTCAGAAAACGTTCCTGCCACACTTCACATCACACCACCATGCATCCCAATCCTACTGTGTGCCTCGCAGCGATCTGCGTAACAACCTCCTCTCAGGAGCAATCCCCCCACAGATCGGCAACAACTACAACCTCAACTGGCTGTCAGTGCCCTCCTTTGCTCACACAACCACCTCCCAGCGTGTCTTTCGCGGCCTCCACCGGCTGTCAGTGTCGTTTTGTGCCCTCCACTGGCTGTCAGTGTCGTATTGTGGCCCTCCACTAGTGCCCTTTGGCTCACGCACGCACCACCACCTACCCTAGCATCAACCGCCAGGTCGGGGTCATTCCATTCCTCTCCGACCCAAACCCTCCTCGTCCCACCCTGCTGTGAACCCTGGCTATGTGGTTACCACATGCAGCTACCTGAGCAACAACCGGCTGTCGGGCTTCATCCCTGCTTCCATTGGCCGCATAGATCGCCTCCGGTACATGTGAGTAGATATGGGCTTATGGCCGAGCCGGAGGCGAGCTGAGCCTCTCTTTTTCTTTTTCCATGACCAGCCCGGCTCAAGCCGAGCCGGGCTGAGCCGGGCTCGATTTCGAGCCCTGGGCCTTGCTGGCACGGATCCAGCCGCCGCCTAAACCCGATTCCCAATACAAGGAACATTGCCCAGCCAATGCTCCTCTCTATGGGCGCTCCCTTTTGGCCCCCCGTAAATCCATACTTGTCGAGCTGGCTCGAAACCGAGCCGGCCCCCGGCTCGACCCTGTTTGGTCTGGCCGAGTCGCCAAATTTTCGTGACCGGCTCGACCTGGCTCGGGCTCGGCTCGGCTCGGCCCCTGCCCATGTCTGCATGCGAGCCTGCTGCGCGCCCCCCTTTTTATTCGTTCGTGAACGGCGGTTGCAAGGCATGTGTCTGGGGTTTCTGCACCTTGGATAGCTGTTGCAAGGGGTATCATGTCGTGCCATCTCATCCCAGTGCCGAAAACATCCTTCCTGCATGGTACCATGCATGCAAGATGCATTGAAACATGTGTTGAAACATGTGTTGAAACATGCGCTCGAACGTGCATTGTAACATGCATTGAAACACACAACACGTCATGCATGTCGCATCACCCTATCACACATGCCACCATCCCTTACCCCAACCCCATCCTCCCATGGCAGGTTCCTCGACTCCAACGTGCTCAGTGGGCCCATCCCTGCATCTGTTTCCACTCTCAGTACTCCCGCGCCCTCCCTCACTACAAGCATCCCCTGTCCCACCATCCTCCCATGGCAGGTTCCTCGACTCCAACGTGCTCAGTGGGCCCATCCCTGCATCTGTTTCCACTCTCAGTACTCCCGCGCCCTCCCTCACTACAAGCATCCCCTGTCCCACCATCCTCCCATGGCAGGTTCCTCGACTCCAACGTGCTCAGTGGGCTCATCCCTGAATCCGTCTCCGCGCTCAGTGCTCTCGTCTACCTGTGAGAGCACCCCATGTAGCCCGTGCGATGCTTTTCTCGGTCGTGCCAACCAAGTCTACCTTTCGATTCGACTCAACATTCACCTCGTGCTCAGTGCTCTCGTCTACGCCAGCACATCAACCATGCTTCCTACTCTGTTTCCGACCTGCCTTTCCTCTCCCCACGGCCCCTTTCCAGCATTGCGAGCCACAACCTGCTGTCAGGCGCCATCCCCCCCACCATCGGCCAGCTGCCCCGCCTCGCATTCCTGTGAGAAGCCCTTCTCACTTCCACCGTCTACCTCTGATGGCGGGTCTCTCAGTAGTACTCACTCCCTGTCAGGATGGCCACCTTCCAGACAGGATAGCCACCTGCCGGACAGGATAGCCACCTGCCGGACAGGATAGCCACCTGCCAGACAGGTTGGCCACCTGCTAGACGGGATAGCCACCTGCCAGACAGGATAGCAGCGGCCTCTGATAGCTTCCTCGCGCCCCAGTAGTGGCAACCCCATGACTTCCCCAGCAGCGACAGCCCCAGCAGCAACAGCCCCATCCTTCCCCGCTCCATGAGCACGTGGGTGGGTGAAGCAAGTTGCAACCCGCGTGAAGTGAATCTCAGAGTACACACTCCTTCTCGCTTGTGCCTTTCTCCATCCCTCCATTTCCCCTGGCCACAGCTCTCTGAGCAACAACTCCCTGTCCGGCCCCCTACCTGCGACCATGGGTCAGCTCAAGCACCTGCAGATACTGTGAGTGCCGTTGATGTTGTCACCACTCCATTCTGTGTGCACTATAGAAGCTTTTTCTCCCTGCTTTTTCCACCCCTTCCGCCTTCTTCCCTTCCCCATCCCCCTTTTTACCTGCTCCCCCTTGTTACTTGCAACTGTCTGTCTAGTGCCACTCTGCCTGAGAAACCTAAGTAAGAACCTGCAATTGCCTGTCTATTGCCACTCCGTACTTGTCCTCCAACCTGCGCTCCCTCGCCCTTCCTTGGCCCCTCTCCTCCCCAACCCCCCTAAACCTCTCTTCTCTCCCAGGGACTTGTCTCGCAACCGCCTGTCCGGAGCCATCCCGGATGCATTCGCTGACAAGCCCGCGCTCAATTCCATGTGAGCTTCTCCCTCCTTCCACTCTGGTGGCTCCCTCACGCAAGTCTCAAACATGTATACTCATTGCATACACAAGGGGCATGTTTGAGTACACTCATTGTGCCTGCCACGTATACTCAAACGTGCCACTTGTGTCTCTCCCAGCAGATTGCCCTTTCATATTCTCACGGGCCCCTCCCTTCCTCACCGCCTGGCCTTCTACCTACCTCACTCAAGCCCCTCTAATTCTCCCCCATCCCCCTCGTGTCTCTCTCCCTGTGACGTCTCTTCCAACGCCCTCACGGGGCCCCTCCCTCCATCCTCTCCTGCCCTTCGTTCTGCCGCACTCACTCATTCTCCCTGCTTTCTCCCCCATCAACCCCCTGTGTCTCCCCCATCCCCCCCCCTGTGTCTCCCCCACCCCCCCTGTGTCTCCCCCACCCCCCCCTGTGTCTCCCCCACCCCCCCCCCTGTGTCTCCCCCACCCCCCCCTGTGTCTCCCCCAGCGACCTCTCTTTCAATGCTCTCACAGGCCCCCTCCCTTCCAGCCTCTTTTTTTGAGGCGCCTCAAAACTACACTCATTCTCCCTGCATTCTCCCCCACCCCCCCTGTGTCTCCCCCAGCGACCTCTCTTTCAATGCGCTCACAGGCCCCCTCCCTTCCAGCCTCTCCTCCTGTGGCTCCCTGTACACGCTGTAAGCAGTTCCGTTTTGCCATATACGCGATATAGGAGATCCCTATCAGCTCTGCCGTTCCTGCCGTTAAGCTCTTTTCAACGCCCTTTGATAAGTATTATAGATGCGATATACTGTGTGAATATTTCTGTGGCAGCTGCAGTGTAATCAGTTTTGAGTCGTCCCAAAACTAAGGTCGAATGCGATGTGCTGCGTGAATATTAGGGCGTGTAACAAGTTCTACAAACTCGCCTCAGGGTCAACCATTCAGAAAGGTTGAACGCGGTCTGGTGGGATTTCTTAGTTTTGAGACGTCTCAAAACTAAGCTCAAATGCGATGTGCTGTGTGAATATTACGGCGCCAGCTGCAGTGGAATCACTCACACCCTCGACCCCCACACCGCAACCCATCCCCCATTAACTCAACACCTTCCCAACCCCCTATCCCTCACGTGTGTAATGAGTCGATTTTTGAGTCGACTCAAAAATCGACTCAAAATACACCTCGATCCCTCGCACCCCATTCTTCCCCACCAGGGACGTCAGCAGCTGCTCCCTCAGTGAGGCACCCAGCACCACAGTCAGCGCCTAACCCTCGCCAGCAGCATGTCCTAGCCACTGCTGTGTCAAACCCAACACTCTTATTCACACCCCCCGCCGCCACCCTCGCACCCCATTCTTCCCACCAGGGACGTCAGCAGCAACGCCCTCAGTGGGTCGCCCAGCACCACCGTCAGCGCCATGCCCTCGCTTTCCTACCTGTACGTCCCAAGTCTAGTTTTGAGGCGCCTCAAAACTAGAATCGCTTTCCTACCTGTACGTCCCAAGTCTAGTTTTGAGGCGCCTCAAAACTAGAATCGCTTTCCTACCTGTACATCCCAAGTCTAGTTTTGAGGCGCCTCAAAACTAGAATCGCTTTCCTACCTGTACGTCCCAAGTCTAGTTTTGAGGCGCCTCAAAACTAGAATCGCTTTCCTACCTGTACGTCCCAAGTCTTGCTACAGAACCCCTGAACCCTTGAATTTGCAGGGTATTTTTGAGAATTCTAAAAAATTCCCTGTACGTCCCAAGTCTTGAAACGCTACTCCTGAACCCCTCAAGCCTTACTACAGCTGAACCCCTGTATGCCCTCCCGCTCCCTGCCACAGGCCTCCCCTCCTTCGTCTAACCTTTCCCTTCTTACTTTTATCTGCGCTTTTGAGGCCCCCCCTCCTGCGTCTGACCTTTCCTTTCTTGCAGTCAAAGCCCTCCCAGAGTGACGGACAGCCAGCAGATGGTGTCATATGACATGAGCAACTTCCTGCCATCCCTCTCCTTCCTTTTGTTCTCTTCCATCCCCTCTCCCCAGCAACCTACCAAACAACTGCTTCAAGGTGACTTTTGAGTCGACTCAAAATGTTGTGTGACATTGTAACGAGGTGACTTCTGAGTCGACTCAAAATGTTGTGTGACATTGTAACGAGGTGACTTTTGAGTCGACTCAAAATGTTGTGTGACATTGTAACGAGGTAACTTTTGAGTCGACTCAAAAGTCACCTCTCCCCAGCAACCTACCAAACAACCTCTTCACATGTCTAGTACCAAGGGTGACTAACCACCAGCAGATGGTGTCATATGACATCAGCTCCTACTACTTCTATGGCCCGGGGATCGTTTCAGACACCACGCCCCTCGCGCTGCCACAGCGTCTCACCTTCCCCATCCCTGGCCCCATTGCTTGCCCCTTCCCTTGCCCCTTCGCTGCCTCTCCCCGTCCGCCCTCCCAGCAACCTATCTAACAACTTCTTCACAGGTCTAGTACCAAGGGTGACGAACCGCCAGCAGATGGTGTCGTATGACATCAGCTCCAACTACTTCTATGGCCCGGGGATCGTTTCAGACACCACACCCCACGTGCTGCCACAGCATCTCACCTTCCCCATCCCTGGCCCCTTCCCTTGCCCCTTCCCTTGCCCCTTCCCTTGCCCCTTCCCTTGCCCCTTCCCTTGCCCCTTCCCTTGCCCCTTCCCTGCGTCTCTCCGTCCGCCCTCCCAGCAACCTATCTAACAACTTCTTCACAGGTCTAGTACCAAGGGTGGTGGACAGCCAGCAGATGGTGTCGTACGACATCAGCTCCAACTACTTCTATGGCCCGGGGCTCGTCTCAGATACCACGCCCCTCGCACTGCCGCTCTGCAAGACGGGCTTCGAGCCGGGCACCTTCTCGGCAGCTGCCAACTGCCTGGTGTACGGCTCTGCCACGGAGAACTCATGTCCCACCCGCACTGGCCCTATGAGCACTGGAGACCTGCTGCAGGTAAGGGATTCTGCTTCTTCTTCTGCTGTTGCTGCTGCTGCTGCTGCAGGTACAAGGCATGGGGTTTGTTTGGGGTTGGGGGTTGTAAGCAGGGAGCTTTGATCGCAGCACCTTCTTTGCTGCCGTCACCTCTTATAATGCTCATCCAGTCGACTGCAATACCGTCCCACCTGTTCTCATCGCATCCGAACCCATCCCACTGCATACCTAAGTTGGGCCCTAACGTTTTTTAGGGTACCGTTATCGTAAATAAACGCGATTATTTACGATTTCGTTTACGAACGCTGACTAACGCGTTAATCCATGCGGGGCAGCTGGAAAAAAAACTATAAATAAATTAATTAAAAAAAAAATGTTTCATCATGACACTCTGTCTAGGGACACCAGCGAGTCGTCAGCATGCCTCTCTGAAAGTAGGGCGTGTGAATGAGCGGTATAGAGATATGTTTGCTGGGGGGAATTGAGTTGTGAAGGGGAGGGGTGCGATAAGAGGGGTTATTTGGGGAGGTTGCTGCGCTTAATGTGGAGTTTCGTGCTCTAGAATTTCACAGATCCCCAACCAGGAAATCACAGCATTGGCATTCCAAGCTTGTTGGAATTTCGCTATGGAAATTTCCTATGGGTTTTTTTTTCCTGGGCAGCCCTGTGAATTTTCAGGCTGACCATAAACGTTAGTCAAAAATAGAGCAACCATTTGTAAATGTAAAAAAACTACGTAAACATTCGAAAACGTAAAACACTGTAAACGTCAGATCCAACTTAGATGTGGACTGAGAGAGGATGTGTGTGATGTGGACTGAGAGAGGATGTGTGTGATGTGGGCTGAGAGAGGATGCGTGTGATGTGGACTGAGAGAGGATGCGTGTGATGTGGACTGAGAGAGGATGCATGTGATGTGGACTGAGAGAGGATGCGTGTGATGTGGACTGAGAGAGGATGCATGTGATGTGGACTGAGAGAGGATGCGTGTGATGTGGACTGAGAGAGGATGCATGTGATGTGGACTGAGAGAGGATGCATGTGATGTGGACTGAGAGAGGATGCGTGTGATGTGGACTGAGAGAGGATGCGTGTGATGTGGACTGAGAGAGGATGCGTGTGATGTGGACTGAGAGAGGATGCGTGTGATGTGGACTGAGAGAGGATGTGTGTGATGTGGACTGAGAGAGGATGTGTGTGATGTGGGCTGAGAGAGGATGCGTGTGATGTGGACTGAGAGAGGATGCGTGTGATGTGGACTGAGAGAGGATGCATGTGATGTGGACTGAGAGAGGATGCGTGTGATGTGGACTGAGAGAGGATGCATGTGATGTGGACTGAGAGAGGATGCGTGTGATGTGGACTGAGAGAGGATGCATGTGATGTGGACTGAGAGAGGATGCATGTGATGTGGACTGAGAGAGGATGCGTGTGATGTGGACTGAGAGAGGATGCGTGTGATGTGGACTGAGAGAGGATGCGTGTGATGTGGACTGAGAGAGGATGTGTGTGATGTGTACCATCGCACCACATGACATCAGGTGCACGCCCAATGCTCCAAAGCTGCCTGTCTCTCGTTCTGCCGCACCAACATCACCACACGGCCGCCAATGCGGCTCCCTGGGCACTTGCGATGTGGAGATGACAGGGTCCCTGCCTGGGGCTCCTGTGTCGACCCAACAGGCCTTTCGCCCCACCCCATCCCTGTGTTGACCCCATACCACACCCATCCCATCCCATTCCCATCAGGTTTTGAGGCGCCTCAAAACTTGACCCCATACCACACCCATCCCATCCCATTCCCATCAGGTGGACGCCCAGCGCTCTGAAGCTGCCTGTCTGTCCTTCTGCCGCACCAACATCACTCGCACAGCCGCCAACTCCCAGTGCGGCTCCCTGGGCACTTGCGTGATGGAGATGACAGGGTCCCCGCCCCGCCCCTCCTATGCCTGTGAATGCGCCAAGGGGGCCATTCGCTCGGCTGATGGGCAGTCTTGCACTGCTATCGGTAAGCCCATGTTTGACATTGCAAGTATGGCCCCACGTGCGTGATGGAGATGACAGGGTCCCTGCCCCGCCCCTCCTTCGCCTGCGAGTGCGCCAAGGGGGCTGTGCGCTCCGCTGATGGGCAGTCTTGCACCGCTACCGGTAAGACTTTGTGTGCGCTTCTTGTGACCATGGTTATGTGTTACCCTTTGTGTTTACGCTTGCTCGCCCCGCCCCTCCTTCTCCTGTGAATGTGCCAAGGGGGCCGTTCGCTCCGCCGACCGCGTATCATGTTAGGCAAGAGGTTAGGGCTTGTGTTGTCGCTGTGCGCTTCCTATGGCTTCTGAGTCACCTCAAAAGTCAAGAGGTTAGGGCTTGTGTTGTTGCTGTGCGCTTCGCATGCGTTTCATTATCCTCATGCAACGTTTCGTATTACGGGCTTCACGCATGGATTACCATATCCCATGCTCAAAAAATTACTTGTGCATTCACTTGTGCTCTTGTATTAGCTTGTACTCATGTGGTGCTCTTTTGCCAGGCTTTTGAGTCGGCTCAAAAGTGTACTCATGTGGTGCCCTTTGCCAGGCATCACTTTACCCCCCCTCCACTGGAGATTTTAAATCTGGGTGTGCCTGGGTCATCGTAGGTTTCATTTCTTTTCTCCTTTTCCCGACTCACATGTTCTCCTTCTTTGCTCCCTCTTCTGTTCTATCTCCCCCACTTATGCCCCCCCCTTATGCCCCCTCATTTCCATACTGCAGAGAAGCCGTCCCCTTCTCCTCCTCCCCCCCGCCCGTCCCCTCCTCCAACACCCCCCCTACCTCCCCCTCGCTCCCCCCCCACTTCCCCTCCTCCCCCTTCCCCTTCCCCCCCTCCGCCTTCCCCTCCCCCTCCCACGCCCCCTTCTGCCGCTGCTGAGGCTGAATCTGCTGCAGCTGCCCCAACCCCTGCGCCCACAGCTCCCCCTGAAAGCCCCCCTCCCCCCTCCCCTCCCCCCCCTTCTCCCCCAGTGGATAGCCCTCCCCCGCCCTCCCCTCCCCCACCTTCCCCTCCTCTGGAGAGTCCCCCTCCCCCTTCCCCTCCCCCACCCTCCCCTCCTGTGGACAGCCCTCCCCCTCCCTCCCCTCCTCCCCCTTCTCCTCCCCTCGAATCCCCCCCACCGCCCTCCTCCCCTCCCCCTTCTCCTCCCCTCGAATCTCCCCCACCGCCCTCCCCACCCCGGCCCTCTCCTCCTCCCCCATCCCCTCCTCCGCCCTCCCCAAGCCACAAGAGGGATGAGTTGGATTCGATCTCCAATGAGCTATTGCCAGCTGTCCCACCCGACTCTCCCCCACCCCCCCTGGCATCTCCACCCCCTGATGCCCCTCCCCCTGATGCCCCTCCCCCGGATTCCCCTCCCCCACCTCCGGACTCCCCTCCTCCACCACCCCCAGACTCACCCCCTCCGTTTCCCCCTCCCCAGCCACCCCCAAGCCCCCCTCCCTCCCCTCCTCCCTCTCCTCCTCCCTCTCCTCCCCCCTCCCCTCCTCCCTCTCCCCCTCCGTCCCCCCTCCGTCCCCTCCTCCCTCTCCTCCTCCTTCCCCTCCACCCCGCCCCCCTCCCTCTCCTCCCCCGTCTCCCCCTCCCCCGTCTCCCGCTTCTCCCCCTCCCCCTTCTCCCCCACCCCCCTCTCCCCCTCCGCCCTCCACGCCACCGCCACCACCAGCAAGCTTTTCAGGCGCCAAGTGTGGGTGGTTCTTGGGGTACTATAAGTGCGAGAATCACGACGAGAAACAGCTGGCCTGAAGGCACTCAGATCGCAAGCACGGGTGCATGTTTGGGTGAAGTGTGGATGGGTGGTCCCTGGGATGCTATTCGATAGTGCGGGTGGTACCTACCTACCTACCTACCTACCTACCTACCTACCTACCTACCTACCTACCTACCTACCTACCTACCTACCTACCTACCTACCTACCTACCTACCTACCTACCTACCTACCTACCTACCTACCTACCTACCTACCTACCTACCTACCTACCTACCTACCTACCTACCTACCTACCTACCTGGGATAATACAAGTGTGAGAACCACGATAGGAAGCAGCTCGTTTGAAGATGCTGCTGGGTTGGCCTTCGGGGTTCGACGGGGGCCTTGGGAAGTTGGGAGAGTCTGTTTTAGAATTGGCTCCAAGTCAGACTCTGGATGACTCCTAGGAAGTGTGAGACCCACGACGCGAAGCGCCTGCCCTTAAACCCCTGAGTTGACTTGTGGGCATGCAACTGAGTTGGCCATAAGAGACACACCCTTGAGTGGGACTGGCCCTCCTCTCCTGGTCAGGCAATGGCCCTGACTTATACATGTGGCGACCGCAAGGAGAAGCAGAACTGAAAGCCCCAGGCTGGGTGGAGTGTCCAGACTCCTGACGCAAGTGACCAGCACTCTACGGGGGGTTGTTTTGTTTAGGCACTGATGAGAGCATTGCCAGCATGTTTGCTCTGCACTGGCTCCTCTGGCGTCTCTTACATCAGTGTGTGTGCCATGCTCGCTCTCTTGTGCAGATGAATTAAATGCTTCAAATGCTTCCCTTTTGTACCATACCATATACCGGTACCAGCATACACCCTTCTACCTCCTGAAGTGGCCGACTGGTTGTTGATCTCCGTCTCTTTCCCCTTATGTTCCTCATAGCACACAGTCCGTGCTCTGATTCTCGCATTGTCTAGAGGGTTATAACCTGTTTTCAGACAGGGTCAGTGGTTCCTCCCTTGTGCTAGAAATAATAGACACGGTAATTAACATCATGCAGTTTGCCTGATACGTAACAGAAGCGAGAGTATTGCCAATGTACCGTATTTGTTATGGCACACAGATACTTGTCCACTTCAGAGCCCTACCATAACTAACTTCAGCTAGAACAGCGGATGTTACTCGAGCTAGAACCACGCAAAAGACATTCAGCACAATTCAGAGTGCAATGCTTTCAGGCGTCAACCGCTCTGAAGGGCATTTCTCAGACCACCGCCCGCCCGACCCATACTTTTTAGTAAGAAATGATCCCTGCTCTTGTGCTTGCCCTTGCGTGTACTCAGAATCAGCCCGTCACCCTCCCTCCACCGCCGCCTCCTCTTGTCCCCCCCCTCCTCAAGCTAGTAAGGCTTGTCCTCCTCTTGTCTCCTCTTGTGCTTGACCTTTTGAGTCGACTCAAAACCGCCCCCTCCTTCAAGCCCCTCCCACTGTCGCAGGCACCCATCCTCCCCTCCCCTCCACTCCCGAACGAGGTGACTGTTGAGTTTACTCAAAACACACGCTAGTAAGGCTTAAAGCGGTCCTTGCCCTTGCGCTTACTCGCTTTCAGCCCCTCCTCCTCCACCACCTCCTCCTCCTCCCCTTGTCCCTCAAGCCCCTCCCACTGGCAAAGACACCCATCCTCCCCTCCGGTCCAGAACCCAGCAGTCAAACCTTCCCCAGTTACCACCCGCACGACATCCCTAACCACGGCCGAATGCGCCCCTGAGAACAGCATGTCTGGGCCGCTGACCTGGCAGCTGCCAGCTGGCAGGCTTGCGCTGCCGCCAGGTGGATGCTCCGACATCGTGGCATCGTCATCAGCGGCAGCAGAGGGGCCCGGTGGATGGGAGGGAGAGGAGAGGGAGGAGGGCAGGGAGACAGGGAAGGAGGCTGCAGGGCCGTGCTGTGAGCCGGCGAAGAGGTGCAGGTGGTGGGAGGAGGGGGAGTAGTCGCAGGAGATCAGATAGTCGACCTGACAGGGCAGTGGGGGGCCGGGGATGATAGGGGAAACAGGGGTGCAGGTAGGTAGGTGAGGAAACCTAGGAGCATGCATGGAGGTTGGGAGGGAGGGAGATGGGGAAGCTTGCTGCATGGTCGTGCTGTGAGCTGGCGAATAGGTGGAGGAGGTTGGAGGAGGGGGAGTAGTCGCAGGATATGGGATAGTCAACCTGTGAACGAGCGTGAGGGTGGGGAGAGTGAGTTAGTGCAGCAGCTACTGACAGCACCAGGGCACAATCATGGAGCAATTAACGTGTACTTTTTGTGCAAGAATGGTGTATTTTTTGTACAATAATGGTGCAATCATGGTGTATTTCTTGTGCAATAATGGTGCAACTAAGGTGCCATTATGGTGTGTTCCTTGTGCAATAATGGTGCCAACCATGGTGCAATTATGGTGCAGCTACGGAATGTGTGGGGGCAGAAAGGTGCGAGATATCATGGCGTGGGAAGGACACAACACATACCAGCATGTGGAGCAGCCATCTCTGACAATGTTACCCAAAACCTGGAGTTAACTTGGACGGCTCAAATCACAGCACTCACCGGCACCTGGAGCGGCCAATTTTGAGAGAGGGTCGATCGAATGTCGTCAAAAGCGGCAATGCGATCTCCGGTCCACAGTTCCCAGAGACTAATGGTACAACAAGAGCCCGGGGGTGGGGGGGAGGAGGGAAACGAAGGTTGGACAAGATGGAGCTAAGAGGCGGAGTGAAATTACGACGGAGCGGGCGGGGTGCAAGTGGAGGTTCCTAGGTGGAACGCGAGGGGATTGAAGTCACAGATGCGGGAAGAGTAGGGGGTAAATACACAAAACACCCCCGGATATTTTAGAGCCAGACCTTCGCGCACCAGAGGGTTTCAATGCTGGCGAGTCACCGGCAGAGGGGCCGAAGGCCTGAAGCCGAAGAAGCCGATCAGAGTGTCGGAAAGCCTACTCCCATTAGCTTTTTCAAAACACAAGGTGCTCACCTGAGGGTTTCAATGCCGGTGAGACACCAAACGGCAGAGGCAGAGGGACCAAAGAAGCCGATTCGGGAGATCGATGTACCCGGGCTGATCACCTGGGGAAGAGGATGGGAAGTGCAAAGGACGAGTGAGAGACAGGGATGTGGGGAGCGAAGGGAATTAGACGCAGGAGGAGAAAAGCGATAGAAGCCAACGATATTGGAAAACCAGGCGGGTTACAAATGTAATCAGAGGGTTTGAAATCAAGGGCAAAGATAAAGGAGAGCAAGCGCGGCCGGAAAAGGAGCAAAGGAATGCGGATGAGGATGTACTGGCGAGGAAAAGCGAAGAGGAGGCGAAGGTTTAGGCAGTGGAGTGGACACAGACTGACTGTAGAGCAAAGGAGGGGAAATGAGGAAGTAAGAGATATGAAGGGAGAAGGAAAGCGTTGGGCGGCAGGGTTCAGGCAGAGGAAACGGACTGACTGTAGCGGGTCGGAGTCGCCGTAACGCTCTGCGGTAACCGGAGCGGCGAGGGCGGCCTCGTGGGGTGGGGAGAGGTCAAAGCGGCAGATGAGGCCGTCCAGAGAGGCTGAGATGAGTGCAGTGCGGTGGAGAGGGTGGAAGCGAACCTGCGAGGAGGGGAGGGTGGAGTGAAAGAAGAAAAGGGGGAGGAGGGAAGGGGGGGAGGGGGGTAGGGTGAGCAAGGGAGTAAGTGTTGCTGAGCTGAGTCAAGGCGGCAGATGAGACCCTCTATTGGAGAATGTGAAGAGAGGTTTGCAGTGCGGTGGAGAGGGTGGAAGAAAAGCTGTGAAAGGAGCACCAATGGAAGGAGAGAGGAGGGGCATGTGGTAAGGGAAGGTGGCGCGGTTGAGACGTCACAGCCCACCTGAGTGACGTCAGAACCCACCTGAGTGACGTCACAGCCCACCTGAGTGACGTCAGAACCCACCTGAGTGACATCCTCTGTGTGTGCATCCTCTAAACGCCCCAGCAGGCGGCAGGAGCGCATATCCCACAGCAGTATCTGGAGGTGAGGGGAGAAGACGAATGGCCTCAGACACCACACCATACGAAGCAGAGAGGAAGGAAGACGAATGGCCTCAGACACCACACCATACGAAGCAGAGAGGAAGGAAGACGAATGGCCTCAGACACCACACCATACGAAGCAGAGAGGAAGGAAGACGAATGGCCTCAGACACCACACCATACGAAGCAGAGAGGAAGGAAGACGAATGGCCTCAGACACCACACCATACGAAGCAGAGAGGAAGGAAGACGAATGGCCTCAGACACCACACCATACGAAGCAGAGAGGAAGGAAGACGAATGGCCTCAGACACCACACCATACGAAGCAGAGAGGAAGGAAGACGAATGGCCTCAGACACCACACCATACGAAGCAGAGAGGAAGGAAGACGAATGGCCTCAGACACCACACCACACCATACGAAGCAGAGAGGAAGGAAGACGAATGGCCTCAGACACCACACCATACGAAGCAGAGAGGAAGGAAGACGAATGGCCTCAGACACCACACCATACGAAGCAGAGAGGAAGGAAGACGAATGGCCTCAGACACCACACCATACGAAGCAGAGAGGAAGGAAGACGAATGGCCTCAGACACCACACCATACGAAGCAGAGAGGAAGGAAGACGAATGGCCTCAGACACCACACCATACGAAGCAGAGAGGAAGGAAGACGAATGGCCTCAGACACCACACCATACGAAGCAGAGAGGAAGGAAGACGAATGGCCTCAGACACCACACCATACGAAGCAGAGAGGAAGGAAGACGAATGGCCTCAGACACCACACCATACGAAGCAGAGAGGAAGGAAGACGAATGGCCTCAGACACCACACCATACGAAGCAGAGAGGAAGGAAGACGAATGGCCTCAGACACCACACCATACGTCACTCATTCCCACAGGCGGTCCTCCAGCCGGCCCGAAGTCAGCAGCAGCGCATGTCCCACAGCAATATCTGGACCGGACAAGGAAGCGGGCGGCCAGGAGAAACATGGTCCTTGAGAATTGTCAAGAACCTATCACGGCCAGGAGGAACACAGTTGACTCTGACACGGCGGCGACTCGTAAGCCCCCCAGGACAGTTCGCTGCCACCTTCCCTTGCCACCCCCAGTCGGCCAGGCATTGCCTTGCCTAGACTAGACATCAGCTCAAATCCTACACCCCAAACCCCCCGCCTAGGAATCCTAAACCCCAAACTCCCCGCCTAGAAATCCTAAACCCCAAATTCCCCGCCTAGGAATCCTAAACCCCAAACTCCCCGACTAGGAATCCTAAACCACAACCTCCAAGCCTAGGAATCCTAAACCCCAAACTCCGTGCCTAGAACTCCTAAACCCCAAACCCCCTGCGAGGAATCCTAAACCCCAAACTCCGCACCTAAGAATCCTAAACCCCAAATTCCCCGCCTAGGAATCCTAAACCCCAAACCCCCTGCCTAGGAATCCTAAACCACGAACTCCAAGCCTAGGAATCCTGAACCCCAAACTCCGCGCCTAGGAATCCTAAACCCCAAACCCCCCGCGAGGAATCCTAAACCTCAAACTCCGCACCTAGGAATCCTAAACCCCAAATTCCCTGCCTAGGAATCCTAAACCCCAACCCCCCGCCTAGGAATCCTAAACCACAAACTCCAAGCCTAGGAATCCCAAACCCCAAACTCCGCACCTAGGAATCCTAAACCCCGAATTCCCCGCCTAGGAATCCTAAACCCCAAACCCCCTGCCTAGGAATCCTAAACCACAAACTCCAAGCCTAGGAATCCTAAACCCCAAACCCCCCGCGAGGAATCCTAAACACCAAACTCCGCACCTAGGAATCCTAAACCCCAAATTCCCCGCCTAGGAATCCTAAACCCCAAACCCCCCGCCTAGGAATCCTAAACCACAAACTCCAAGCCTAGGAATCCCAAACCCCAAACTCCCCACCTAGGAATCCTAAATCCCAACCCCCCCGCCTAGGAATACTAAACCGCCAACTCCCTGCCTAGGAATCCTAAACCCTAAATTCCCCACCTAGGAATCCTAGACCCCAAACCCCCCGCCTAGGAATCCTAAAACCTAAACTCCCCGCCTAGGAATCCTAAACCCCAAACTCCCCGCCTAGGAATCCTAAACCCCAAACTCCCTGCCTAGGAATCCTAAACCCCAAACTCCCCGCCTAGGAATTCTAAACTCCAAACTCCCCACCTACGAATCCTAAACCCGAAACCCCCTGCCTAGGAATCCTAAACCCCAAATCCCAAACCCCCCGCCTAGGAATCGCTTTGCCTGTTGATTTCACCTTGGAGCCGCATCGCCAGACACACCTGACAAACCTCACCTTCCCCAGTTAACGCCTGACCTGGGAGTTGCCTCCAGCCGCCAGCAGGTGCCCTGTGGACCCCCCTCCCCCGCTGCAGCTCCACAGCTCGCCCGCGCCCCCATACGCGGGGAACACGCCCGCCTAGTGGGGGGTGCGGAGGGGGGAAGAGGGGGCGGGGGGGGGGGAGAGGAAGGGGAAAAGGAGGAGGGTAATGCCCCACGTTGCGGAAGCAGAAAAGCAGGTTACGGGGGGACATATGATGACTTTTGAGTCGACTCAAAAGTCACCTTGATGACTACGCCTACCAAAAATCTTGTACTGTCATCCTGGCTCAACTATAAACCACACCCAACGATAAACCCGAAATCGTACGCTCCCCTGGGACTGAGCCCACGCCCCTTAAACCCGAAAGTTATCAGCGGCGGATTGGAAGGTAGCGTGAGAGGGAGTATGAGTTAGAGACAAACCCTAATTCAGGGTTGAACGGATTACTGCTACTGCTGCACTCACCTGCGATCGGGCCCGCGCGTCCCAAGCATAGACGGCGGATTCGGACGACGACGAGAGGAGCACCTCTCTTCCGGGCCCCGCCCCTCCGAAAGCGGCTTCCGCAAACCCTAAATCCGTCACCGTGCCAGGGTGGCGAGGCGCCACGTCACCCAGGGACGCTCCGGATGCCACGTCGAATGATTTGATGGCAGGAGCTGACGTGGACACCGCCAGGAGAGGCGAAATCGGGCTGTGAAGTTGGGAAAGATTAGGGTTTTCAGGTGAAGACAGCCCACGTGTTCATCGAGGCTGTACGAGAAAATAGGCGCGAACGTCGAAATCTATTGGACAGAACGCTACCGCGATTGGAAACGACCGGATAAAGATGGAGTTTCGCACGTTAATACACGGATGCTGATCTTTTTTATTTATTTATTTTAGGAGGGAGCTACAACTAGTAACAGTACAGGGAGACTTATTCACGTGCTCGAAATGGGACGAGACAAAGCAAAGCGGTGCTTACAAACAGGGGAAAAGAAGAGCCGCCAGAAGATACTAAGTTAATTCAAACAGCTAACTTAGTATCTAGACTGCGAACGCACCTTACGGCGGTCTGGAGGACATAGTCGGGATCAGCGCTGGAGCCACCCACCCTAATCGTGCGCGCTGGTTTCAACCGCTGACCGCAGAAAGCCGGAGGAACGCGGCTGCTGCCGCAGCCAGACGCGTCATCCATGCCCTTGGGCTTGCTAGTTATTTTTGTGCCTGCCTAACGAAAGAAGAAACTATCTGCAGAAGAGAGTAGGACTGGAGTCATCAATGACGACGCTAGACTCCAGAAAGAGGATTCTGTAGCATAGTTACGGTACAGTACGGTAGGGTACTGTGCTGTACACCAGTCAACGTTGAGAGACGAGTAGTTGGGGCTGGGCTGGGGGGGCTGTTCTAGGGAGTGTACAGTTCTCTGTACACTCCTGCTCTGTACACTAGATCAGGGCTCTCGGTTCAAGGGTAAACATACGGAATGTCAGGTACATTCCGGGTATTTCCCGCTGAAATCCTAATTTTGAGGATTTCGGCCTCCCCAACCTCCTGACTGATTCCGGACGTTTCCAAGGAAATCCCTGAGCAATCTGGATTGCGCAAAAAATTGTCCTGGCTATCCGACTGGTATGGAAAAATACCCGTGCCGGAATTGCAACCTCACCCCGGACCAATTTTCCACGCAATCTGAAGGCGCGACCTGTGGAACTTCCACAGCCGCACAAGCGCAGGGTGATCAGACTAATCACATCCCCTTACCATCTAAGCCAGGTTGCGCAATGTCACTCTCACTAAGCTCTATGCATTTCTGTCGCGATGGACAAGAAAAGTGTCGAACTTGGTGTGTTGGTGAGGGACAGCAGCAGCAGGAAGCAAGTGTTTTGTATTCTCTTCCATCCTTTCTTCCATCTTTGTCCTTCCTGCTTTCTCGAACTGCCCAAAGGTTCTACTGATATGTAGGGCGTTCCGAAAAACGCTCTGAATTTCAGATTGAAAGTTCAAAGTGATCCTGGAATAAAGAGAGATTTCCCAGGGAATGCTGATTTTTCAGGGTCTCAGTGACGCGAATCCGGAGCCTTCTGGATAAAAAAAAAAAACAAGAGGCAACGAGATCGTCTCAGGATTGCGGAGCATTTCATGATGAGACTTTATTATACATAAAATGTTTTATTTCCATCACAACAAACATTTGATTTTTATTTCACAAACTTGAAAAAAAAACCAGCCCGATCGATTGCAATAGGTTGCTCCGCAACCCAAAAAAAAAAAAAAAAAAAAACAAACAAACAAACGAAAATCAGCCCTGCACTAGATGCATTTTGGAACAGGTTTTCTGGCTAGGCTGGTTGTTCGGAGGGAAGATTGGGTTTCTTCCTTGGCTTCGCCGCAACAACCCTTCGGCTTGTCAAACTTGGCCAAATCGAATCTCTAAGCATGACTTCTGTGTGGTGTTAAAACGCAGTTTCTCCGAGTGGCAGCTAGTGTGAGTTGTGCAAATTAGGGCGTGGTACAAACAATTTCAACTCCCGAATCACGGAGCTGAGTTCCGAAAACAGTGGTGCGACTGACCACCAACTTGCACTGCCAAGACGCGGCGCAGTCCCCAAGGTCCACACCACATCACGTTCCAGCCATCCGAGCGTCCCTGAACGACCTCCGCCAATCACAACCATCCGCCGCGTCGTCTCTTCCTTGAAGCATTGCGGCGAAACAAAATCCCTCTCCTCGAGTCTGTCCGATCTGAATTTGACACAAGAAAATCCACCCTATTGTGCCGCCCCCCGCCACCTCCCTGGCGAGAAAGCAAACCTCGCACTAGTAGACCAGAATCAGAGCAGTGGTAGCCTGGGCAGCAAATGACTCGGTCAGGGCAAAGTTAGACCGCGTGTCAGGCGGTAGGTACAGGTTGGCGAGCTGACCCGAGGGACAGGTCGACCTGTTGCCGCCACCGTGCAGCATCCCTGACACCCGCGTGTCAGGTAGGGCTGTACCGACCGCCTGACACGCGGTCCTACTTGCCCTCAGTCTGTCCCGTCAGGGATCACTCCCAGCCTGCCAGCCATGGCAACCCGAAGGAGCAAACGCAAATTTGAGGGGCCTCGGGAAAAGAATGCCCCTTGTGTTTGTCGGGAAACCAGAATGACCTTGCTCCTGTTGGAAGCATCCCGTTGAAACCCTCAGCTTCTCGCTCCTGTTCTGCTGATCTGGGTTGATGGGAGAGTTTCTCAGCTTGATGGATCCCTTTGTTTCCCGCGCACCGAGCGTCGCGGGGGGGAAACAGACACCATGGCTCCATCAACCCTGTTAGGTGGCACTGAAGCCTCTGTCGGAGTATCGATCTCACCTCCTAGTAGTAAATACGTCATGTTTGTAGAACATACAATATAGGTGCTTCCTGTCGACTGCGCGCTCCAATACGCATTTACTACGACCGTACGAGGGTGCTGGTCTCACTGGTACGCGGTATGGGCTTGCATACAGCTTGACCAGCTTGAAGCATCGTTCCGACCTCTGATTCGGCTCGCGTCAAAGTAGCTGTACATAGCCCCTTAACTCGTACAAAGGAAACATACCTTCACAAAATTGACAGGCGGCTGTTACACCCACCTTGAGATTCACTGAACCGGGACAAATGGCGGAGCGCGGGGACGGCGAGGTGAGGGCCGCGAAGCGGATCCGACGGCCGGCGCTCCTTCCGGGCTTCATCCCGTGGAGCGCGCTCGAACTGGGCCCCCGCAAGAAGCAGGTAACCGTTGAGGCGCCTCACAAGTCGCTCGACGTCTCAACGGGTTCGGGTCCACAGCGGAAGCAGCACAGCCAGCCACCGCGACCCCCCACTTCTTCAAAAACTTTTCTTCAGGGAAGTTCCCTGAAGGACACTGGAGCGACGCTCCCGGATGCCACTCGCGCCGCAGCCGTCAGTGACAGCGCCGCGGCGGACCCAGCGGCGCCGCGATTAAGGACCGAAGGAAACGGCAAAGCGCGCAGTTCTGACACGAGAAACCTGAAGGCCCCCCCGGGACCGGCGGTTTTGACCCCTGGCGAGCCGAACGGATTGACGGAGGATGAAAGGAAGACTGTTCTTGCCGTCCCCACTCGGAGTGGGGAGCACCGGAGCGGTGACATACTACTATCGGGCGACACTAGGTCTGATCACGGCGACGACGGCTCGAAATTCTCTGCGAAGAGAGGCGTCCCAGAAGGAGCGATAAGAGACACGCGGAAGAAGCGGAAGCAGCCGAAAGTGAAGAGTATTGGGGAGGTGTCTACGGATCGCGACCAGCAGAAGGAGGCGTTTCCCCAAGTTCGGGAGAGCGGCGGGGCTAGCACCGACAGGTCGTCGCGGCTGTCGAAGCGGCGCGACATCGTGACGACGTCGAGCGTAGTTGAGGTACTAGTACGAAGCTTAGTAAGGAAGCTGTTTCTCTCAGCGCACGCACACCGTTTAGCGGCGTAGTACTACGTCTCGTACTAAGCTCTGAGTTGGCTATAGCGGTAATAATAACTATTTTTTTCCGACCCCTGTGCACCCGACCCTTCGTGCTATTTCGTATACCACTGGTTAGTGTTCCACCCTCCTTGCCATTCGGATTCGAGGCACCTAAACATGTTTTGTACTGAACTCTGTTCTTGCCATTCCGTGACTCCAGGCGTCAGGGAGATCCGGCGACCGACACACGACCGCGCGACCGTCGATCCTCGCGCCGTCTCGTTTTAAGGCGGACTCGTTACTATCGGGGGAGTCGAGCAGAAGCCACGCGCGCAAGCTTAAGCGGACTGCGAGCGAGAGTAACGAGGGGAGCGGTAGGCCTTCCTTTGAGTTCGACCAGCAAACCCCCGTTTTTAGCACCAGCTTATCGCAGGAAAACAGAAGCGCTGCTCGCTCGCTAAAAGCTGATGACGGTTTGGAGGGACCTGGGTGGCGTCGCTTGTGGGTTGCAAAATCGAAGGGTAAACTTCAAGCGGGCGTGAATTTACCGAGCGGGGAACACAGAGGCGAAGCAGAGGACAGTTTGCTGACGGATGACTGCAACAAGGGTGACTGTAGCGAGGGAAGAAGTGATGGGGCTTCCTCGGATGGATGGGATGACATATGCTCTACAGTGAGCCAAAGGAGATGTGCTACAGTGAAGTGTGAAGAGGAAGACATAAAAGAAATGGCTACAATAAAGTTCCTTCCACAAACTGTAGTTTGGGCCAAGGTGAGTCATTGATTTTTTTCCTCATATAAAATTTGCTCAATTTTATACTTGACTTGCAAAGATTCAAATATCTATATATGGAATACTACATATCCACTTTGTATTCTGATCAGGTGGATGATGGCAAAGGCTGGTGGCCTGCAGTGGTGGAGGATTGGATGGATGTGCCTATAACGATTCGCCTACTACAAGAGCACGAGAGTGATCACGTGGTGCGGCTACTCTTGCGAGATGCAGGGGAGACAAAGCACCTATGCAAGAAACCACAGTAAGTTTCAACCTTGTTAGACTAAAAACAACTAGTAACATGGCGGTTGCTAGTTCTCTTGCAAGAACCCACCCTGAGATTCAACCTTGTTTCAGGTGGAATTGGGTTCAACGATGTACACCGCTCCATTGGCCCTCTCTCTTCACTCCAACTACCCCGTCCATCCCTAGGTTTCTTAAGGACTTCCTATCCAATCTGAATCACTTAAGAGGGCAGAGTGAGCGAGCAGCGTTCCAGGACGCCATAGAGAAGGGGCTTCGGCTTGCTAAGGACGAGCAGAAGAGGCTCCGGAAGCTGCAGGCTGCAGCAGCGCAACTGCCGAACCTAAGGTCTAGGCCTGGGCCTCTGGACGGCAACAGGACTTCCGAAGCTGCAAGCAGCAACGAAGTGGCCGAAGCAGGAGCAGGGGGTGCTGTGACTAGTGAAGTCATGGCGCCTCATGTTTCTCTCGAGTCGACTCGGAAGGTATCTAGTCAGAAGCCTGCTGAAGTGAATGCACCTGGAGGGAATGCTAGGAAGAAAGCCAAACCCGGCCCACAAGAAAAGAGGGAGCAGCCCAAGGCTGTGTTAGCTTCCGCTGCTGCTGCTACTAGTGCTGCTGCTTCTGCTGCTCCTTCTGCTGCTCCTGGTGCTACTGCTACAGCGGCGAATCACCTGTTGCCACGTACCCCTCCATTAAAACAGAAGCTGCGGAAGATGAAAGGGGGAGAAAACAGCCAGGAGGAACGATGCAGGGACCAATCAGGAGGTGCCAGCTGTCCGCCTAGTGGGCTGCCACGTAGAGTGACAAGAGGCAGCCCAGCTGGGAAGCAGAGTGAACAGCAACGGAGGATGACTAGGGCGGGGAGTAAGGAGGATGCAGGGAGAAAGGAGGATGCAGGGAGAAAGGAGGGGAGGGAAGAGGGGAGAGAGGAGGGGAGAGAGGAGGGGAGTGGGGAGGAGAGGGGGGAGTTGAAAGGGGAGAAAAAGGGGGAGGGGAAGGGGGAGGGGAAGGGGGAGGGGAAGGGGGAGGGGAAGGGGGAGGGGAAGGTGAGGAAGGTGTCAGGAAAACCTAGCACGGAGTTAGGCAGACTTAGCCCTAACAGACGGTTGGATGTGGATAGGTGGTTGGACGCGAAGGATTTGGCACAGGCAACTTTTGAGTCGACTCAAAAGCTTAGCCCTAACAGACGGTTGGATGTGAATAGGTGTCTGGACGCGAAGTATTTGGCACAGACAAGGACAAGATGCAGCACGGCCGGGGAGCGGGGCGGGGAGCGAAGAGGAGAGAGAGGAGGGGAGAGAGGAGGGGAGAGGAGAGGGGAGAGAGGAGGGGAGAGAGGGGAGGAGAGAGGAGGGGACCGAGGAGGGGAGAGAGGAGGGGAGAGGGGAGGGGAGAGGAGAGGGGAGGGAGCTCAGCATGAGCAGCAGAAACGGGATGGGGTTATGGGTGGAGATGAGGATGTTCCTGTGACTATAACGAAGCGTGACTTAAGGGAAACGACTAAGCTGCAGCACCAGTTGTGTGACGAGAGGAATGGGCCGGAACGTGGGCGTCATGGTGAGGTGGGGTGCGGTGCGGTGGAGAGCGGTGCAGTGAAGCATGGTGCGAAAGCAGCAGCAGGAACAGCAGTGGCAGCAGCAGCAGGGGAAGGAGCAGCAGCAGCAGCAGCAGCAGCACTGGCGTTTCAAAAGGCGTGTGAGCGCGCAGCCCTCATGGGCGTACGGGCACCAACAGCCCCCCCTACATCTATATCCCCTCTCACATCCACGCCCACATCCACATGTCGGGGGGCCAAAGCCGCATGGAGGGGCGAGCTGTGGCGCGAGGAGTGGAATGTGGAGGAGGTTGAGACGGGGGTGAGATCGGAGGGGGGGGAGGAGGGAGGGGAGAAGGGAGAGGAGGGGAGAGAGGAGGACGGAGCAGGGGAGGGGAACGGGGGCGAGAACAATGAAAGGAGGGAGTTGAGGAAGAGGGAGGGGAAGAAGGAGGGGGGGAAGGAGGGGGAGAAGGAGGGGGAGAAGGGGGAAGGGAAGAGAAGGTTGAAAGCGGGGTTGGAACCAGAGGGTGGTGAGGGAGGGAGGGAGGCGGAGGAGGATGGGGAGGAGAGTGATGAGGCGATGGATGGGTATGGGGATAGCTGCAAGCGGTGCCACGAGGTTGGGTTCATGCTGTAAGTCCCTCGTGTAGGGTGTATTTTGTGCCTTTTCAGTGCCATGCATCCCAACTCATTGCCATACATCCCAACCAACTCGTTCCCATGCATCCCAACTCATTGCCATGCATCCCAACTCATTGCCATGCATCTCAAGTAATCCCCATGCGTCTCAAGTAATTCCCATGCATCTCAACTCATTCCCACCCATCTAAACTCATTCCCATGCATCTCACATTTCCCTCACTCTCATTTCCCTCCCCCAGTTTCTCCTCAACCCAGCTGCTGTGACGGCACACCATGCAACGCCACATACCACCTGCTCCTTCTTTCTCAACAGTCAACTCCGTGTCTTTCCCATCCTCCCTCTGACCCAGCAGCTGTGACCCCACGCCACCATGCTATGCAACGCCACATGCCGCCCACACTGCTTGCACCCTCCCAATTGTTCTCTCAACTCTCCTTCCCTCCCCCCAACCCTCCTCTTCTTCCTCCCCTTCCTTTCCTCCCCAACACAGCTGCTGTGACGGCACGGGGTGCAACGCCACATACCACCTGCATCGCTGGGAGCCTGCCTTTTCGCAAAACTCTTCATCTCACTCTCTCCCCCTTCCCCCCAACCCAGCTGCTGTGACGGCACGGGGTGCAACGCCACATACCACCTGCACTGCTTGGACCCTCCCCTGGACGACGTGCCACCCGGCCACTGGTTCTGCCCTGACTGCACGCAGAAGAGATTCTCCCTGGGGGCGCATGCGGTGCTCAAGAGAATTGTGGAGTCTATTTGGGATGTCCGGGCAGCTTCACCTGCTTTTTCTGCCCGGGATTTGACCACCGCTGCTGCTGCTGCCGCTGCTGCTGCTGCTGCTGCCAGTGCGACAGCCGCTGCTGCTGCAGCTGCGGCCTCCCTGCCGCACTTTACCTTTTCTGTCACCTCAGCTGCGCCTGGTGCTGCTGCTCGTGCTGCTGCATCCGCTGATGTTGCTGGGTCATCTGGTGCTGCTGCTGCTGCTGCTGCTGCTGCTGCAGGAGCAGCAGCTGCGCCTGGCGGGCTTGATGAGTCTGAAAGGCCTGGCGGTGAGTCCAGTGCGGCTGTGAGCGACAGTGAGAGTAGCGAGGAGGAGGATGAGATTCCGAGCATGGCGGTGTGGGTCGAGGAGGGGGAGGAAGAGGAGGGGGGGAGGGGTAACGAGGTTGGGCGAACCGAGGGGGGAGGGACGGAAGGGCAAGGGAGCGAGGGGGAAGGCCGCGAGGGAGGAGGAAACATGGGGAAAGTAGAGCAGGTGTTGGTTTCTTCGAGCGCTGCAGCAGGAAGGCAAGCAGACGCGTCTAGACTAGGAGAGCACAGCACTGCGAGGCAGATGCGAGGAGGGGGAGGAAGAGGAGGAGGAAGAGGAGGGACAGGAGGAGGAAGAGGAAGATGGGGGAGGGGAGGGAGGGAGCATGTTTTGAGGCGCCTCAAAAGTCCTCAAAAGTCATTTGAGGCGCCTCAAAAAGGGGGGGGAGGGAGGGAGCATGTGGAAATGCGGGCAGATGGAACTGACCATGATAAAGGGCACCAGGGGGGGATTGGAAAAGGGAGGGATGGTGCAAACGGTGTGAAACGGAGAGGGAAGAATGCGGTTGGAAGGGTGGCGCGAGATGAAGGAAGGAGAGGAGTGGATGCAGCAGAAAAGATAGAGTTGAATGGGTTGGCAGGGGCAGGGGTAGCAGGAGCGGAAGGGAAAGGGGCTGTCGAAACAGGAGCTGGTGTTCTTGGTGGTGGCAGTGGTACCAGTGTTGGCAGCGGGCCTGCTAAGTGCGAGTACTTTGTTAAGTGGCGGGGGTTGTCCCACGCGCACAACAGCTGGGTGGACGAGGAGTGGCTCGGCAGCAACGCTCCCAGGGAGCTCGCAGTGTTTAAAGCCCGGGCAGCCACAGTGGAGGTGAGAAGAGATTCGATGATGATCAGGTGTGTGGTTTGAGGAGTCTATTTTTGAGGCGCCTCAAAAATAGATCTCATTGTCGTTAGACTCCTCAAAAATAGACTCATCATGCATGGAGGTGAGAACAGACTGACGCCGATCAGGTGTGGTGTGCTTTGAGTTTGACGCTCAAAGCACGTCCATGCACACAATAACAGGGAGTGGAGGAGCCATGGTTGTACAGAGCGGATCAACTCTCCAAGCTCCTATGCCAATCCACTCCTTAGAGGCATTCTCTTTCTTCTCTTCCGTGCCTCCATCCCAATGCCCTCCCCTCCCCTACATGCGACTTTTGAATCGACTCAAAAGTCGACTCAAAAGTCGACTCAAAAGTCGACTCAAAAGTCGATTCAAAAGTCACCTCTATGCCAATCCACTCCTTACAGGCATTCTCCTCATTCTCTCCTGTGCCTCCATCCCCACATGCCTCCCCCAGTTCTCCCCCACATGCCTCCCCCAGTTCTCCCCCACATGCCTGCCCCAGTTCTCCCCCACATGCCTGCCCCAGTTCTCCCCCACATGCCTCCCCCAGTTCTCTCCCACATGGAGCCCCCAGTGCGCCCAGCCAAGAAAGCTTATAGCCAAGCGAGTGGCCAGATCCCCTCTGAGGCCGTCCGGGGGCGGGCAGGGGCAGTGGCAGAGGCGTCAGTACCTCCACTCCACCCCTTCCACACCTCCGCTCATCTCTCCCCTCCCCTGCCCCCCGCACGAGGAGTCTATTTTTGAGGCGCCTCAAAAATACCTCCACCCTTCCACACCTCCGCTCATCTTTCTCCCCTCCGCTGCCCCCCCCCCCCCCCGCGCTACTCCCACCATCGCCCCCCTCAGTGCTCTCCCACATGGAGCCCCCAGTGGTCCCAGCCAAGAAAGCTCATAGCCAAGCGAGTCACCAGACCCCCTGTACGGCCGGGCGCGGGCAGGGGCAGAGGCAGGGGGTATCGGCCTGACTGGGGGGTGGAGTTTTTTGTCCTGTGGCGGGGCCTGGGCAATGAACAGTGCACGTGGGAGCCAGCCAATGGGAGCGTGCTGCAGGGGAGTGCGGGGCGGGGGCTGGTGGCGCGGTATTGGGAGAGGGAGCAGGGGGGAGGGGGAGTGGGGGAGGGGGGAGAAGGGGGGAGGGGAGCAGAGTGGGGCGCGGCACTGGAACAGGGTGCCCTGTGCGCCGTACCTGACCACTCTGCACCGCACTGGATCGCACTGCCTGACGCCCCCCTTCAGCAGCAGCTGGGGAATCTGAACGCCCTGAGAGGAAGGTGGAAGGCGTGTGGGCCGCTGGGGGGTGAGAGCGGGATGGGGGCGAGAGGGAGGAGGAAGGGCAGCAGGCAGCAAGTGGGACGCGATGTGCTTCTAGGAAGCAGTTATGAGGTGAGTGTTCTTTGAGGGGTGAGGAGGTGTGAGGTGAGTGGTCTTTGAGGGGTGAGGAGGTGTGAGATGAGTTGTAGTTGGGTGATGAGGGGTGTGCTGTGGACAATTTGAACGCCTTCAGCGGCAGGTGGAAGCCGTGTGGGCCTCTGGGGGGTGAGAGAGGGTTGGGATGGAGAGGGAGGAGGAAGGGAAGCAGGCAGGAAAGGTGCTGCAAAGTGCGGCTAGGGAGCAGCTATGAGGTGAGTGGGGTGGGGAGAGAGGGGGGTGGGGAGAGAGGGGGGCGGGGAGAGAGGGGGGCGGGGAGAGAGGGGGGCGGGGAGAGAGGGGGGTGGGGAGAGAGGGGGGCGGGGAAGGGGGCGTCTTGCGTTGACTGTGGGGGGCACGCTTACTGGGGGAGGCATCTGGCAGTTATGAGGCATGAGGCATGAGGCATGAGGCATGAGGCATGAGGCATGAGGCATGAGGCATGAGGCATGAGGCATGAGGCATGAGGCATGAGGCATGAGGCATGAGGCATGAGGCATGAGGCATGAGGCATGAGGCATGGGGCATGAGGCATGTCAGGGATGCGCAGGGGACGGATTTGTGTGCTGGCTCATGAAGTACGACGATGGGTGCTCACTGCTCACTATTGAGCCACCTCACGAAATGTATCCCGCTGATGTTTGTGGATGTCAAAGCATGGGTTTTGAGACGCCTTAGAGATTGCACGTGGGTGAGCAAGTCGTTCCCTCATGCCCGGAACACTCTCCCCTCTCCCCTCTCCCCTCTCCCCTCTCCCCATTACCATCAGGCGAATCGGCTTGTAGTGGCTGCTCTCCTCGCGACCCACTCACTCGCACGACCTTCACGCCTGCCGCTTGCCCCTTACGCCTCTCGCCCCTTCTCCCGCTCACCCCTTCTCCCGCTCACCCCTCTCCCCTCGCCCCATCAGGCGAATCAGCTTGTAGTGGCTGCTTTCTTCGCGACGCACTCACGTGACTTCCACTCCCAGCAATCCGCCCACCTGCCCTCCCCCTCTCCACATCTCACCACTGCTACAACCGCAAATGCCACAGCTGCCACAGATGCTGCAAGCATGGAAGCCGCTCCAGCCGCTACAGCTGCTACAGCCGGGCGCATGAGACCCAGCCTGCTGGTGGTGCCGGGCTCGGCTGTAGCGGCGTGGGAGGGGCTGCTAGAGCAGAGGGTGCCTGGGCTGAGTGTGACTGTATTGAGGGGCAGCGAGGCCACCAGGGAGGTGATTAAGCGATGGGAGCTTAAAAAGGAAGCGGAGAGAGGGGGAGGGTTGCTAGGAGTTAGAGGAGGAATGGGCGATGGTGGAAGGGGGGGTGGAGGTGGGGGTGAGGGGAATGGGATGGGAGAAGGGGAGGAGGGACGTGTGGGGAAGATGCGGATAAAGACTGATCTTGTCATCACCACGCCTGTTGTCTTCTCCATGGTGAGTGCTGATTGGCCGGCGCCAGTTGCTACAGTAACTGGGAGCAAGCAAGCCAGTGCTCACACCTGGTGGTGGACAGACGTCTCAAATCCGGTGTGGCGACCACCACACCACGCCACGCCCATTGACTTCTCGATGGTGAGGATAAATACTGTGCTCATGGCTCGGTGCCAACAAAGGGAGCCTACGGAGGCAAGGGAGGCAAGGGAGGCTAGGGGTGCTCTTTAGCATGGGTGCTCTTGAGTGTGGGTGCTCTTTGAGCGTGGGTGCTCTTGAGCGTGGGTGCTCTTGAGCGTGGGTGCTCTTGAGCATGGGTGCTCTTGAGCGTCCCACCACCACCACCACCACAGGAGCGGTCATACCTAGCAGAGGTGGCATGGGGCGCCATAAAAGTAGACAGCAGCATGCCCCCGTGGAGCTTCCATGAGAGGCTTACCTAGCATGTTCTCCGTCCCACCACCACCACCACAGGATCGCTCTTACCTGCAAGAAGTCGTATGGGGCGCCATTGCCGTCGACAGAAGCACCCCCTTGTGGAACCCTTGTGATGCCGCTCGGATCTCATGCCAGCAGCACGCGCACACTTTCCCGTCACCCCCGCCCCTTTCACCACCACAGGAGCGGTCATACCTAGCAGAGGTGGCATGGGGCGCAACCATAGCAGACAGCAGCACGCCCCTGTGGAGCTCCCATGAGAGGCTTACCTAGCATGTTCTCCGTCCCACCACCACCACCACAGGAGCAGTCGTACCTGCAAGAAGTAGCGTGGGGCGCCATTGTCGCCGACAGCAGCACGCCCCTGTGGAGCGCTCACGAGACCCAGGCGGCGCGGTCCATGGAGTGGCCGCTCTCGCTCTTCTCCCTGCACGCCTGCCTGCGCATCCTACTCTCCCCACTCTTGCTCGAGGTGAGATTTCCCACCTGTGCATGATGTATTTAGGCACCCTGAGATTATCCCCACCTGTCCACGAACGCGGTTCGGCCAAGCGGCCTTGATCAGAGTTCTCGTCCAGGTCGATGGAGTGGCCTCTCTCGCTCTTCTCCCTGCACGCCTGCCTGCGCGTCCTGCTCTCCCCCCACGTGCCCGAGGTGAGATGCCATGCTTTGAGACATGCTTTGAGACATGCTTTGAGACATGCTTTGAGACATCATCCACTCTGCATGCACGCTTGCCTGCGCATCCTGCTCTCCCCCCACGTGCCTGAGGTGAGGGTTGAATCCTTCGAAGCGGCTCTAGAGGTTCACCCCATGTGACCCTGTTGGTCTTCTGAGATGCGAGTGTTAAAATTATATTGAGTTATATAATTGATAAGCTTGGTAGTGTTATTGAACCTTTCTGTAGAGGGTACAATCCCCTCCTTAGACCTCTCTCTCTTCCTAGTCCTACCCCTTCTTTCTCGTCAACTTCTCTTCCCCGCTCCTAGATCGACTTGCCTCACGCCATTCCATGGCGTCCTTCCTTCCTTCCTAGCTAAGCTAGGTTCCTAAGTTTAGTTAGTGTCCTAAGCTTCTTTAAGATGGTATCAGAGCGGGAGATCCTCCCTGCTGGACCGCCTCCTCATGCTTCCGCCATTTACTCCTCACCCTCATTCGCTCGAGCGGCCATGGCGGCCGCGTTTTGCTGCAGTGGCGACGTCGCGCTGCCACTGGCCGCGTCATGCCGCGACCGGCTCGACGCGCTGCCGTGGAGTCGGGCCGTCGTTCTGCAGTCGCAGCGTCGACGTCCCGCTGCGGCATCGACGCTGCCTCTGCCGTCGCGACGTCGACGTCCTGCTGCAGCGTCGACGTCGCTCTGTGACGACGCCGTCGGGCCGCAGCCGGTTGCGCGACGCCTGTGACGCCGCCACCGCCCGCAGGCCAACTGTCCCCCCTTTCCCTTGTCGCCTCCTCTTATCCACAGTCGCCGCAGACTCTCGGCAGTCGTCCCCCTGTCGCGGAGGTTGGACACGCCGCCGGAAGGGCGGGGGCCGCTGCACTCACCACCGCCGTAAGCCGAAGCCGTCGCCGTCGCCGCTGCTGTCGCCGCAGGCCGTTTGCCGCCGCACGCCCGTCGTCGCCGTCGCTGTCGCCGCGGTCGGGACTGCCGCCGTCGCCATCTCCAAGGCCTTTTGGGTCCTGCTGGGAGCATTGTGGCTGATGGGAATGGGGGTGCTAGGTTAGGGGGTGTGGGGGTGTGTGTGGGCTTGTGACTACCAAGCCTAGAGGGTGTGTTAAAATTATATTGAGTTATATAATTGATACGCTTGATAGTGTTACTGAACCTTTCTGTAGAGGGTACAATCCTCTTCTTGTATCTCTCTCTCTTCCTAGTCCTACCCTTCTTTCTCGTCAACTTCTCTTCCCCGCTCCTAGATCGACTTGCCTCACGCCATTCCATGGCGTCCTTCCTTCCTTCCTAGCTAAGCTAGGTTCCTAAGTTTAGTTAGTGTCCTAAGCTTCTTTAAGACACTAACTAAACTTGGGAACCTAGCTTAGCTAGGATTCTAGGAAGGCCGCCATGGAATGCCGTGAGGAAAGTAGATCTAGAAGCGTGAGGTGAAAAGTTGACGAGAAAAAAAGGGTAGGACTAGGAAGAGAGAGAGGTACAAGGAGAGGATTGTACCCTCTACAGAAAGGTTCTGTAACATTACCAAGCCTATCAATTATATAACTCAATATAATTTTAACACACCCCCTAGGCTTGGTAGTCACAAGCCCACACACACCCCCACACCCCTTAACCTAGCACCCCCATTCCCATCAGCCACAATGCTCCCAGCAGGGCCCAAAAGGCCTTGGAGATGGCGACGGCGGCAGTCCCGACCGCGGCGACAGCGACGGCGACGACGGGCGTGCGGCGGCAAACGGCCTGCGGCGACAGCAGCGGCGACGGCGACGGCTTCGGCTTACGGCGGTGGTGAGTGCAGCGGCCCCCGCCCTTCCGGCGGCGTGTCCAACCTCCGCGACAGGGGGACGACTGCCGAGAGTCTGCGGCGACTGTGGATAAGAGGAGGCGACAAGGGAAAGGAGGGACAGTTGGCATGCGGGCGGTGGCGGCGTCACAGGCGTCGCGCAACCGGCTGCGGCCCGACGGCGCCGTCACAGAGCGACGTCGACGCTGCAGCAGGACGTCGACGTCGCGACGGCAGAGGCAGCGTCGATGCCGCAGCGGGACGACGACGCTGCGACTGCAGAACGACGGCCCGACTCCACGGCAGCGCGTCGAGCCGGTCGCGGCATGACGCGGCCAGTGGCAGCGCGACGTCGCCACTGCAGCAAAACGCGGCCGCCATGGCCGCTCGAGCGAATGAGGGTGAGGAGTAAATGGCGGAAGCATGAGGAGGCGGTCCAGCAGGGAGGATCTCCCGCTCTGATACCATCTCAAAGAAGCTTAGGACACTAACTAAACTTAGGAACCTGGCTTAGCTAGGATACTAGGAAGGCCGCCATGGAATGCCGTGAGGAAAGTAGATCTAGGAGCGTGAGGTGAAAAGTTGACGAGAAAGAAGGGGTAGGACTAGGAAGAAAGAGAGGTACAAGGATGGGATTGTACCATCTACAGAAAGGTTCAGTAACACTACCAAGCCTATCAATTATATAACTCAATATAATTTTAACAGCGAGTAGGGGGGTGGGTTCTACGGGTGTTGCTTTTTCGCTTCACTCTGTTTTTCCACCTTGTTTAAATGTGTTGCTGCTGCTACTGCTGCTGCTGCTTGTCCCACCTCTCTTCCTCGTGTGTCATTGTGGGATGCAGGCGCGCAAATGGGATGCTGGGGATGTCATTCTCATGACAGCGGCCTGATTTTCTTGTCCATTCCAGCTTTGTGAATACACTACACCTGGCCCTACTGTATATGCAACATCGTGGCGAGTCTGATGGGGTCCCTGACTCCCTGGTCTGGGCACTAATGTCTTTAGGCTGTGAAATTGGCATTGGAAGTGGGTACTCTCCCTAGGCTCCGTTTGTAATCAGGAACACTTACTGGGTGGGTGGGGTAGAGGCCACTGGCCTATTGGTGGTGGTGATGGCTATCCTTTTTTATCTGGTGTACCATGCCCTCTTATTCTAGTCTAGAGGCATGAATTACAAGGCATTTCCTGTATCTACCATATTCTCTAGGATCCCAACACAAATACTTGGAAAGGGCCCATCAGTTTATATGGATCTTACAGATGCTAAAAGTTCAGCATGTTTCAGGGACTTAAGCCTTTGTACAATTTGAATGATATGTTAGGAAAATCATGGACATCAGCATTGGACTGTGCGCCTAAAGCATTTTATGCACCAAGGGTCCAGTGCAGGAAGATGTACATTTTCCCAAAGGGTAGTAGCCGCTGCTAGTCTTTCTTCAGGGTCATTTGATTATTGTTAATTTAGTATTGGCGCTCGCACTGCTCACGCTCACGTGCGTTCTCGTGAACCACGCCGACGAATCCGAGATATGGTCCTTTTCACCTAAAATCCGGAAAAGTGTTTCGCGCTGGGCTATCCGCGCTGTCAAAATTCATCGACACGCTGACGCTTTTCGTAAAGATATTTCGAAGGAATTTGACACGCTAGCCACTCACACACAATCACTCAGACACGCCGCAAAAAGGTGGATATCGATCGACAAACAGACAAAAACCGTTGGGCTCGAGTTAATCTCGCCGTTCAATGGAATAAAGCATCTCACATCGACGGTTGATATAAATCATACCACGTGACTCGTTGTGGCGGAAGCTGCAAAAAGAATCAGATTTTCTTGAATGACCTGGCGCAAGTGGATGTGTGTTGAGGCGATGCTCCTTGTCACAGCCCAGGAACACCACTGCTGTAATTTGGGCAGCCGAAGAAAAGCAAAATCTAGAGACATCACTGGCCAGCATGGATTTTGTGGAACTTTACGGGCAACAACCAGCAAACCAAATCCTTTAGAACAGTGCTCGTGTCCACACACAAAGCATTCCCGCCAACCAACCAATATTTTGGGCCATTTAGTGCACTTGCTTGCCCGCGGGGCATTGGAGTTTGTCGCGCGCGATGTTCCGCTGACAGCTGCTGCGGCGGAAGGCAGCCGCTCTGGTGGTCAGTCCTTGGCGGTTTGGATGCAGACTGCCAGGCACCCGCGCAAAGGTTCTTGCGCTCTGCGATCGGTTATGGGGGGAATTCCAGCCTCGGGGTTGGGTTTTGTTGAAGTGCGCGGATTGGAGGAAGCAGTTGGCGGAGATTTGCTCCAACCCAAATCAGCCAGCTTCTCACCGCAAACCTCCCCCTTCTCCCGTGCCCCTCTCCGCACGGCTCCCCTTCCGCCAGTGTCATCGCTGACTGCCCTCCGTTGCGTTCCGCCGCTGCCTCCATCCATCCCTCCACACATTTCTCATGTGTAAGCTCTGCTGCTGTCTCCACTCACCACCACACCACACCCCCCTGTGATGGCAGAGGGACAGCAAAGGCGAGGCCGACAACCGAAGCTTGGACTGTGCTTCTCCTGAGGATTGCTTGCGTTGCTTGCTAGGGTTGCTTGTGAGAGGGTGGTTCACAGTGGAGTGAAGGTGATTTTGTGCTTTTTTCAGAACCGTTGGAACGTTCGTTACAATTACAATAGTGTTTTCTGTCCCGCGTTCTCTGCAGAGCCTGTAATCCATTCGCACACGAGTCACGACATCACCAGCCTGTCTTCGTAAGCTTTCGAGTTCGATTTATGGATGGCGGCGCCATGACCTCGTCGCTCGGCCGGTCATCGTCTCCCGTGCAAGTATCCAGTCGTCACGCTCCTTCCGCGTTCATTTCACGTGATTCCAACTTTCCGAGCGCCTTACCCCTGGCTAGGGAGTCAGCCGAAAGCCGTCCGACCTCCCTTCACGGGAGCTACATCACTCGGATACACGCGGTAGTAGGTCGAACCCCCACACACGCGGTAGTAGGTCGAACCCCCACACACGCGATAGCAGGTCGAGCTACCTCGCTGCATCAGAATTTGCCGTCCTCGTTAGAGCAACTCGCAGAAGCGCGACCTAGGATCGAGCAGAACAAACCTGGGGAAGTCCGGCCCGTCGATTTTGCAGATCCGACGGCGCAGCTCGCTCCTGTAAATACCAGAGGTGTTTTCGGGGACTCGAGGTCCTTCGTGTACAGGAAAGCCGACGCTAGTAACGGAAACCAGCCCACTAACGCGTACGCGTGTACTATCGAGTTAGCTGCAGAAGAAGGCATGGAGTACGATAGGGATTACGATAGGCAGAGGGGAGGAGCGTTACGATACTCGGAGCCCGCGTATCGTGACCGCCTCGCCAACGCCTCGACGTCTCAAGCGCTCGTTTTAGCCGAGGAGTCCGCGTTTCCATCGAGTTCCTATAACGGTGGCGACTATGAAGGGCGAAGCCGTCCCGTTATAAGTCCAAACACGAGGTTCTCCCGTCACGTGGTCGAGACGCTGTCGCGTTCGGTCGAGGACGACGGGGAGGAAGGGGACGCGGACTGCACGCGGAGCGAAGCTCACCGGCCGGTGAATGATTGGGGGGGGTCAGGGGGCTCGGGGGAAGGGTTCGGGGGAGCACCCCCCCGGGAGCAGGAGGGGGAAGAGCAAGTGGGGTTGCAAGGGGGATTGCAAGTGAACCGGGATGTGGGGAGGTGGGGAGGGGACGAGAGGAATGAAGCCGTGTTGCAACAGCGATGGAGGGAGGAGCGCGCGCAGCGGGAGTGGGATGAAGCGGACCGTACCCAGCAGCAAGGGCGAGCGTCTTCGCGGGATGGGTCTCGGCAGTTTCGAGGAAGGAATTGCGGCGCGGAGACTTTTGACGCGTCACGAAGTCAGGAGCTAAGCGCGGGTGTCGACGCGCGGGGAAACGACGGCAGGAGGCGGGGAAACCAGCGCCTGGGCGGGGAAGTCGCGTTATCCGATCGGTGCTACTCCGGCTCGGCTTCTAAATCACCTGAGGCGTCTGGCCGGCAGCCGGTCCGCGGCCCTTCCGCCGGTTCTAACGGGTTCCGCGAGGGGGCAACGGGGGGAGGTTACACAGGGGCGGATAGCGGCGCAAGGGACGCGGAAACTGGCGGGGGGAACTTCCCCGCGTTGCACGCTGGCGGGGAGCGGAGCAGGCGGAACTTGACGGCGGTGGACGGCGCAGTTCCGGTTTTCGCCGACGGGCAGCCGCAGAGAAACGGCGTGTGGATCAACGGTCTCGGGAAATCACGTTCGCCGCCTGTACTTCCGGACGAGATGTGCGACGGTAGCGGGGTGGCGCTTAACGGGGACGAGGGCAGTCCGTTGGGCTCCGGGCACGAGGAGGGGTCCGGAAGAAAGGATGCCGACGGAAGCATGGCTAACGCGCTGGGCGCGGCCTTGGGACCTACGGGTCTCGAGAGGAGGACCGCGCCGTCTTACGGCTGCCCGAGAGGCGTGCTGGGGGCTCGGTCCTCCGTGTTCGGCTCCCTCCCCTCCTCCTCCGCCTTTGCCGCCCTCCCCTCCGATATTCCTTCCTCGTGCCCGCCCGCCGCCTTTGCGCCGTCTCGCGCTCGTCCCCCTGGGTGGGGGAACGGCGCGGGGTTGGAGGTTGCGGACGCTCGCGGGATCTCTCCCGGGCGCGCGGGCGGGAGCGAGTGGGAGGAGGCGACTTTGCGGGGGGAGGAGGAGGAGAGGGCGGAAGCAGGGTTGCGGCGAGGGAGGGAGAAGGCGGCGGGAGGAGAGCGGGAACTGTTCGCCCGGCCGAGAGACAGAGAGCCGGCGGTTGGGAGGGGGAATATCGACCGGGAAGCAGCGGCGACAGCGACAGCAGGAGGAGGCAGAGGAAAGGTCGCTTTCGGAGAAGCAGCGTTTACGAAGTCCAGAAATCGGAGTGCTGCTGCTTCTGGAGCGGCAGGGGATGAGGGTGAGGCGATGGGGTGTGAGGAGGGGTGGCACGGGGAAGGGTGGTCGTCCGAGCAGCAGTACCAGCATCAGCGGCTGCGGCAGCAGGAGCAGCAGAAGCATTTGTGGCGACAGCAGCAGCAGCAGCAGCAGCAGCAGCAGCAGCAGCAGCAGCAGCAACAGGAGAGAATGACCCAGCAGATGGGAGCTGCATCGGGCGAGGAGGATCGCTGGGGTAAAGGCAAGGCCCCGTGTAGTGGTAACCCTGTTACTGCGGGCGCGTCGAATTCAGGCATGGACGCGTATACTGGGGAGATGGACGGGAGGGAAGACCAGTGGGGGAAGCGGCCGTCGTCCGGATCCCCGGAGTCGGAGGAGCTCGGCGCAAGGGGTAGGGGAAGAGCAAGGGAGATGCGAGGTGCGGCGGCGGCGGCGGCGGCGGCGGCAGCAGCGGCAGGTATGGGTCACATGGCAGGGCTTTCTACCTGCTTGGAGGATGATGTGCCAGGAGTGGATCGTATGGGTATGGGTGGGATTGGCGATATGCGTGGCGCAGTCAGCATGGGTGGTATGGGTGGCATGGGTCTTAGAGGTGGTATGGATGACATGGGCCTTAGAGACGGCATGGGCGGGAGGGATGGGTCGGCAGCAGCAGCGGTGCGGGCGTTTGCAGGTACGCGAGACGGCAGTCGGGGGTGCTCTGGTGGAGACTTGAATGCGGATGGCGGCAGGGGCTGGGGGACGAGGAATTCAAGTGAGTACGCTTTGAAGGAGGCGAGGAAGAGGAGCAGGTCGCCCGGTGGGAGGAGTGAGAGGAGCGGGTGGAGCGGTAGGAGTGGGAAGAGTGGGAGGAGTGGGAGGAGTGGGAGGGAGCGAGGGGCAGAGCAGAAGCATAATTTTGCGAAGAAGCGGAAGAATGGAGAGAGCAGAAACAGCAGCGACCTCCAGCAGCAGCAGCAGCAGCAGCAGTTCCCACCCTGCACGCCTGAAACCATGCAGGCGTTTATGGCCTTCCAGGCGTTTATGAGCCAGCAGCAGCAGCAGCAGCAAGCAGGGCAGCAGAGCTCGTTCACTGTCCCTCCCATTTCCCCCGAATCCGTACAGGCTTTTTTGGCCTTCCAAGCCTTCATGAGCCAGCAGCAACAGCAGCAGCAGGATGGGCAGCTCCGGCAACAGCAGCAGCAGCAGCAGCAGCAGCAGCAGCAGCAGCACAGGGAGTCGTTTATACCTCCTCCACCCCCCCTGCAGCGTCAACGCCCCCCAAAGTCACCCGACCTCTCCACACAACGCACCACGTCAGCCTCTCGCTCCTCCGCCCCTCGCTCTCCCCTCCCCTCGTCCCTCCGCCACACCTCCCCCGCCCTCCGAATATCCTCCCCCGCCCCCCGCATGCCCTCCCCCTCTCTCTCCCCCGCCCCCTCCCCCGCCCCTAGCAGCGCCTCCCCTTCCCCCCGCCCCCTTGCGCTTTTTGAGCGCATCACGCACCGCCGCCAGTCTAGCCCTAGTAGCATGCCCCCCCCTTCCGCGGGTAATAGGCCTCGTAAGTTCCCTTCTCGCGCCACCCCTCCCACGCCTAATTGTGGAATTCTTCCTGAGGGCGAGGGTAGGGCTTCTAACGCGTATGCTAGGGCAGGAGGGAAGGTTGGCTTTAGGGAGGAGGGGCAGGATGAGGAGTGTGACTATAGGGAGGAGAGTAGAGGGAGCGTGAGGGAGAGCGGATGGGGAATGGGTGGGAGGGGAGGGGAGGGGAAGGGGCAGGGGATGAGGAGGGAGGAAGCGGAGGGTAGTGAGAGGGAGAGGGAGAGGGAGAGGGAGAGTGAGGAGGAGGCGCAGTTGAGAATGCAGAGGCTGGAAGCGGAGATCAGAGACGGTCAACAGCAGCAGCAGCTGTATCTGCAGCAGCAGCAGGAGCAGAGGCAGCAGCAGACGCAGCAGCAACAGCAGGAGCAGCAGCAGAAGCAAGCGCAGCAGCAACAGTGGGCGTCTCCCCACTTGCGCACCCCAACGCCTCCTGCCAACCCTTTCTCCGCCATGCAAGCTGCCGGCCCTGCCGCACTTCTCAACGCCAATGCCCCTCCCTCCTTCCCGCCGTCCTTCCCTCACGCGCTCTCCCACACTCCAGCCGTTTCGGCCGTCTCTGCCAATGCTGGCGCTCCAGGTGTTGCCGCTCTAGGTGCTGCCGCTCCGGGTATTGGCGCTCTAGGTGCTGCCGCTGCAGGAGCCGCCACTCCTGGCGGTCAGCCACAGGGATTCCCCTTTCCCAACCCTCTCCTGCAAAACCACTTCCTTCCGAACCAGCTCCTGCCGAACCAGATTCTCCCGATCCAGGTCCTACCAGGTTCGCAAGCGCCAGTGTCCATGCCTCTGCCTCCGCCCACTCTCTCTATCCCGCTCTTCCACCCGCTCTCGGGCCCATCCATTCACCTCAGGGCGCTAGCAGGGCTCCAGGCGGAATCTCAGCAGAGCAACTCCGTCTCCCTCCCTGCTGGTGCTGCTGCCATGGGGCTCGCAGGGCCCGCGGGGTGTTTGCTGCCTGGGGCGCTGGGTATGGCTGGTTCTGGAGCGGGTTTTGTTGGAGCAGGTTTTTCTGGTGCCGGTTTTGCTGGGACAGCTGCAGGGATGGTGTCTGGGGCATTGGGGCTTGCGGGGTCGGGTGGTGGGCTAGTGAACGCACAGGCGCAGATGTCGCCGCAAATGGCGCTGCTGCAGAAGTACCAGCAGTACCAGCAGCAGCTGCTGCTGCAGCAGCAGGGGCAGGGGGGCCAGCAGGGGCAGGGGGGGCAGGGGCAGGGTGCAAGAGGTGGTGGGCAGGGGGGGAATGGGGGCTCTGCCAAGTTGGGCGGTCGCGGGGAGGAGGATGGCCGTTTGGATGGAGGTAAGACGGGGGAAGAGGAGAGGTGTGGAGTGAGTGGGAGAGGAGCGGAAGAGGAGAGGGGAGTGAGTAGGGGCGAGAGGAGAGGAGGGGTTGATGTGGCCGGGGGTGCTGATGATGGCAGAGGGAGTGAAGAGAGGGAAGAGGAGGAAGGGAAGGAGGAGGAGGATGGATGGACCAGGGACCTATCGCCGAGCAGAGGCAGGAGTTGGGAGAGCGAGAGCGAGAGTGAGAGTGATGGGGGGAGCTCTGTGAACAGAATATCACGTGGAGGGAGGAAGAAGGGGAGGAGCAGGACCAGGAGGAGAAGCAGGAGAAGGCGAAGGGAAGAAGAAGAGGAGGAGGAGGATGAGGAGGAGGAGGAGGATGATGACGATGATGAGAACGAGGGGGACAGCAGGGAGGTCTCAGAGCGGGAGGAGGAGAAGCTAAGGAAGAAAGAAGCCGAGGTTCGGAGGCTCATACAGGAAACCAGCGTGCTGCAGCAGATGGCTCAGGTGCAGGTTCGGGCCCAAGCAGAGGCGCAGGTTCGGGCCCAGGCTATGGCGCAGGCTCAGATGCAGCAGGCTCGGGTGGTGCAGGCTCGGGTGCAGGCAGCCGCGGCAGCACAGGCGCAAATGCTAGCTGCGTCCCAAGCCTCCCTGCTGGCCCAGGCTCGGGGGATGGGTGCACCCATGTGCAACTTGATGGGGTTGGGGCAGCTGAACGGGCAGCTGAATGGGCAGCTGAATGGGTTGCAAGGAGCATCCTTGGCAGGCGGGCTCAGTCCTCCTCCAATGAGCTTCCAGGGCTCCTTGGGCTCGCTGCTCAGCCAGGCCAATCCCTTCAATGCGCAATCTTTCAACGCCTCCGCTCTCAACCCTTCGGCTCTCAATATCTCAGCCCTAAACCCCGCAGCCCTGAACGCGTTATCCTTCAACCCCGCTGCCACCCTCTCAGCTTTTAGTGGATCGCCCCTCCGCTCCTCGTCCCCGTTCAACCCCTCTTCCCCCTTCAACCCCGCAACCAGTTCCCTGAATGGCAATCCCCCCACCAGCTCCCTGCTGGGCAACCCCCCCAGCAGCTCCCTGCTGGGCAACCCCCCCAGCAGTTCCCTCAACGGCAACCCCCTCAGCAGCAGCTGGTTGAACCGCAGCCCGCCAATCAGCTCGCAGCATCGCAGCGCTTCTCTGGACGGGAATGCAGCCAGCGGGCCTGAGGCTTTTGAGGCGGCTCAGACCAGAGCCCCAAATGGGCTCGGGGCGAGTGGGCCTCGAGCCTTTGAGGCGTCTCAAAAGCCGTGCTCTGACGGGAACACGGGCAGTGGCGCGCCTGCAACGGCCCCCCCTTCTGGATTGGGTAGGGATGCAGCAAGGACGAGGGGTACAGGAGAAGAGGAGTGCTCGGATGAGGAGGGAGGGAGGAGAGCGGCTGGGATACGGGAGGGGATGTGTGGGAGGGGCGCAGGGCAGGAGAGGCGGCAGATGAAGCAAGGGGAGGAGGACGCGCGGGAGGGGCGGCAGAGGGAGGATGAGGTTAGGGAGGGAGAGCGAGAGGGCGGGGAAAGAGGAGGCGAGGGGTGTAGTGAGCAGGAGGGAGATGGAGGAGAGGAGGGTGCGGCTGGTGCGGCAGGCATGCAGCTGGTAGTGCACTCGGGGGATAGGCTGCAGCTGGGCAGCATGGCGCTCCGTTCTGGGGGTAGATTCCTATACTCAGAAGAAGGGGGTTTCCGTTCAGGGGGTATGAGAGAGCAGGGTCAGGCGGATTGGGATACGGGGGAGGGGGAGAGGAGTCAAGGGGAAGGGGAGCAAGGGGAGCGGGCGGATGGGGAAGGGGGTGTGGGGGAGAGGAGTGAAGGAGGAGAGGATCAAACGCAGTACAGTCTGGGAAGCCTTGGGCGATACCTGAGGGGGCAGCAGCGGGAGAACCAGCAGCAGCACCAGCAGCAGCGGCAGCAGCAGCAGCAGCCCCTTGGCTCTCCCACCCACCCACATTTGAGAGCTCCTTCCATGGGTCCTCCCCGTTCCTCCCCCTCCCCTTTTCCCCCACCCTCTCCTCCCCAAACCAAGCCTCGCACACCCCCATCCTCACGCCCCCCCACCCCTCCTCCTGCCCCTTCTCAATCCCCAGCCCCTCCTTCCATCCCCAACGCTCTGTCCGTTCCTCCTTCCTCCCCTCATGCCTCTCCTGCCCCGCGCCCTTCCCCCCCTCCCTCTCTCCGCAACCGAACTCCCACCCCGCCTCCTCCCCCTCTCCCCTCTCACCATCAGAACACCCACCCCACCAACCGTCCTTCTCCCAACCTTTCACCCCCCAGCCTCCCTCTTCGCTCCCCCTCTCATGGCCCTCTGGGCACGCCCCCTCGCCCGCCCTTCCCTGCTCAAGGTCGATCCCTGGGTCCTAGCAACACTGATCACACTGGTAACACTGGTAACACCGGTAACACCGGTAACACTGGTAACAACAATCTGTGCATAGAGCCCCCTTCGCCACCCTGCTCGTCCGACCCTCCAGTCTCCTCCACCCGATCCACCCATTCGGTTGGGAACGAGGATGGTAGCTTCGGCTGGCACAGTGCCCCAGGCTCGGGCATGCCAAACCAAGCCCCGAACCAGAATCCGAATCAGAGAGGGCAGGTGAACCAGCTGAGTCTGGACGCGTCCAGGAGCTCTGGGCACTCGGTTGGGACGATCAAAGCAGCCTCGGTTTCAGGTTCGGGAAACCAAGGCCCGACGTTTGGTTCGGCTCCAGGCACGGGCCAAGCCTTGGCTGGCAGCCCTAGGGCTGGTTTGGGGCCGTCCGTGCCTCCTTGTTCTCCAAGAGTGCCGAGAGGGTTTGGGTCGCTTGTGCTTGGGAGCCTGGCAGGAGGGGGAGGGGGAGGAGCACAAGGAGGTGGGGTGGGGGTGGGAGTGGTAAATAGGGCAGCAGCAGGAGCTGCTGCTGCTGCTGCTGCTGCTGCTGCTGCTGCTGCTGGTGTTGCTGCTGCAGGGGGTGGTGTAACAGGTGGTGGTGGTGCAGGTGTTACTGGAGCGTCTAAGAGGCAACGGTTCCCGCCTCCTCCTCTTCCCTCTCGCTCATTCGCCTCAGCAGCCTCATCTCCCCTCCCCAGCCCCACCCTCCCTGCCTCCGACTCCTCCCTACCTCCTTCCAAGCGCCCCCGAAACGGCCCCTCCTCCTCACCCACGCCACCCACAGGTGCTGGAAATGCCCCCTTAGCTGCTGGGGTAACCAGCCCTGCCGTTGCTGCTGAGGCTGCTGCGGCTGTGGGGGCTGCTGCGACTCACCATGTGGGGGGCGTTGCTCCAGCTGGTGCTGTGGGAGGAGAGCGCGTGGGTGCCAAGGGTGGTGAGACAAGCCAGGGGCACGAGAGGGCTGCTACTGCTGCCGATGCCACTGCTGCAGCCGCATCAGCTGCTGCTGCTGGTCCTATTAACCCTGTTTCGGCCGCCAACCCAGCCACCCCCACCCCCAGCACGCCCAGCAGCGACAGCAGCAGGCGGCTGCTCCAGGAGTACCTGCCGAGGCGCTGGCAGCTTCTGTCTCAGCTCGGGGGGCGGCTGAGGCTGGTGGTTGACCGCGGCACGAAGCAGCGGCTGGTGGTGCAGCGCGTGCATGTGGGGGGGAGGGGCGATGGGGAGGGGGAGGGGGAGCGGGGGGGGATGGCTGAGGGGCAGTCTGAGAGGGAGAGGCGGATGCACCAGCGAGTTGCGACGCTTCTAAAGCTCAAGTGAGTGCCCTGCCGTTCTTTCTTGCTCTCTCCCTATCCCTGCTTTTCCGCCCTGCATCTGCTGCCTAAGCGTCCCGATGCCTGACTCTGTTCTTCGCCTCATCCTGTCCCTCTCTCCCCCATCCTCTGCCCTCCTGCCCTCCCTGCAGGCACGAGAACATAGTCCCCTGCGTGGGGGCCATACGCACCACAGCCCCATCCCCCCCCACCAACGCCGCCACCAGCAACAGCATGCGAGGGGGCAGCAGCCACGCCAGCGGCATCAACAGCAACACCACCACCACCACTACCAGCAGCGGCATCCACCTGCTGTTCGCGGCCTTTGACTTTGTGCCCGTGCCGTCGCTGGCCCACCAGCTCACTGATTGCGGCCCCATGCCCGAGGAAACCCTCTCCTTCTGCCTGCGCCAGGTGGTGGAGGCACTAGCAGCCTTCCACGCGCTCGGCATCCCCCATGGCAACGTGCGCACCACCAGCGTCTTCGTGCCGGACGATGGTGTTGTGAAGCTCGCCGGGACGAGCTTTCTGGACGGGGAGGCGCGGGAGGGGGTGGAGGGGGGAGGAGAGGGGAGGGAGGCAGGGAGTGGCGGCGGTGGGGCTGGTGATGCGGGAGCGGGGCGGAGGGGAAGCAAAGTGCCGTGGTGCTCTCCTGAGGAGATCCGAAAGGTACAGCCCTCCTCAGCCACTTGTGCTTGTTCCTTGCCTCCTTTCCCCCTGCACTCCACGTTTTACCATTTTTGAGGCGCCTCAAAAATCACTTTTTACCGCTCTCCACCTGCTCGCTCGGTTCTTACTAGTCTCCCTCCCTCTCCCTTGTTTCCCCCCTCCATTCCGCCATGCGTCAAGCAGGAGGCAGTGGGAGCGGCAGCAGACATATGGGCGGTGGGCTGTCTGGCAGTGCACATGGCGACGGGAGCCCTGCCATGGGCGCATGTGGGGGATGGAGATCAGGTGCAGCTCTTCATCGCTCACAGCAGGGTTCTCCCGGACCTTCCCCCGGACTCCTCCCCCCCATTCGTCGATTTTGTCGCAGCCTGTTTGGACCGTGAACCATCTCGCCGCCCAACTGCAGCTCGGCTCGTCGAGCACCTTTTTCTAGCAGCATGCTAGATGTGTTAATTTTTTTTTCCTGTGCAGTGCAGCATATTCCTCAGCTGCTGCTGCAACGCACAGTGTGTTTTGTGGTGCATCTGTGCCTAAATATGTTCTTGAAGTCCTTTTATGTTCTCCCATACTTGGTACATCTGGTGTGATCCTGCATCTTCATTAAATAAAAAAATCAGTGATTAGAATCATAGAATCATCGTGTTTAGGTCAAAACCACTTTTCTGAATCACAATTTCCTCCAGTTGGTTCTCCTAAACCCTATTCAAGTCGTTCGAGCAGCGCGTTCCACTGCCACGTCATAGCCACGTCCGCGTCAGCCCGAGTCATTTCATCGGCCGCATTCAAATCAGCGTCAGTCGAGTCGCGGGAAGGACGGCAGATGAAGCGCGGAACGCAGACCGGAGAAGTGGAGAGTTGCGGCAAGGATGCGGAAACTTGATTCAGCATGTCGTGCGACCCCGCTGCTGCAGCGAAAGGCTGCTGCGACGGCGCGTGCGACGCACCATGCGAGCTAGGGGCATTTCGCGAGGAAGCGAGCATGTCTATGATCAGAGAGAGCAGCTGGAAATTTATCGCATTGTCTGGCGCAGATGCCGCCGCTGGGTGTTCTTGTAGAGGGCGCCCGTGATGATCCAAACGGGGGTTCGATCTCCCCTCTGGTGTGCGCGTGCGTTTCAAGGGTTTAAACACTGGTGCTAGATGCTTCCCCTTACTCCTGTGCGATACTTTGCGACGACTTTCGCAAGTGCTGCTGACGCTCGTCGCGCGGCGACCTTCTTCTGGGGCCGTCCCGCTACAAGCACTGTCGATGACGCAACTTGTTGCTTTCTCCCGTCGGCTGTTGCTCCGCATACTATTCGCATTTACATTGTCCGCGCTACAGCGGGGGCTGTAGCTTCGAGTGCTACGGCTGCTGCCGCTGCTGCTGCTACAGCAGCTCGTGTCTGGGAAATCGTTGCAAGGAATGCGAAAAGTGGTCGCAACGTGTCGCACGGATGTCGCGATCCCCTGGGCATCTTTGCGACCAGCCGGGATATCAGCCGCTCCTGCGAGAGCCCCGTCGCAACGAGCGCTGCTTTTACAATTCTCAGAAACATCGTCGTCTTCAGGCGGCGGTTTAGGGTCGCAAGCGTCGCGCATGTCGTCGTACGAGATGATGACGTCGATATCCTGGTCGTCAGGCGACCACGATGACTCTGGTCGCCTGCGACTCAAGTCGCAGGGGGGGATGCCAGAGACGGACCGCATCTTCAAGTTGAAGAATATTCGAAGAGAGACTCGCGTCGCCAAAAGAAATCCCTCGACGAAAGCTCTTGGGATTGTCACTTAGGAGACGGGGAGAACACTTCTGACTCGACTCAACGGCCCGCTAGTCACAGCAGGCGAAAAAACTGCTCCCTCTGAGAAAACGGGTTCGCTACGCGAAATGCTTGAGGCCTGTGCAAGGCTCGGTTTCGCCGCTGCGCGGTGATGCTGTCTAGTTCGAATAGCAGTGCTGCGTAACTTGGGTCAGTCAGTCCACTGTTTAGCAAGTCTGCCACATCAAAAGAGAGTGATTCGATCGCCATAAGTAGTGGTAAGTCGGCTTATGCCGATTCTGGGAGAAGCGAGGTTGACGGGAGTACGGAATGGGGAGTTAGAGGTGGGGGGGGGAGGGGAGGGCAGTGCTGGCAGTGAGGAGGGAAGGTACAGTGTAGTGATGCGCCAATCGCGGCGGTTCGGGTGGAAGGACCGCGAGTGGGTGAGTCAGGAGGGTCGATATGTATGTACGAAAGAGTGGAAGTACAGCTCACCTGCCCACTCATCGCTGTCGCGATGTGCCTTGTCTCGTCTGTGGCAGTGACACTCAAGGCTGTGACGGTTAGAAGAACCCATGTGAGACATGGTGGTGGGTGGCCCACTGGCCATTGGCCAACAACGCACCCAGTGGACCATGGCTTCTGTGGGTCAGCCCGTCGCTTCAAACGAGTTCAAAACGGCCAGACTGGATGATAGCGAGCATGATCGTGTGGGTGTTCTCTTATTCCTGGCCCCTTATCGCTGTGCAGAAATTGAAAACAACCCCACTTTATACAGGTATTCCTTTTCATGTCGCTTCGTCCGTACCTTTGAAACGATTTCCTGAACAAGGGTTGTTTTCCTCCGCAAATGTAGGGCTGGGTTTGGAAACGCGGTTCAGAACACCATTTGAATAAGGGAATCTTACGAGATCGGCAACGAAACCGCCTGTATAAAAGAGGTGGTGTCAGGCTGCATTTGGCTCGCACTGGGGAAGGCACGTTTCGCGAGCTCAATTCGCGAAACGGGGTCATGAGCCCTAAGGTTCGAGCCTTAGGGCTGCTTCCTGAAGTTGGCCCAACAACGAAGTTGGCCCAAGAGTTGCTCTTTCTTTCCCTGAATGTAGGTCTAGATTGCGGGTGGCTCGCAGTTTTTCAGGTGATGAATAATTGTGTGGGCCACCATCCGACGCAATTTCGAGAGACTCGCCAGCGTCACCAATTCCTCCCTACAGTATACTGTACCGACCGAGAGCATGTCGGCGTAGAGACCCCAACCTCGAAACGTTTGTTATTTGGGGGACAAACCTGCGGATCTGTTATATCAGGGGAAATAGGCGCACATCTTGAGAAACCACCACTCTTGGCCCAGCTTCGCTGTTGGCCCAACTTCAGGAACGAGCTGTTAGTCCACGAAACAGGGGAAGCAGGGGTTACACGGTAGAGGCGCTGTTATGAATGAACAAGCAGAGTAGCGCGGAAATGAATAAAGAAGTGTTCAATAAGTGAATGACGATACAAGGAATGGCAAGCCAAGATATAGGAACACTAGAGCTAGTCTAACCATGAGATGTGAAGGTTCGGGAAAGAGATCGTAGGGTCTCGAAGTGACGAGGCGAGGCCCGGAGAACTCCCGAAGGTCGAACTAGAAGGTCTGGAGAAGCCGAGGCGGTTCTGTCAGAAAGGTCCGGAATTGTCCCGAGGCTTCGGGTGTGTTCGAGCGTACGCGATAGCAGTACCGCTCGGTAAGGAATGGAAAATTCCTTACACCATTACCCCCCCCCCCCCCCCCCCCCCCCCCTCAGCGAAGGTGACCTATATCAATCGCGTGCTTGCGGGTCAAATAATTCGCAAGTATCGGAGGTGACTGTATCTGGTCCGCGGGCAACCACGTGTCGTCCTCACTGGTACGATTGGTCCATCGTATCAGAAAGTCAACGTGTCGTCCTTGGCCGTCGATACGAATTCGATGGCTCAAAATCTTCGAAGGCTCGATGGTCGTCTCCGCTGGTGGCCGTACATCCGTGACCAATCGCTCTCGAGCGATGTCCGATGTGTCGGGTATGAAAGGTCGCAACAGGCTCACGTGGAACTTTATTGTGAATTCGCCAGTCGTCGGGTAGGCATAACTGGGCGGTCACGGGCGTCACCATCTTCATGATCTTGAATGAGCCACAAAAACGTGCTCGTAATTTTGTCGGTAGTGGCAGTCGTAAATTCTTGGTGTCCAAAAGGACTAGTTGCCCGGCTACCATTGTAATATCGTGTCGATGTAAATCCGCATACCATCGGGCAGTAGCGTTCGCCTTGCGAATAAGTTCGACAGCTTTATCCCGGCCGGTCTGAAATTCTTTGACGAACTGCTGCGATCGTGGTACTCGACTCTCAACGTTTGTGGAGATGGGTACGGTGGGGTCGATCCCGTAATTGAGGTAAAACGGGGAGTGATTAGTCGTAGATGAAGGAACGTTGTTGTAGGAAAATTCCAACATCGGAAGCGCGTCCTCCCATTTGTTTCAGTCGGGGCAGTTTGTCCGAATCAACTGCTCCATCGTTTGGTTTGTCCTTTCAGTCTGACCGTCCGTTTGGGGATGATAAGTGGATGAGAATTGCATGCGCGTGCCGTACCGAGCCCACGTGTCCTGTCAAAATTTTGACGTTAGCTTCGGGTCTCGATCGCTAATGAGTGCAGCTGGTATCCCGTGTAGGCGAACAACGGTCGAGATGAACAGTCGTGCGGTTTTTTCGGCTGTGATGGTTGTACGACATTGTGCGAAATGCGCCATTTTCGTCAATCGGTCGACGCCAACCAATACTGCGTCGTTTCCGCTGGATCTGGCCGGTAGACCCGTGACGAAATCCATCGTCACGTGTTGCCATGGGCGTTGAGGTGGCTCAAGGGGCTGTAGCAGTCCTGTCGATCGTTGATGTGATGATTTTATTCGCTGGCAGATCGGACACGTGGCCACATAACGCTGCACATCAGTTACCATATCTGGCCAGTAATAAAATCACTGCAATGCCTTCAGAGTTTTATCAACCCCGAAATGTCCCGATAAATTCGAATCATGGACTTCTTGAATGAGTAATTCACGAAGTAGACGATAACTTGAGACCCAAATTCGATCCGTCCCACTTCGTAAGTAATAGACACCTTTCCTTGTAGTGATTGGGAGATGGCCGTCATTTACGAAGTAGGGGTTAGTCGAATACCCGTGGGTAAATAGTCCACTCAGTAGCGGGTTGCTTTGGGCGACTAGTACTGCTGCGAGTTCGGCAGACGGTCTGGAAAGGGCGTCTGCAATATTGTTGGCGCCCTTTTTGTACGTGAAGTTGGACTCCAGGTAGTCCAACCAGCGTATCTGCCGCGGGTTGAGATTCGGCTGCGCTCTCAGGTATTGTAGAGATTTATGATCAGTTCGCACCATCACATTTGCTCCAGTCAGGTAGCACCTCCAGATTTTGAACGCGTAGACAATCGCCAACATCTCCTTGTCGTGTACCGGGTACTTGCGCTCAGCAGATTGCATTTTGCGAGACTCGTATGCGATTGGGTGAAGACCATTGCCGAAATCTTGCATGAGCACAGCTCCGATGGCGATGTCACTTGCGTCGGTGATGACTTCGAAAGGTCGTTCCGGGTCAGCGATGCGAAGTACCGGTGGCGACATTAAAAGAGTTTTTAATGCCTCGAACGCAGCTTGCTGCTTCTCCCCCCACTCGTAAAAAGTCCCCTTCTGCAGTAGGTCGGTTTGAGGTCCAGTTAACCCCGCCATGTTGGATATAAACCGCCGCACGTAATTCACAAAACCCAGAAATGATTGCTGCTGCTGCAGATTGGTGGGCGGTTCCCACTCCTGCATAGCCCAGAGTTTTTTCGGGTCTATTTGAATCCCTCTATGGAGATCACGTGCCCCAGGAACTCCAGTTCTTGTTTTTAAAACTATCACTTGGAGCCCTTGGTGATGAGACGATGCTACTTCAGCCGCTGAAAAACCGCTTCCTAGTCCTTCAAATGTTGCTCCCGGGTCGTGCTGTGAATCAGGATGTCGTCCAGGTAAATTATTACACATTTCTCGAGTAGATCGTGGAACACCCCGTTCATGATGAGTTGGAACGTTGAGGGGGCGTTCGTTAATCCAAACGGCATCACCGCGTATTTGTAACTCCCGTAGTGAGTACAAAACACAGTCTTGTGGCAGTCGTCAGCGAACACCCGAATTTGATGGTAACCGCCATGAAGGTCGATCTTCGAAAAGTAGCAAGCTCCGCGAAGGTTGTCAATCAGCTCGTCCGTGCATGGGATTGGGTAGCGCGATTTTATCGTTACCCGATTAAGGGCACGATAATCCATACACATGCGAAGTCCGCCGTCCTTCTTTCGGGTAAACAGGATCGGCGCTGCGAATGGGGACGTGCTCGGCCGAATAAACCCTTTTGCCAGCAAGTAGTCCAGCTGTTTCCGTAATTCGTTTAGCTCCGGCTGAGTCAAGCGCCATTGAGTTCGTACAGTAGGTTGCGCGCCGGGCTCTAGCTCAATTTTTGTGGTCCTAGGGTCGTTCGGGTGGCAGTCCACTTGGCAAGTCATCAGGGAAAATCTCGGGATATTCCCGAATGATTTTTGCCAAGTCATCCGGGACCGAAGCGCAGAGTTTGTTGATGTCGGTCGCCTCATTCTGCTCCGTTGATTCGGTTAGATGGACGGCGTATAAATCCGCTCCATTCTTGACTGCTCGATTGAGGCACACCGCGTTGACTCGGGTCGAGGTTGTCTCTGCTTCCGGCCACGTGGGTAATTTTTGCCAGCCTTTTTCGCACTTCACTGTGCACTCGCTTGTCGTCCAATCGATTTGCGGATTGAATCGTCCCAGCCAATCATGTCCCAACAGTACATCGTAGCCATCGAGTGTTGTCGCCAGCATTGGCGCGCTGAAACCGAAATCTTCGCCATACTTCATTCAAACGACGGGTACTTTGTCGCGGATTGCCAGCGGGGTGCCGGCCACCAATCGTGCGTCGATTTTGGGCAGACACCGCTCCAGCGATAGGTGTAGTCTTCGTGCTATCTCTCGATTTATCAGGTTGTGACTTGCCCCTCCGTCGATGAATAATTTTATTTTTCTTCCATTGAGTCGTCCCTCCGCCAGTACAGGGTGGTCCACTGGGTCATCCCCCTTATTCAGCCGGGAGCGGTTGATAGCTTGTATCGGGACCACCAGCCAGTGGGGATGGTGTTTCTCGGGCGATGAGGTAGGGTCAGTAGGGGGCCCGACCGCTACTGACGCTTGGCGTTTCCCGACCTGCCTTCGTCGTTCTTCTTTATCTGCTTCTTTCAGGGGCAATCGTGAGATTGGTGACCCAGCTAGTGGCTGTTGAAACATTGTCCCTTGCGAAAATCCTCCATGTGCTCCTTCGCCACTATGCCATGAATCGTGGGCCGTGGATCCTGGCCACGAAAACGATTTCCCTCCCGGGAACCCGCTCTCGCATACGTCCGATGTGCGTCGAAAGTGTCTGCGATCCGGACTGCTTCGTAAAACGTCAACGGTAGTCGCAGTCGGACCTCGCATTTAATGTCTTGCTTCAAACCTGAAATGAATCGAGCTTTCTTCTCAGATTCATGCATTTCTGTGATTTGGTTGCATAACGCCATGAAGACCGGCGCGTAATCTTGGACAGAACTCCACTGGCGCTAGTTGTCCAGCTTCGTACGTGCGTTGTCCAAGGCGGATATGGGCTCGAACCATTCACGCAGAGCTGTACCCCACGCCTTCCACGTGCGAATCTTGGTCGATCCGAAAATCGCAGTTGACCCTTGGGCAGCAGACCCAAAGTTTCCGAAAAACCCCTGTGTGTCGCCTGCCGAAAACTCCCCCTCTTCTAGTGTATATCGCCACAAATCTAGCACAGCTCCCCGCAGTAATGATACAGCCAGCCGAATTTTTAAATTGTCAGCAGTGATCGCAGCAGCATTAAAATATTTTTCTGCCAAAAATAACCAGCCCGTAACAGTAGTATTCTTATCAGTGGGGTTGAACGAGGGCGGCATCGTCGGTTTGATGGTTGTTGTCGTCACTATCGGCACGAATGCCGGTGCGGTTATAGTAGCGGCTGCTTCTGACTGGGCGGCTGTTGCTGTCGCTGCTGCTGCTTCTTCTCTTGGACGGCAATTTTCTGGCGCGAATCCTCTCGCACCTGGCGAACCTCGGCAACTTCTGCACGAAGTCGCTCGTTGTCCTCCAATACTGTAGCCATGCATGTGTTCATGGCGTTGAACTGCTCCTGAAGCTCGTTGAGCTGAGCTTGGTCCATTTTGCGAATGCTCCGCAGGGGCAGTGGGAAATCCGTAGTATGCCTGTACTCAGGTAAGCGCAAACGCTATCGTAGTTGGGCGAATTAATCAATCTAATTCACGAGCAACCGCTTTGCAGCTTACGTGAGGGACTTACCCCCGCCAATAAAAATCAACTCACGAAAACGGGTGAGCGAGGAAAGTGGCTATGAATACCATGTGTTATGAATGAACAAGCAGAGTAGCGCGGAAATGAATAACGAAGTGTTCAATCACTGAATGACGATACAAGGAATGGCAAGCCAATATAAAGGAACACCAGAGCTAGTCTAACCATGATTTGTGAAGGTTTGGGAAAGAGATCAAAGGGTTTCGAAGTGACGAGGTGAGGCCCGGAGAACTCCCGAAGGTCGAACTAGAAGGTCTGGAGAAGCCGAGGCGGTTATGTCAGAAAGGTCCAGGAATGTACCGAGGCTTTGGGTGTGTTCGAGCGTACGCGATAGCAGTACCGCTCGGTAAGGAGTGGAAAATTCCTTAAAAACATCTTCCTAACTCAACATTCACAGTGCTAGACCATAGGTTTTTCAGTACACATCGTAGTAATTCTTACCATACTGCGTTCAACCTTTCTGAATGGTTGACCCTGAAGCGTTTTCGTAAAAAATGTTACACACTCTTAGCCACACTCGACTGTCGTAGTAAACGGGGCATCCAGATATCTTGAGGGTCTGGTGGATCGTGGTTTTGCGACAGCTTTAGGTACTTTTCGCGCGTCGTGGAAGCCTTCATCTAGTTTCGCCACGACATTGTCCATCCTCGCGAAAATGACAGATGTTCAGGTGATGAATAATTCTCAGCTTTTCGCAGCTGAGTGGACCTTGGTAATGAAGGACGAAATACTGTTTGAAGGCAAGAAAAACGAGCAGGGTGTTATGTAAAATGCAAACCCAGAAAAGCGGATACTCTAAAAAATGCGCCATATCATAAGCTATCCCCCGCATATGCCACCCATGGGCTGACTATTTCGGCGGGTTTTATATATGGGGGATTACGGTATATATTTGTTGTTATAGGCTAGGTAGGTGCATGCTCTTGGAGGGTACAACACATAAACATAATAACACCCCACATACCCTTGTAAAATTCATTGTACTATTCTGAGATGGTATTACGCTAGGTTAGGTCTCCCGCCAGCGCTTCAGCCCTAGTCCCTAGCACGCCTCATCGCGCCCTCGCCCCAGCCCGCTGGCCCCTAGCTCACTGCTGGCCCCTCATTTGCCTGCTGGCCCCTAGCTCGTCCGCTGGCCCCTAACTCGCCGCTGGCCTTTCGTGCGCCGCGCGGGCCCCTTTCCTCGCCGCGCTGACCCCTAGTTCGCCGCTGGCCCCTCGCTCGTCGCTGGCCCCTAGCTCGCCCGCTGGCCCCTTGCTCGCCGCAGGCCTTCGCGCGCCATGAGAGCCCCTTTCGTTGCCACGTGGCCCCCTAGCTCACCGGCCCTAGCTCACTAGCCTCACGGCAGGCGCCCCGTGAGTGGCACGACACGCTGCGTGCTACGATAGCAGACCTGCAGTTCTTCCCGTCCTCTGCTGAACCTTCGCTCTTCGTTTGTTCAGGCCAGACTCCGCTCTACATCCTCGTCTACATAGACGACCTGATCTTCGTTACTGCAGCCAAAGATGCACTGGCCTCCGTGAAGGCCGAGCTGCAGAGGAGACACACGTGCACTGACCTAGGAGAGCTGCGCCGGTACCTTGGCCTGCAGATCTCTAGGGACAGAGCAGCGTGCACCATCAATCTCACACAGTCACACTTGGTGCACCAGGTCCTTCAGAGGTTCGTTCTTCAGTTCTCCTCCGGACAGCCTACACCTCTGCCAGTAGATCACAGGCTCTCGGCTCTAGTCTCTGACGAGTCAGTTGAGCCCAGTGGTCTGTACGCAGAGCTGCTGGGTTGCCTCATGTATCTGATGACTTGCACTCGTCCAGATCTCGCATACCCTTTTAGTATCTTGGCTAGCTTTATGGCGACAGGCAGACACCGACCCCAGCACTGGTCGACCGCTAAGAGCGTTTTGCGTTATCTAGCGAGTACATCGGGCTTGGGGCTAGTGCTGGGAGGACGCATGCCAGTGGTTCTCACAGGGCACACAGACGCTGAGATACTCAGGTCCTCCTAGGGCTACTACTTTAGCCTTGGTGCAGGCGCCATCTCGTGAAGGTCCACCCGCTCGTCGTCTGTTGCACAGTCTAGCTGTGAGGCTGAGATCTACGCTGGTGCCATGGCGGCACAGGAGCTCTGCTGGCTGACCTTCTTGCTCACAAACTTAGGTGAGCGCTCTAGCTCGGCCCCGGTTCTGTACGCTGACAACAGGGCCATGATTCTTTTGTGTCAGGAGTCTCAACTAGAGGGCAGAGCAAAGCACATCCAGCTGCGGTACTTCCTCCTGCGCGAGCTACAACAGTGCCGCCAGACCCGCGTAGTACACTTGGCCTCCGGTGCCAATACAGCTGATATCTTTACTTAGACGCTTACGCCGAAAGATTATCAACAGCACTGTGTACAGCCTGGTTTAGTTGCTGTAGCTCCTCACTTGCTAGGACCCTGATTGTGTACTACTCTTTATATTGTCTTGACTGGCCTTGTGGCTCATGTTCCAGTGGCTGGACTAATTGTGCCGCCCTAGGTTTCCTCTTGTTGACTTGTCTTCAGACCCTTGCCTCAGAGGTTGGAGTAGTAGTGCCACCCTTAGCTGCATGTCTCTTGCTAGGCACTGCCCCTTGTTTAGCCTAGGGGGTATGTCAACTCATATATATTCATTGTTATAGGCTAGATAGGTGGATGCTCTTAGAGGGTACAACACACAAACATAACATCATGTATGCCCTTGTAAAATTCATTGTGCTATTCTGAGATAAGGGCGTGTATCATGTGCAAGGAAAACGGAGTCACCCGACGTCCCGATGGGATACAGTAGGTTTTCGCACGATTGAGAAGTTGGCTGTGCGTTCGGAAGCGGTGACTGGACGTCAAAACGTGACGTGGTGCTGTTCGAGCTACAAATCATATTCTTTAACGCAAACTCCGCTAAGCATCTTTTAGTGCATTAAGCGACTAATTGGCCCGTGGTTTACCCTCGATTTGCGAATATTTGCGCTTGTCGTCGTTTCACCATTCGCATATGAGCTGTACTTGATACACCCCCTTATGGTGGAACATTTTTTACAAACCTCGTGGTCGACCTTTCAAAACGGTTGAAATCGGTATGACGCATTGTTGTACTATGTTGTATATAAACAAACGCGTGGTAAAATGCGGTGAATGTTCGGCTCAGATACTGTTATGGGTGGGAATGGAACAACCAACTAAGGGTGTATTCCTGCTTCAAAGTG